CGACCGTGCCTCACACTAGCGTCTGTCTGACTGACTCGGATCACATTCACTCTCTCACTCAGCGAGTGCACTCCACGCAGCAATCACTCACTCAATCGGTCAATCCATCAAATACGTCACTGTCACTGTCTTGGCTCCGCTGCGCTGATAGGTGCTGCTGGCAACGACTGGAAAAACAGACCTGCCTGCCTGAAGCGATAGACATGTCCCGTCCGTGCAGACAGCGCACCACAGGCACACGACTGCCATGATCATGTGACTGAGTGAATCCCTGACGGGACGGGTGGTGGCCAAAATCGTTCGTTACACACAGACGTACTTGTGTTCATCATCAATCAATCAGTCGATCAATCGATGGCATCAGTCAGTGAGTGCACAAGCAGGCACACGTACACATATCAACATACATGTCAACACACACGGGGGCGGCGCAAGGAGAGGGGATCATCGCAGTCAGACAGTTGGAGGACAGCAGACCCACACACACACACACACACACACAAGGAGAAAAGGGGAAGCCCTCACCCCCCGTCACAAAAGTCTCGCTGACCATCACTCCAGCCCGAGAAAGCAACGGCAGCCTCACGTCTGTGTGTCCGACCAGCTCGCGAGCGCCCCTCCTCGCCTCCCCTCCTCCCCTCATCCCACCCCACCCCACCCACCATTGATGTACAAAACGAGGTGGCAAAAGTCAGGCAGACCAACCAGACGGAGAAAGCAACCACGCGCACACCCTTGCGCATTCCGCAGGCCGACTCTTAGCGCTAGAGTCGTGTATGTACCTGATTGAGACCGATGCAGCCCCGAGGTCATTCGAGGCCGCTGCGGTCCCTCAGGCACTCCCGACGCCGAGCACCAAGATAGAGAGCACTGCAGGAAACACGAGACAGACAACGCACCACGACGGCGAAAACGGTTTCTTCAAGAAATCATGATGCGTGTGCTGCGGCCGACCAGGGAAATGGGAAAGACGCAAAAAGGCTCTCCCACGCCCCCTGCAGGTCACGGCGGCTCGCAGCGACACATTTCCGAGAAACATAGGGGGCCGGGAGATGCATGGGTGGGTGGGTGCCCGCACATGGTCATGGTGGTCAAAATCGCTGGGACATGCAGACAGAGGACATCCGAGCGGGCAATGCAACAACCGACAGACAGACATGGGCACGCAGAGCATGAGTGAAAGTGTGTGTGTCATTGTCCGTGAGCGTTACAGCATCGCCAGCTCGCAAAGGAGAAGACAAACAGGGCTACACCCCACCCTGTCTGTCCCTCTTCTCTCGCCATCCCTCCCCTCTCCCCTCCCCCTGTACACCGACCGACATTAGCATGACACCCCATATGCAGGCAGCAGCAGCAGCAGCGAGCACAAATGTTTACCCACTTACTCACTCAGCCACTGATCCATCCGCACATTCAATTCAAGCACTTGTCTGTCAGACAGACCATGATTCCTACCGAGAAACCGCCGCATCCATCCATCGGTCCATCCGTCCATCCACACACAGGAAAAACTGCAGTCAAGGCAGCAATGCAGCAAGCCAGCGACAGACAGACAGATCGACTGACATGGTAACGGACCAACGAGCGGACAGCCAACAGCCAAAACACCGATCGGCGAAAAACAAACCCGGCCCCCTTTCTCGATATCCTTTGTCCAATAAAACGAAGGGCAGGCAAGACGATACGCGTCAATCACTCTCAATTGGTCATCTGCCCTTCTTCAGACAGCGCAACGCCCACAGCACGCCGTTGACCGCGGAGACGGGGGGGACCGCAGGCGGCCGGGGAATGTGCTTATGCGTGTGCATGTGCATGTGCGTGGGAGTGGGTGTGGGAGTGGGTGTGGGTGTGGGTGTGGGCGGTCTCTTGCTATGCGCTGTGGCCCCAAATCTGGCGGTAGTACTCGAGCTCGTGGTTGGACTCGAACCCCAAACGGGCAGCGCCCGGCAACTGACACGCAGACGACGGACATAGAGGACACAGACATACACCATATGAGTGTGTGTGTGGTCTGCTCGTCCTTGGTGCTGCCTGGCCTGGCTGTGTGTGGTTAACCACCTACCTCATCGAAAAGTGCCGCGTCGTCTGCGCACACAGTGGATGTTGCGCAGCTAGTAGAGCACACCTCCAGGCCCCCGGCCTTGTAGCCCCCCTCCCGGGCCAGCCAACAGCGCGTGAAATCTTCTGAGGACACAACAGACACAGCCTCTGGCCCGGTGGCGGGGGAGCCTGAGGCGTTGGGCGACGCCCCGGACGACCCCATGCCCACGCCGGCCGCAGAGAGGTGCCTGCTGGGTGAGGCGGGATGCATGAGTCGTCTGCTGTTGCTGATGGTGCTGCTGGGCGAGTTACCCCCCCTCCCTCCCTCGGTGTCGTTGACGATGCCTGCTGCTGCTGCGAGGGCTCCTGTGCCTGCTCCTGCAGACAGGGGCGGGAGGGAGGGGGGGCTGATTTTGATACGACTCGCCGCAAAGGGCGACAGGGGCGGCGAGGACGGGTACGTCGGGATGCTGAAGGGCGGGGGCCGAAAGGAGGGGCGAAACGAGCCCAGGATCTCGGGAATGTGAATCTGACCTGCACAACAGACAGCACAGCACAGCACAGGACAGCGGCGAACATGAGGGCTGACCGAGATTGTGAGGGCGTTGTGGCTTGTTGGTTTGTTTGTGTGGTTCGTTCGTTCGTACCGAATCCGACTTTGGCGGCGAGGTCGGCGATTTCATAGCCGACGGCTGTGGGGACGACTGAGTCTTGCTGGTAGAGGGGGTGGGACTTCAAATACTGACGCAGGTAGCCCGCGGTGGTCATCAACTCACCTGCATGTCCCGACGGACAGACAGACAGACAGAAATGCGGTCAATGAGAAGGTCAGATGGGGTGCCGTGTTGTGTGGCTCACCGGTGCTTCTCTGTTCGATGAAGGCCATGTACTCGGATAGCCGCTCCAAAGTTGCGGCACTGCACTTGCCCGCCTCATGCTCACGCTGCAGAGAGTGGACACGCACACACACACGGCGTTGGTTGAGAGAGAGCGAGGGTGAGGGAGGGAGGGAGACTTCATGTGTGTGTTGTGTGTCGCAGCAAGCAGACCTGGATGAACTCCTTGCACTTGTTCATGATGCCCGGGAAGCCCAATAACGCCTTGCCTGAACGACATTGACACAGAAGGGGCAAGGCAGACAGACGAGGATTGATGGTCAGCTCGCTGGTGTGATATACAATGTATTGGTCTGTGTGTGGTGTTCGCGTGCCTACCGAAGAGGATCTCGTTGAGTGTCATTTCCGAGTACTCCCGGTTGCTGGTGTTGTGGCCGATGTCGTGGCGAAACCAAAACCGCTGACTCAACACCGCATTCCGCTGGCTAGACCTGGACACAGACATACAGACATCACCACGTACACACACACACGTGTCAATCCATCCATTCCCCAATACCCCACCCACCCGCCCGCCCCCCTGTCTGCGGCTCACCGGGCCATATTCTCGTCATTCTTTGACATGGGTATGTAGAGGTCCCATTTCTCGTCAATGATGACCCTTGCCAGCACCGCCACCACGGCGGCCACGGCGGCGTTCTCAAAGTCGGTGAGCTGCGCCTCGGGGGTGCGGAACTCCACCCGCCACCCGATCTGCGAGGGCGACGTGCCGTCGGGGGAGGGGGGCGGGGGCTTGAACCGCACTGAGTTCCAGTTGGTCGACTGGATGTTCTCGAAGTGGGCCGTGTTGGTGCGATGATCCATCTCAACCTTGTCTGCAGCGCAACACACGGCCAGAGAGGGGATTCGTTCTGTGTGCTGTGTGATGTGTGCGGGGTGGTGGATGGTGGGGGTGGGGTGTGGGGGTGTGCGGGTGTGGGGGTGTGGGTGCGCACCAGAGAAGATGACCATTGGGTCTCTGATGAAGAGGTAGGCGAAGTGTTTGGCGAGGATGGGGTCCAGCCCGCCGGCGACGAACTGCTGGTACGCCGACTCGTTGAGAGCCACGTCGACGTCGTTGTACTCAGACACACGCTGATACATACACAGTCCACCAAAGAGACAGAGAGAGAGATGCGTGCATTAGCTATCATGTGTGTGGTGGAGCTGGTGATGGTCAGTCGCATTGATCAAGCCGCCTCCTACCTGTGCGAGCGGCTCTTCGTTGGAGATGTAGAGGGACACGCCAGCGTACCTGTGAGGCCAAAGAGACGACAATGCGCGAATGCACACACGCCATGCATCACGGCTTTCTTCTGTGCTGCAGTGTGTGCTGCCTTACCGTGATTTGTGAATGGTGTCCATCTCCTCGACTGTGCGGCAGTCCACCGACATGCATATCGTGTCCCACCGCGTGTCCGTCGCCGCCACCAGCCCTCGCTGAAACGGAGCCGATGCCGTCAACTGCATCATAACCCACACCACACATCCATCCACACACACAAAGAACACACAAGGGAGACAACGAGCTATGACACTTCTGCATTTGTGGAAGTCTGTGTGTGGCCATAGCTCACTCACCGCGAGGAACAGCGGTGCGAGTACGGTGAACTGGTCGAAGAGGTAGCGCGCCACGGTGACGTCCGGTGTGCCGAATGTGACTTGCAGGCAGCAGCAGCCCATGCCGAAGCCCATGGCGTCCATGTAGATGTAGTTGCGCAGCGGGTTGGCCGTCTGCTCACTCAGCTTCTCTATCTCATAACGACTCAACTCGCCACGCACACGCGACAGCTGCATGACGGCATCAACCAAAATGAATGAGACATGCATGTGTATGTGTGCAGCGGTCTTGTGTCTTATGTGTTGTGTGGCTTCTTACGTCCCACTGCGACCGTTTCTGAGTGTTCTCGTCCTCCTCAAGAGGCACCAAAATCAGAACCTTAGCGCCACGGCGACTGATGGATGGGCAGAAACAGGGCACAGCATGGATCCGTGTGTGCGTGTGTCGGTGTCAGCTCAGCTCACTCTCGTATGTTTCTGGTGAGCGTCCCAAATCTCGGGTGGGGCGACATGATCGCATCCGGCAGAAAGACGCTATGAGAGCAACCACTGCACACACAACCACACCACACCACACACAGACGTCCACACAACAGCCATCAGCCATCTCCTGATCTCACTCACCTGTGTGGGCAGGGCGGTGTCGGCGGTGCCATGAAGTCCTTGACGCCCATGTGTGGGAATGCGGTGAGTGAGACCAGCCGCTGGTTGGCGTTGAGGAGGGCGGCGATCTTGGACCGCCGCAGGTTCATCGACGGCTCGATCTCCAACACCTCATCCAAACTGCCAAAGTTGTACGGACTACCTGCAGACGCCACACGCACACACCAACCAACCAAATGCAGACAGACAGACACGTGTGTGTGGCCACCTGTGTGTAGTGGGGCTAGCTGGTGCGTACCAGGTATGGCCTCGACCATGAAGTTGGTGTATTCGGGTCGCCAGTCTGATTTGGACGACTTGTCGTCAGACGACATGCCCTCGCGAACCGTCAACTCGTCGATGATGTCTGATGCACACAGAGATGGGACACACACCCATTTGTTATCGAGTGGTCGCCAAGTGCTCCTTGTTGTGTGTGTGCTTACGGTCAGCGTAGTTGGCCACGCGCGCCACTCTCTGCTGAGAGTCCAACTCAACCAAACTATACTCTGGTGACAGACACACAAGTCAGTCAACACAAGTCAGCCACAGAAGGATGAATGGCCTGCTCCTCCCTCTCCGTGAGCTCAGGGACGTACGTACCGATTTCCTCTCCCCACATGACGTCAGCGTCCTGTCTGTCCTTATTGAGGTGGTAGAGGTGCAGCAGCTGCCGGATGCCCTCACCCTTGACATACGCCAACACCGCCTGAGACGACTCCCAGTCCAGCGGCGTCCCGGCCTCTAGGAATCCCATCACTGACGCAGAGCAAGTAGAAGACGCTCACACAGGCTGTTGAGGGCTATCGACGAGTGGCGCAGATGCCGCGCCGCTTGATATCCGATTCTCGGTTGAGACGAATAAAGCCAAAGAAGGCGAGATTTTCGTCAGGGGTTCAGCCGTTGACGATGTGCTGTCGTGGTGTGTGGTCTGCCTGGCTTATCTTCATCTTCTTGCCGGACATCATCCTTCACCTCCTTTCCAGGTTACACGCATCTTGTCCTAAACCCACAGGATCGACGCCGGCAGAAACTCATGCCGAGGCTCAGGCGCAAGAGGGACTGCATTGCAAAGGACGTGTGTGCTCGTAATGTGCGTTTTGTTGCGTTATGTTTTGTTTGGGCTTTTTGAGAGCAGCACTGGGTATCAGCAGCAAATTGCAGTGAATTGCAGATGAATGGTTTACGCGTAGCACTCACTCACGTCCATAGGCACTGCAATGAGGGTCGTTGCGTGGTGTGCACCTATGTATGTAATCAAGTCCAGGCAGTCGTGCATGCCATGCAGCCATACAGACAAGCAGGTGCTCGCGCACTCACATACAGTAGACACTCACATGCAATGCGTGCGTGCGTGCGGGGAAGTCAGCGTCGATGGATGACCTGCGCTCTTAAAGAGGAAGAGAATAAACACCGACACCGCCACACACTCACGAGCAGACACACTGACCGACTCACAGAGATCCCCAAGCAGCCAGGGTCATGCAGCCGCGCACAGACAGACAGACAGACAGGCGTACTCACTCTTGCATACACAGATACATTGGGAGGGCACATATCCCTGAAAGTGTTGGTATGCATCGCATCTGGCACTCTCTCTAACTCTCTACTTACTTCGGCCAGCCCGGCTACTGCGTGCCCCCATGCAGCATAAGTATGTTATGTTGTGGACAGACACCATGCACACGCAAACAGCGATCGATGTGTTTGTGCGGTCATATCCTTGCTGTCGAGAGGCCGGTTTTTGGTCTCACCAACGCCCTCGCGACACCGCCCTGCCCTATTTGGCGTCGCGTCGCGCTCAGTAAGTAGGCACCCTACACACAAACAGGGCAGACAGCAGACAGCAGACAGGACCGACGAGCACGAGCAGGCAGGCAGACACAGAGAAGAAATAAAACAACCAAAAAAAGCGACACCGACACACACGCAGGGCAGGGCAGGGCAGGGCAAACACAGCCAGACGAGCAGGCAGGCACACAGGCGGACAGACAGACACGCGAAAAGATAAAGACACTGAAAAACCAAAGAAAGCGAGAGCGCCCTGTGCTGTGCTGTGTGTGGCCGGACCTTTGTTGTCCCAGCCGCCTAACCCTTTCAACCCAGATCAAACCTCCTGGGTACGCACATCTGTATGCACATCGCCCCCCCTCCCTCTCTCTCTCCCTCCCTCTACCATGACAGCCATTCTCGTGTTAACGTGGACTCACTCAGCTCAGCTCAGCTCATCACCGTTCGTTGCGTCTGTCTACAGTGCCAACCAGCCAGGCCGGCCGCCAGCCCCCCCGCTATGCCATCGAGCCTCGTGTCCGTCTGATGAACTCATTCGCACCTACTGTACTGATCCACACATGTGACTAGAAGGAAGAAAACACGGCTACGAACGACGGACAGACGCACTCAGCCCACACCGACTTGACTTACAGCACCCATCCATCCATCCATCCATCCATCGCAGTCACTAGGCACGCTCGGACGGATGGACAAGGGAGGGAGGTATGGATCGCTCCATTCCTTACAACAGACGCATCAGCATCACGGCCGCCGCCAGGGAAGCGACAAGCGACGCCATGCCCGTCGCCCTCACTGCCGCTGCCCCGCTGCTCATGCCCCCGAACCCAAAACCCACACCATCACCACCACGACCCGCCGCCTGGCCAGCTGACACTACCAGGGGGTCTTCCCCTACACACACACACACACACACAGAGGGAGAGAGTGTCCATACGAAGGGGGAGGCATGCACCGACCAGCGTCAGCTGACCTCTTCTGAGGCTTGATGAGCTCGAGAAGAGCGTCTGCGGGGTGCCCGATCCGAAGTCGGCCAGGCCGACGAGGTCTGATGTGTTGGTGTCTGGGTCATGCTCGCATATGTAGCGCCGCCTGGTGCCCCGGCACGACTCGACGCCCCACAGGCCCGCTGCCTCGGTCGTTGACTCGTCACGCGGCTGCATCGCACCCACCACACCACCCACACCCACACACACACACACACAGAGGTGTATTAGGGAGGGAGAGACGGTTGCGCAGTCTGACCCACCTCAAAAACGGCGCAGTAGACGCCCATGTCGGTTTCCTTGTTGGCCTTTAGTGTGTCTACGTCGTGTGGGCCCCACTGCGTGGCCTCGAGGCTCGTGCCGTCCACTGCCACCCAACCATTCTGGGATGACATGTCCTGCATTGCATGCACCAAAGGGCACTGACAATCGGCGGAAGCGCGTTGTGCGCGTGCGAGAGACCTTTTGTATTGAGGGCTTTGCAGCGGCTGTCCTGTTGGAGCCCATGAGGCCGATCCAGTAGCGGTTGCCGAGGGTCCCGCCCATCGGCACCGCACACACGCCGCCATCACCGTCGCAAAACAGAGACAACACCGCCTCATTCTCCTCCTGCACACATCCATCCATCCATCCACACACACACCCCCATCCACTGACCTTAGTGCCAACGGTGGCGAGGTGTCCGCCCTCCGCCTCGCAGGTGTCCTCTGCCTCCTGCCACTCCATTGGCTCGAACCCCAGCCTGTAGCACTTGCTGCCCGAGTTGAAGTACCCCTTGGGGCAGCCCTCGGCGTCGCCAGCAGCTGATGTGGCGAACCGGCCGGGGCAGGCAGCGGGGCCGGACACCACCTTCGGCAAGGCCGGGTGGGTGTAGGTGCTCACCTGATGGATGCATGGATGGATGTGTGGTCATGTAAGAGGTGTCTTCTGGTGCGTACCAGTGCGGCTTTCTTTGAGATGGTGACCAGGTCGCTGGGTTGGAGTTCGGCTTTGGTGGCAGTGTCGGTGGCGGTGTCCGTGTCATTGCCTGTTTCTGTGGCACCGCTTCTCTTCATCATGTTGCAGGTGGCGTCCTGGAAGCCGTAGAGCTGGCACTCGCCCATCTGCGCACACATCTGCTCGCACACCGACTCGCTGTCGGCCGCTATCTCCAGCAACGCCGCGCTCTCCTTCTGCATGACAACCACACCATATCAACATCAACCGATATACCATGGTGTGTCTGCAGGCAGGCAGGCAGGCAGGCAGGCAGGCAGAGAGGCAGGCAGGCAGGCAGGTTGGCTTACGTCTTTGTGCAAAGCGCAGAGTGACTGTGTCCAGGTGAAGAGCTCGCACTGGCCATCCTCCTTGCATAGCTCCTGGCACTCTTGGGGGGTCTTGGCGGTGCTCACGGACTTGACGGGGTCGCCCTGGTACGCAAACCCGGTGTCCACACACGTGCCATCTGCACACACATGCAGAGAGACAGACAGACAGACAGAATGTGCGCAAGGCGGAAGGGGGAAGGAAAAGGCGGCCACGCCACTACCCCCCACTCACTGCATGATCTCGGTCCGGCGAAGAAGCCCTCCTTGGTAGCGACGTCCTTGACGTCCCACGACTTGAGGTAGCACCCGCCCCACTTGGGCGCATACACCACGTGGAAACACGCGGGGTCGTCCGCACACAGGGCCTGGCAGGCCGCCGCGTCCTTGACCTCGGTGTTCTGCCCTCCCATGCCCGTAGCCTTGATCTCGGTGTCAGCCGACAGACAGGAATAATCTGAGCCCACCCATCCCATCAACACAACACACCTAGGGACGGTTGGTGCGTGTGTGGTGTCACCAAACTGACCTTCCTCTTCCTCGGTGTCCTCGGGGGACCAGTTGCAGGCGACCTTAAGGGCGCCCTTCAGGTTCGGCTCCTCATTCTGATTCACCCAACACACACACACACACACACAAAGAGAGGAGAGAGAGACAGAGACAGGGTGTCGACAAAGCGTCCATCCCGAATTTTTCTGTACCGTGACGTTGGCGGGCGTTGCGGGCCACTGCTTGAGCGCACAGGTGGCCTGGAGCAGGTCGGAGGCGTTGTAGACATAGCCGCTGCAGAGCTCCTCTTGCTTGCACTTCTCCATGCAGTCGGCCCGGGAGGCGGAGGGCTGCTCGGTGATCGAGTCGAAGCGGTTGATGTCAAACCCGTCCCCAAGCTCCTCGAAACACCAATCAACTGACACCATTCGCCCATCCATCCATCCATCCATCCAGTGCGCTGCGTGCATACCGCAGTATTTCTCGCCCGAGACGGGCGTCATGCCGTCGCCCCTGTCTTCGACTTTCTCCTCATCGACAGTAGAGGCAAACAGGTGACAGGCCCCGATGACCTCGGGCAGCTGTCTCCTTCGTACGCTGCCGGATTCGGTGTCCGTGTCCGTGTCGGCGTCAATGGCGTCAATGTCGAGATCGGCGACATCGGTTGTTCCCTCCGCCGTCACTTTGGCCTGTGGGACCCATGAGAAGTGGTCGCAGTGCTCGCTGGTCTGGCAGAGCTTGTGGCACTCGACCGCCGAGCTCGTCATGGCCGGCTTGTCGCCGCCCTCGCTCTCGCCCTTATACAGCACCCCCTGCTTGAAACACGCTGTTTGTGCTGCATCCAGACGCACACACAGCACCGAGAGGGAGGGAAAGGCGTACTGTACTGTGTGTGTCGATGATGTGATGCGGGCGGGAGACTGACTGGCATCGGTCAGTCGGCCGACTGACCTTCCTGGTCTTGTTCGGGCGTTTCCCTCTTGTGCATTGTGAATTCGATGTGTCCGTCTTTGACGTCCTTGCCGTCCACGGTGACGGTGTGGTTATTGAGCTTGTGGTTGACACCCTTGCGCACAAACTGCACACGGTTCAGGCTGATCGTGTAGTCACCCACAATCCAACGGCCATCTGACAAACACTCGACACACACACACACAGAAAGTGTTGCCGGCCGTCCTGTCTGTCTGTGCCCGCGTGTGTCGCACCTTCCCAGGCCTCTGTGAAAGTGTCGAAGTGCTCCGTCCACTTGGGGGTGAATTTCTGCGCCAGCACGTCGTAGCTCTCCACCTTGACATAGTCCACAAAGGCGCTCGAGGGAAGGCACTTCATGTCGAACTTGCCGAACTCCTCAACGGCATTGGGGCCGGGCGACCACAGGCTAATATATAACTGCATGGGCCGTCTGAGCGACCGCACCAAGTCGGGGTGCTCCTCGACCGTCAGCTTCCGCACCGTCACGTTGTTGATGGCCCACACCACTCTGTCGGGGGTCCACTCTATTTGGTACCTCTGGTAGTCGGCGGGCTTGGCTGCGATGGTTTCGTTGACCAGATGGGCCCCCAACACGTTCTCTGGCTCGCGCCCGAGACCTGGCGGCATAGCAGCTGAATGGTGAGTGGGTGGGTGGCTTGTGTGGTGACTTGTTGTGGTACCGATGATGAGGCTTGACAGTGCCTCGGGTGTCCCGTAGGCATTGTTGCCCTTGCCGAGCACGGCGAAATCAATCTCCTGCCTGAATGAACCAACACACACACAGACACAGACACAGACAGACACCGCTTTGCCCAGTGTCCCCTTTTCTCTCTCTCTTTGTCGCGGGCTCAGCTCAGCTCAGCTCAGCTCAGGTAATTGAGCTGACTGACCAGGGGTGCCTGGGGTGTGTGGAGTTGGGGTAGAAGAGGAAGAACGACATTATCTGCCCGCTGCACGCCGGCGCCATCATCCTCACCTCGAAACGCCCGTACGAAAACGCCTCATCGGTGGCGATGGACCCCGCGCCCCACACCTTCTGGCACGTTCCCAGCGTCGTGTCGAAGAAGTACTCACCTCGCTCGTGCGAATACGGGCACTGTGCGTGGGCTGCCGCCAGAAGGGCGGCCAGCAGGCCGACACGATTGGTTGCCACAACCATTAGTCGGTCACTGCGACTGGCGGCGGGAGTGTGCAGCTGCCGGGGTTCCTTAAGGGAGGGAATTGCTCGCCCAGCCCAGAGCTTCGCCTGTACTATAATTTCCGCCCAACGGCCGGGGGGCTGGTCGGGGGGCCAGGGCCGTCTCACTGTCACCTCGGCCGAATTCTGAGAGCACACGGTTTGCAATGTCCGTCAACGTGTTAAAGATAGTGCGTCGTGGCGGTGGCCCCGCCCCGCTGGTCAACAACCCCGGCAAGGGCCACTGCTGGATGCAGGTGGGCCTCAACGCACTCATCACGGCCGTCTCGGGGCTGGGCATCGTTGCCGCACAGTGGGAGAATGCCAACTGCGGCGAGGAGGCCACGAGGTACCTGATCACCATGGGCATCATGGCGCTCTTTTCGGCTGCGTTTTTCATCCTGCTGGGGACGCAGGCGGCGAGCGACACCGAGTGGTCGTGTTATCTGATGGTGATGATTGCTATCGGGATTGTGGAGGGGGTGGGCGGGGCCTGGGGCGTGTGGATCTGCTACCGGGTGTACTCGCGGAGACACTTCAAGGGCACTCGCGAACACAACTGCTGGACATCGGTGGGGTCTGTCGCACTCTTGAGTGCCGCGCAGCCGTGTGTTTACTGTGTGGTTCTCTCTGGTTCTTGTCTTGTTTGTGTCCCTCCCTCAGCCCAAGACGCTGTATTATGTGATTCAGACGATGTGCCTGGTCCACATCTTCACGACGGTGTATGCCATCTACATAACGCACATCAGCTTTCTCGTCGAACTCATCAGACAAATGGGATCGCTCAAGGAAGTACGCTGACTGGACTGACTTCTGACTTCTGACTGCTCGAGAGGGAATCAACTAACGGACAGATGAGATGGATGGATGACCGATGCTAAGACAACCACTCGCCGCTCCCCAGAACTCACTGCTCATGCAGAGAGGTAGGTGGGCGTCAATCAAAACTGTCAATGTGTGTGGGCACTGCACTCAACTCAATCAGAAAAACACGACAATCCAATCCTGGCCCCTTCCTTGCCGCGGTGCAATCGCGTTCACACATGTAATTTACATACACCACACCCTGCCCTGGCTCGATAAGCTACCACACGCCCAGACACGGCAAACTCACACACGAAAAAACCACACCCACCCAGACGGTCAGACATGCCTGATGGATGGATGGATGATGGGCTGACCCTTTAAAGCGACGCTTAGTAGTGCTGATCTCAATCACGCTCATGCCGCCCCCTCCCCCTCTCCCCCTCTCCCTCTCCCTCCTTGCTGGCAGAGGCCCGTCTCTCGGCCGCATCGGCAGCCAGGCGCCGCTTGTGCAGTGTCAAAGACCAGCCGGTTGGTTGCGCACCTTCTGACCCGCTGTCGCAACCAACCGGCACCGGCTGGTCGCTGGTCTTGGTGCTCTTGCTGCCGCTGCTCTTGCTGCTGAGGTTCTCCGCGGCCCGCTGGATGATGTCTGCCGGCATGAAGGGGTCATGCAGCGGCCCGCCTGCCTCCAAGTCGACCATCTGAACCTCAGTGTCGATCTCAGGAATATTCTCTTCCATAGCCGGAGGGGGCGAGGGCACCTGCACCGGTGAGGGCACCACAGACGGCGGGGCAGAGTTCTCAGGGGGCGGCTCGGAGCGGAGGTCGAGCGGCTCGGAGCAGACACGATTCACCACAGCCCAGGCAGGCCGCTCGCGAGCCGTCATCGGCGCAGCGTCGCCCTCCCCCTCAGTCACGTCATCGTCGCACTGCTCGGGGTCGGTCCATCCACCGTACTGGTGCGGATTCGCATAATGAGACGCCCGGGGCGCCGCACCAGCCCCCCCTTCGTCCGCCTGAGCGTCCTTGTTGCGTGCAGATCGTCGGGGCCGCACTGCTGCAGCGTCGCCAGGCTTGAACAGGTGATCGGTGATGGAGAAGGGCGGGACGAATGGCTGGCGATTCGCGTAGCATTCGACGATGAGGACCTTGCCCTGCCCGAGGGCATCGGCGGCCGCGTCGAGGCGCCTCTGCCGTCTGCTGGCCCGCTGGGGCGGGATGGTGGTGGGGGTGGTGGTAGTAGTGCCGGGGAGCTGCAGGGTGGTGGACCCATGGGTGGGCGACGAGGTGCCAGCGGGCTTGGCCACGTTGTTGCGGTTCTTGCGGCGTCTGACAGCAGATAGCATGACGATGGAGCGATTGACTGACTGATGTGTCTGTCCTTCATCCACATACCTGTTTTGTTGCGGCTTGCTGTCGACATCTCCTCCTTCTTGCCCCTGGTCGTCATCCTGTTGGCACACCTCACGGGCTCGATCAGCTGACCAGCAGGAGGGAGACAAATCGTCGTTCATCCCGTGGGTCAGCCAGCCGTGAATCATGCATGGCTTACAGTGTGTGTAGAAGACGTAAAGGGACGCCAGGTTGTGTGTGAGCTTGCGCTGCAGCCCGTCGAGGCCCCACAGCATGAGCGCCTCAGGGTACCGGTCGGCATACTCCTGCTGGACCGAACTCATCATCGACACATCTAGAGCCAATAACACACACACACACGATGGAACACTCTTCACGTGGCTGCCCTGCTCTTCCGTACCGGTCAAGTCGACGAATCCCTTGCCAGGCTGCCATTCCACCGCATTTGCCTTGTCAACCGCGCCCCCATCCCTCTCCCCCCGCTTATCCCTCGCAAACTGAATCAGGACATGCTCCACCGCCCCGAGGAACCGCTCCACAAAGCCCCCCTGACCGTCCTCCAGCAGCCGCTTCATGTGGTGGAACGTCTTGTGGATGGTCTTCTCGATGCGCTGCTCGATCGACGACCCGCCCCGCCCCTCCCCCGGGTGGTGGTGGCCCTTGGCCGCCTCCCGCTCTCTCTGCCGCTTGCGAATGTAGGTGTCCTCCTTGCAGCGGAGAAAAAGGTCGAGCAGGTCGACATCGGCAGACAGGCGCGCCCAGATGGAGACCCGCTGGCGCTCGTGGCCGTGGTCCTCCAACTCGCCGTCGGTGTCGGTCAGCTCCTCGCCGGACTCGTACATGGCCCGACGCAGGTGACCCAACTGACACACACAAACAAGAGAAGAGAATCAGACAGACCAGGTAAAAAGGCAGTGTGGTGGGGAAATGTCGCAGAATGCTCTCGCGTTGACGCGCTCACCAGCAGCTGATGGTTGAGCCATCTGGTCTGCTTGCGATTGCCTCGGCGCCCCTGCCTTGACGGCTCCCGTCTTCTGGCGGCCTTGCTGCCCCTGGAGGGCAAGGCCGCTGATGAGTACTCGGCTGGGGGTGGTGCGGGAGGGCTGGGGGTGACGCTGACGATAGGCATCGGGCCAAATGCTGCGTCCTCGTACGCACGCCGGGTTGGGTCAGGCTGGTGGGGAGTGCTCATCGCCATGCTGACGGCTCGAGGGATGAGGAAAGAGGGCTCCTGTGCTTCTCCTTGCCTCTTCCTCTGTTTTGGCCTTCCCGGAAGGGATCGAACTCATTGCGAGCCTCTTCGATCCGTCTCTTCGTTCGTTAACCTCACGGGGACCTTGCCCCCGGCGGTCTCTTGGGCAGAGCTTTCTCCACAGTGCAGATATGGTCCACATCGCACGAACAAGGGTCACTCTGCTTTTCGCCTTGACTTCTCTGACTCGCTACGCCCCCTTGCATGAAGACAACTGACCAGCATCCAATGCCTGTCGATGCATTGCTTCCCCGCCCTGGATCAGATCAGCACATACCTACACACACGCATGCAGCACGCACTACGGCACAGTCAGTGCATCCAAGTTCCGCCGATACGACAGAAGGACGGGCAGACAGACAAACAAAAACCAACCTATGAAAGTAGATAGATACAACAATGACGAGTATATAGAGATACATACAGACAGAGAGGCGCAGAGATACACGAGATAGATACAGAAAGAGCTGCCATCTCGGACATATATGAATCCACTACGCACCGGCCTCCGTCCGGGACGGCACCTGCACAAGGAAGGAGAGACAAGAAAGCCAGCGAGCGCCACTAGCTGTGACTCCGACACCGAGCGTCGCGTGTCTTCTGTCTCTGACCGACCTCCTCTATTGTGTAGACCTCCAAGTCCGCACACACGAATGAATGAGTGGCCGACAGCGTGGCCGATCCGTACTTGCTGAAGCGGCCAATGTACCTCTGGCCGTCGAGGGGCAGATCTTTCTTCCCCAGACAGTGGTAGCACAGGCGAAGATCGCCGCCATAACCTAATTCCAGCCGGCCACCAAAGTATAACTCCCCGTTGTCTGCCACTCGCCGTGCACCGGCGACCTCCACCCACTGCGCGGCCCGGGGAAGTGTGATCTTTGTGATGCGGCCGTCGTCGAATGCGCCGCTGATGGAGTAGAAGGTCACCGGGCAATTGGTCCTCTCCACTGCCGTTGGGTCAGCTGGCTGCGTGAGCTGTCCCTTGATGTGGCTCGCAAAGATGCAGCCGCCCAGGTCCTTGATGACGAACAGCAGATTGGCCGCCTCGCCCACCTTAGCGAGCAGGCAGCCATGCATCCAGCCGTCGCGCTGACCCCTGACAGACACATCCGGATACAGACACAGAGGACAGGGAAAATGCACTCATGGACCAGCTGGCAATAGCGTCGTGGCTTCGGTAGGTGCCCCACTCACTTGAAGAGGAGCTGTGCCGTCGATGGTCTGTCGGCCGCCATGTCGGTGAGGGCCTGCAGCTCATCGGCAGGGATGATAGGGTCGGCCGGACGGGTGCTCCACACCTGCACACACACACAGAGGTGATACATACAGCCCCAACACAGCCATGTGTTCGTCAAAGTCTGTTCTGACCTGGTAGACCTCCAGTCGCTGTGCCGTGAAGACATGGCTGCCGGCCAGGGTGGCCCGTCCCTCCTCATTGAAGCTGCCCACATACGTCTTGTCGGCCGGTAGGTCGCTCTTGTCAAGCCACTGGCGGCAGCGGCGAAGATCTCTGGTGGGCCCATCCCTCCCGCCCCCCAGCCATAGGCGGCCGCCACCGATGGACACCTTGCCGTGGTACACACCGTTGGAAGCCACGATCGCTCCTTCCGTACCGGCGACCGACACATACTGTCTGTTGTGGGGTACGGTGATCTTGGCGATGCCGCCCTCCTTGAATGCACCGCTGATGGAGTAGAAGGCGACGGGGCAGCCGGTGGTTAGTGTTGATGTGGGGTCGGTCGGTGGGATGAGGGGCCCCTCCAAGTGGCATGCGAAGCGGTGCTGCTCTTCATCCTCGATGACGAGCAGCAGGCCGTACACACCCGTCACACGATCCAGCAATGTCTCAAACTCACCGCCGTCACGCGAACTTCTGATGTACAACAGAAACACGCACAGATCGGCGAGTCCATCCTTTCTCTCATCTCCTCTGTTGTGTGTGGTCTTTCCGACTCACCTGAAGAGGCATTTGATGTGGCTGTGGGGTTTGCCGATCATCGAGAGGTACACCCGCTCCATGAGGCCGTACATCTCACACGCATACAGCAGCTCGCCAGCCGATCCGCTCGGCGGCAGCGGCGTGACGGCATCGGGGGCCAACCGAATGCGACGGACGTAATCCACCACCCTGCAGACCACAACACCAAACACATGCAGTGTTGTCTTCCGTCTGGCTGTGTGTGTGTGGTGTTACCTGTGGAAGTTAGCGGCAGACACATCTACGACAGGCCCTCTATACCTGCACACGTACAAAGGAGGCCACGATGATGGCCACCGAGCTCTGATGTCTGCTTGCGTCCCTTCCCACTTGGTGAATCGGTCATAGAGTGTTTGGTAGTCGGCCAGTGTGGCGTCGGTGGTGGCCACCAGCCGACCTCCATCTACAGTCACGCTGAGCACCTCCCTGCCGCCCGTCCCGCCCGCCGACGTGTCGATGAAGGGGCCCATGACGGCCATGACGTCGCGGAAGGCCTCACTGTTCTCATCGCCGGGCTGGGCGTTGATGGTCAGGTCAGTGTGGGCCATGAAGCGGTCGTGGTAGAAGGCCAACGATGACGGGAGGCCGTCATAAATGTCGGTCGTGTCGATGCCGTCGTGCCTCGGGTACTGAAGCGTCACAGCCAACCTGACACCACACACACAGACGAGAGTTCAAGCATTCCAACCACTGGCAGCCAATGTGTGTCGCCCTGCTGCCATTCTCACCAGGTGAAGTACAACGGATCTGCGTCGAGGAAGTGAACACCGTTGGCATCCCGGAGTATCCAGTCATCGAAACGGTGGAGCAATAAGGCCAGGCAGGTGTTCTTGAGGCCATCGCGAAGCAGCTGATCACTCGGGAACCTCATCACCCTCCCGCCCACATTCAGCAGCATCCCTTCCTGACTCGCTGCCGTCGTGCTGTCGGTGCTGGTGTTGGTTTCTGCCGTGGTGTCGTCTGGCGACTCCTTTGGCATGCACAAACCCATCTTGGTCGCTTGGTTGACAACAATGAAACGAGAACGCACGTATAGGTAGCCGTTGACACGAAGGCCTCCCCTCTGGCCAGATCCACGCAGAGGGGAAGACCTTGCCGCGCGAGCTTGGATCGCAGACTGCGAGCTTTTCTCCAGCGGATCTTTTTTGAGCTCCTCCCTGGCGTCGATGAGTGTAGCTCCCATCGTGGGCGAAGGCTCATCGCAGCCGCCGTCCCTGCCATCCATCGACGAACACGCCATAGACAACTCGGAGGCAGATGTCACGCCCGCAGCCATCAAGACCGACATCAAAGTGGCCCTGAACGGCCTGCCCGAGGCGACCAACGGATCTCTAGCAGAGCCAATGGACGCAGCCCGTCATGGGAGAGAGAGGGAGTTGCTTGATGGTGTGAAAGAGGAGGAGAGGGGTGAGGGGAAGATGATGAACGGGCTGGGGTTTGGCGCATCGTCGTCGGCCGCTGGTGCACCGGCGACGCGGATGAAAGACTCGCACATTGACAAGGTACGGTACGCCCATGAGGGGGGAGGTTGCCTGAGTGCGTTCTGTTTTTTCACTGTATCTGTCATGGCTGGCTGGTGGTTGTGTTGTGACGTGCAGGGTTTGGGTGAGCCGATTATCGTTGCGCGGCACATTTCCAAGTCATACGCCATCGTCGGCCGGGACGAGAGTGTCACAGCACTCAAGAACATCAGGTAGACAGACTGGGGAGACCAAACCAACGCACACACACACAGACACAGGGCGCGGCGCGTGCATGTGTATGTGTGCTTCTGTGTGTCCAGCTTGAGCACGGCGCCTGACTGTCCGTTTCCTCCCATCCGTCGCGGCGAGTTTGTGATGATCCGGGGGCCTTCGGGCGGCGGCAAGACGACTTTGCTCAACATACTCGGCACCATCGACCACCCGACTACCGGTGCGTTGCTGACACATATGGCGCGAACACATGGATTCATCCCTCGTCCTCTGTGTGTGTGCAGGTGAGGTTGAGATCTGCAACCGTTTGATCAGTCGGCATTCGACGGACGTGGAGCTGTCGCGGCTGCGGCTGTCCACCATCGGCTTCGTCTTCCAGACGTTCAACCTGCTGGCCACCCTATCGGCCTTCGAGAATGTGGTCATGCCCCTGAGGGACACGCACGCGCGCAGGGGGGTGTCAATTCACCTGATGTGTGTGTGTCCGTGTGTGTGGTTGAATGACTCAGGAGCTGCCGATGATTCTGCTGGGAAAGCTCAACAAGAAGCAGCGGCTGCAGAGGGCCACAGGTCAGTGATGGACCACCACGGCATTGTCACCGTCTGTCCGTCTGTGCGTCTGTCCAGATTTGCTCAAGAAAGTGGGTCTGCAGGACCGGCTGGAGCACCTCCCCAGCGAACTATCCGGCGGCGAAATGCAGCGGACGGCCATCGCCAGGTACACAGATGGGTGGGTCAGCCACACGACTCACTCATGCAGACAGTCAACAGAGGTGATTATCTTGTCAATTTCGCTGCGTTTCAGGGCGCTTGCAAACGAGCCGCAGCTGCTGCTGCTCGATGAACCAACAGGTACACATATGGTGAATCAACAGACAGACAGACAGACAGATGAACAGGTGACTGTGTCCGTCTGGGTCACTGCAGGGGACTTGGACACCCGCAACACGATAGAGGTGATGGATCTGCTGCTGGACATCAACCAGAGGGGCTTCACACACACAGACGAGGAGGACGACCACACCGAGGGCACCAGCGAGTCGACCGGCGGCATCAACAACCAGGAAGAGACGTACGGCACCACCTGTGTCATGGTACAGCTACATGGACACTATCGACTTAGTGTCTCATGTCGGCGGGTGTTTTGACTGTGGTCAGGTGACGCACAATCCTGATTTGGAGTGCTATGCCGACAGGATTCTGTACGTCAGGGATGGCATCTTCGAGAAACAGGTGCCAAGGCAGAGAGGCGGGCGGGCATTCTGAGCGTGTGATGCTTGTGCACATGGGCGGATGGGTATGCTCCGTGTGTTTGTTGTTTGTGCAGGCGATCAATCCCGTGCAGCGGCGGTTGAAGCTGGAACCCTACCTGAAATACCTCAACAGAGCCACACACCAGAGCTGACAGAGAACGGATGGATGGATGGCGCAGCTCGTGCCTGCGCTGGCGCGTGTCGATGTATATACGAATTGTGTGTGAGTCGCTGGTGTCGATCGATCCGTTTTTGAGCCCCTGGGAGCCACTGACTGACTGACTGCACATATCTGTGTGTTGCGTGTGAGCCAGCCAGTGTTCCTGCTATGTGTGTGTAATAGACAGTCTGTCAGCAAACTGTCCCTGTGTGTGTGGCGTTTATGGACTGACTAAGTCTAGTGGTGCAACTTCTCATTCCCCTGGGCGTGTGAATCGGTCGATTACTCGAACGGCCAGACAAACAGCAAGCGTCGGTCAGGCTCATGCATCCAACACACACACACACACACACACACAAACACACGTACCGTTGGTTCCTCCCACCGTATTGCTAGAGCACCAACACAACATCATTCACGCGTGTCACTGAAGCATCCACCCACCAGCCATACATACATACATACATAGCACATCTGATGCCGTCTGGTCTTGTCGGCTAGTGCCCTCCCTCCTTCCCGCCCGCCCTTCCATCCCTCCCTGAGTTATTCGATGCCCAGTGGAATGAACAGCCCCGTCCTCGACAGGCGCCCCAGCTGACCCCACCCAAACTGGCAGTCCTGGTCGCCGAGGTGCTCGTTGAAGCCCTTCTGCACGCCCGTCAGCTGATACTTGGCCACCTCGTCGAGCCGGGCCTTGTGCACCACCTCACGCACACCCGTCATCTTGTTGACCACCTGCCCCCCACTGCCGGCGGCACGAATGGCGAAGCACTTGAGGGGCGGGACGGTCACCTTGACGCGCTTGTCGCCCTGCTGCTCGTATCTCGTCCCGCCCACCACCTCTCTGTTGCTGCTCGTCTGTGTGGCCGCCGACTTGACGAAGTGGTTGACAGCCGCACGAACGCGGCGCCTCAGCTGCGAGTCGCCGATGAGGTACTCGTCGATGGCCGCGGAAGCAGCCGATGGCTCGTGCAGGAAGGCCCCGATCTTCCATGCGATGCCCTCGGCCTCGTGAGGTCCGAATGCCATGTTGGATGGGGAGGGGTGGGGGTGGGCGCCGTCGTGGTGGGGGGCGAGGGGCAGCAGACGGCCGAGACGCATCGAGTGGTCGCGCTGGGGACGAAGAGCGTCGTTGATGGCCGACATGGTGGCATTGGGCAGCTCGTTGAGCACCGTGGTATACTCAGTCAGCACCAGCTGGCGCTTCCGGCGGTCGGCCTCGGTGGCAATCGGCATGCGGGTGATGTCTGCGCCGGTCCGCAGCAGCGTCCGGATGGTGGCCTTGATATTGGGAATGATGCTCGATTGAAGCATCTCTTGGTATTGTCGGTCGAGTTGTTCGTCGTGCAGATCCTCATGCATGTGGACGTCCCCCTCCAACCTGTCGACTCGATCGGCAGCTGTGGCGAGAGCTGTCCTGTTGGGGATCACGCCGGATGTGGGTGTGTCGATCTCGTTAGGCGGGAGGCGACGGCAGAGATAGTCAGCCGAGCAAGGCGAGCCCATGGACGCCGCGTCGTGCAGTGGCGTCCATTCGATGTTGCGAGTGGCCGTGATGCTCGCCCCGTTCTCGACGACAAGGTCCAGGTAAGCGTCGATGAAGCCTTGAGAGACGTATCCTCTCTCGTTCCTGGCTGCGTGGTGCACCAGGTTGCCGCCCATAGCCTGTTCCACCTCAGTCGCCAGAGTGCTGTCCTGCTGAATGAGGCGCCGATACATGGCCAGCAGGGCGTGCTCGTAGTCGGAGGGAGCGCTTCTGCCAAACGAGTCTGAGTGAGGCAGCTCCATCACCATGACCCCGTGAACGTTGGCCTGATGCTGCATCAGCAGGTTAAATGCCGCCTCGCTGCCAGCCGCGATCGCCACACGGATGGGCATCGTGGGCTGGTGATGATGCGGGCGTCCCTGATTGACATCTGCACCTCCATTAAGTAGTGCGGTCATGATGTCACGCTCGAGCTGCGGCGACGACCACTGCGGAAGGACAAGTGGACGGTTGAGAAGGAATCCGCTGCTCTCGTCCCACACCCCATCGTTCTGAAAGCAGGCCCAGACGGATCCCCAGACGGATGGGATGCAGCCGCCGCTCTTGTTGTCGATAGCGAGGGCAAGCAGCGGATAGTGCGAGAGTTGTTCGAATTGGTATTCGAGGGCGTCCGTGCGCAGGTGCAATGCGACTGAGGCATCGGCGTCTGCTCCTTGTCGCTGGAGCCGCTGCGTCACCTCGTCGGCACTAATGACAGTGCGGCAGATGATGGCCTCCGCCAGCTGTCGGCTGACATCACTGTATTCGAGCTCGTCATCGAACTCAATGTTCACGCCGCCGAGTTCCGTCCAGTCAATTCCTGCCGATATGACAACCACCCAACAGCATGACGTTTGCCATCCCCTTCCCTCTTCGTGCATGCCTCCCTCTCTGCTCATCTATCTCACCTGATTGCGTCATCTCCTTCTCTCAGGCCCTGTCGGGGTCGAATCGTCTGATGTCGGTCATGATGCCGGCGTCATACTGGCAGTCGAGGTACTTGACGTTGTAGAAGGTGGCCGAGAGGACCGCCAGCCGGTCCATCTCGCGGATCTCCTTGATGGCCGCCTGCAGGAACCGGAGCCGCTTCTGCCACTGCTTGGTGCTCTCCCACTCGCTACGCTGACCCAACGTCGAAAACACCTGGGCCTCAAAACTTGTGGATGTCATTTAGACGAAGGTGGGGGACACTTATGGGCGTCACTCCCTTCTCTCGTCTCTTCGCCATCTTTGCGAGCTCGGAGCCCAAGACCCAGAGAGAGGGCAGCGCAAAAATGGCGTCTGGGGCCGCCAGCTCGGCCAACAGCTCGTCTGGGGATCCTCTCGACCCCTGCCGTCCGCAGGATCTTGTCGCTCTTTCGTCCAGCGCCACGCACGACGCCATGACCGTGTCTGAGTCTCTGGGGGAGGACCTGCAGCCGACGGAGCTCAAGGCAGCTCAGCCCGCTCTGCTGACGCGGAAACAGGGTGATGAATGCGACTTTGCAGTGAGCAGGGGCGGGAGACGGCTGGTCTCGGCAGGGGCAGCTGTCAGTCGCTTTTGGTTGTCTTGTCATGCCCTTCAGCTTTGTCTGGAGGACGGCTGTCCCGAGAAGAAATGCGACATTCCCCCGCTGCCAGACAAGGGGCTTGTAAGGCGATGCACGCCCCATCAGATGGATTAATGTGCATATTCCATTGGCTCGTTCTGAATGTCAGGCCGGCCGTGTGCTTCGTTGGCTTGAACGTCGTCCTGCACTGCAGAAGTGGCAGATGGACACCCAGGGCCACCAGCTGGAGACCAATCTGTACATCGCACAACTCGAAAAGCGCATCCAGGTGGGCTCTGGGTGAGGGAGACGCCACTCCCCTTGTCGTCTTGCGCGTGAGGTTCTCCCTCCCTGACAGGCCCAGGACCATGATCTCGCCGCCAATCAGGGAGAGATTGACCGCCTGAAGGGGCTGCTGGAGAGCCCTCCCCCTTTGTCCGTGTCTGGCGATTCACTCGACGACGCCAGCAGTGCGGGCCGCTCCACACGCGCCAGCCATGGCAACAACAGTGACACCCACAAGAATGCTGACGATGAGGATGAAAATGAGCAGGGCGGCGGTTCGCTGTGGTCGGGTATGCAGATGTGGACGACGGAGGATGTGGGCATGCTGGCAATGACATTCATGGGAAAGCGCAACAAGAAATGAAATGAGCGGCTGGGTGGGTGGAGATCGTCGACATGAATGAGTGCACGTGTCGTGAAGGGCGGGAGCCTGTGTAGAGCGAGTGGGTGGCGTGGTGGTGAGGAATGAAGGAAAGAGAGAGTGTACCATATATATCTCGTGTGTGTGTGACATGGATGAGTGAATGGATGGATGGTCGACTGGGTGGTCGATGGAGGTCCCTCTGGCTGAGTGAGTGGATGGATGGATGGATGGGTGCTGACTGACCGCCGCAGACAGACAGACAGACATACAGACAGATCATGGCAAACGGACACCTTGACTGATCGACATCGCCCCGATTTCGTTTCGTCTGAAAGGATTATGGCGGCGCATCGTGCATGCAGTCTCACCCACCCACCCATCCCTGGCGTGTACCTGTCCTCTCGCACCCATACACACACACATACATGTCCGCCTGATCCCTTGCCCGACATGCGGCGACGCCACGACCGTTTGTGTAAGGGGCGCCGACGAACGCACCACACACCAGCGATCACAACCCCAGCCGAGGTCAAAGGCGAGTGGACAGACAAACGGACGCATGAATCGAAAACTGACGGCGAGAGAAGAAAAGTCACTCACTCACTCACTCACTCACTTGTGGCTTCTCTTTCGCATGTCAGGCCAGCCAGAACGACCGTCATGCGAGGAATCGGGGCCCCAGTTGAAAGAAAGCGCCCCGGGGGTGGTTGCAGACCACCAATTATTCAGCTCATACCCCACGATGGACTTACGTCTATGGTACACTTACGTGTGTGTGTGTGTATGCAGTGCACAGCTGGCTGTACATCCACATCGAACCAAATCAGCCAAAAACCTTCCCTCGCTGTATAGGCAGGCAGGTGGGCGCACGTAGATAAAGTCACCACAGAAAGGACGCAGCCAGCCCGCCAATAGACACAATGGTCCATTCTGCACCGTTATGCATTCATGTACTTGCTCAGCTACATGGTTGGTTACTCAGCCATCCCTCCCTTCGTACCGTACCCATGTGTGTGCCCTCTCTCCCAAACACCATTGCATAAAGGTAGGTACACGCCACGACCGACAGACACGCCACCTCACCCACTACGCATGGTACATTCCGATCACGCTCAGCCTTATAAAAGACACGGCCGTGACACACGCCCATAAACCCTGACGCACACACGTTCGACACGTACTCGCACAAACAAAAAGAACCATCCATCCATCCCATCTGACAGTCACCGTCTCCCATCCTCTCTCACTGCCCCTCAGTGGTGTCGTGTTCAGCCGATCGCCCGAAGGATGGCGTCATCTCACGCGAATCGCCTGCATTGCAACACATGTGAGCATGCCACACCACACCAGACCACACCATGCCAGCGCATTCATGTCGGCGTGCGGTTGTCTATGCATGTGTATCTGTCTTCTTTCTTGTGACCTTGGTGTGGATGGGCCCTGATGGATGCAGTTCCATTGAAGGTCACTTTGGCGCGGCTTATGGGAGGCGGGGGAGGGGGACTCACCTGCAGACACGCACAGACACACAGGGATGGATAGAGTGTGTTTGTGTGCGTGCCGTTATGTCCCACCTGTGCGTCCCTTTGTGTCCCAGTGGTCCCCGTGGACACGTCAGGTGTGCTGGGGGTGACCTGCTGGCCAGCCACACCACAGACAGATCCGATGAGCAATGACGTATGCATACGGTGTCGATGGCTTTTTTGGCTTTATCCGTACGTCGTGTGCGTTTGGCGTTGCCGCCGTGGTGGATGGCGTCTGGAACGGACCACCACGAAGCTCAAACTTGTCACGCGGCTGCAACAGGCAACCGGCACACACACGCGCGCAGACAGACAGACAAGCAAGTGATACCCAGACAGACACGCCGGCCTCTGCTGATACCATACCTGTTCGGGAGGCGTGACGGTGACAGTGGGAGCCGCTGCGCTCACTTGGGCCGCCGCACGCTGACAAACGCCCAATGCTCAATACAGCCACCAGTCTCTCGCCCGTCACCGTTCCATTCGCTCACCCACCTGTTCGGCGGTAGTAGTGGTCTCAGGTGGTGGTGCCGATGGCTTCGGGAGCGGCCCACGATCGTCGAACCGCACCGCACGCAGCGTGGGGAAGGCGCCCTCGTCCCGACGGCCCTCCTGCTTCATGATCCCAACACGAGGCGGCGGAGGGCGCACAACGTCCTGCTGCTGCTGCTGCTGCTGATTGACAGACAAAGGGCAACAGAGGGAGAGGGAGGGAGAGAGAGTGCGTGGCCCCACCTCATCTCCCCAACCTTCATCTGTGGTGTCACTCACCTGTGTGGTGTCCGCTGCTTTGAGTCTAGGCGGCGGTGCTGGTGCACGCTGGGGTGGAGGCGCGTAGGACGGATACCTGCGTGAGCAAAGAACGCCCGTGCCGTACCGTTCGCCGACTGTGTGCTTGTTCGTCCCTTACTGTGGAGGTCTTGTGGGCATCTGTGGTCGAGGAAGCCGCATATGCGGCTGAAGCACCTCTGATGTATATCACACACGGAGGGAGGGAGGGAGGGAGTCTCTTGCGTGACGTATCACTTGCCGATTTTGAGGCACGTGACGTGACGAGCCTCCTTTTCGCGTACCTTCCCGTGGTGGCGACGACTCCCTTGTTTCGCGTCGGATGGTCAGCTGTGCCGGACGGTAGTAGTCGAACCGAGGGCTGCGGGGGAAACTGAACGAGCCATCGACAGACATCCCAACCCACGCACAGACAGACAGACAGACAGACAGGTATGCATCACACATACAGCTCAAGAGAGGCGCCACCATATTCCTACCGACCTGTATTCGGGCGCGTGTGGGAGCACCAGATGATAGTTGGGACTGTACGCGCCAGGCCCTGAAGCACACCAATCACAACCACACAGAGAGAGAAGAGCGATGCTGCCCTGCCCGACACATCCTCCCCACAACGGGTGCGCCTCGAGTGTCATCACCTGGTGTGCCCTCATCCTCGTCAAACCGGTCGTAGTAGCGCTTGCTCGTCCTGCACACAAGGGAGGGAACCAGCATTCCCACAGATCTCCCCATCCTCCGGCCCAGCGCCTCTGTCCGCTTACGAGAGGAACGATGATGTGTTGTGCGCGTCCCTGCGGTAGGGGTTGGTTGATGCGGAGGTCGTAGAGTACATGGGAGGGTCGCGACGGTCGTCTAGCCACCACATACGTCGACGCCTTCACCTCGAATGGATGCTATCTCCTAGCGAGCTATTGAACCTTAGGGTAGAGGTCTGTGCTCGAAACGCACAGGTCACGAGTTTCGGTTGTTTGTGCGTTCGTTAGTTCCCTGGCCCAGGGCAGGCGCTGTGTCCATAAAAGCGTTTGCTCGGAGGATTGTCCGAGGAGCTACCATGGGTGGTGTGTTGGGGGGGCTGTGCAGGAGGAGAGCTCGCCTGTGCTTGGGTAACGACTGGTGCAGACAGACTCATCAGAGAGCGGACAGCATGCTGTTGAATGTCCTCTGTGTCTGCTCGCGTGTCTGGTGCAGGTCCCACTGTCGACGAAGAAGAGGTCGGCGAGCCTCACAACCGCCCGTTGGGCGTGGAAGACCTCGATTTGTTCAAGGTCAACGAGAAAGTCCTCGCTGGCTTCATCCGACGCAGCGATGCGACGACCCATGGTCCGACCAAACGGCTTGCGAAAGGAATCGCCCACCGCAGCTTCACTTATGCAGATCAAGTGAAGACGCTCATTCAGCAAGGGGCGGATCCTAACGCTGCACCCATACTCTGGGCTAAGGACAGCCGAGGCAAGCCATACTTGCACCGTATCAAGGACGACTCCTCCCCCCTTCTCAGCTTAGCCGTCGATAACTATACGCACTGCGGCATGAGCCATCACGCGACATCTTTTCTCCGGCCTGACTGCGAAGTCGGCATAGTTTTCGACGTCGTTCTGCCCAATTGGTCGTCTGCCGAGCTGCAGCGAGACATCCTGCACGCGCTGCTCGATGGGGGGGCAGACATTAATCGCGGGGACTATACTAACGGACCAGCGACAGTAATGGAGAACAAGGCTATTCGGGTCGCAGTTCGTGGTGGCAACGTGACGGCTGTCGGAGCCCTCTTGGCACGCAACAGCGACCTGCACGGTTCTATTCATGACCACGTCATAGACCTCGCGTGCCTCTATGTTGTCCCGCCGCGTCCCCAGCAGTACGAGAATGCCCTGCTGACCATCTACAGACTACTCCTCCAACACGACCCAACCATCGCAACCCATACACCACCGCACGTGCCTGTGATAGGTACCTGCATGTTTGTGTCCTCGGCATGTGCGTCACTTTTGTACTTCTTGAGATCCAGCCGCAGCGGAGACAGACGATCGCCCAGCCTTTCGCCATCTGAGCTGGAGCCCCTGTCCGCCCTCACCTTGTGCATCGCGCAGCCGACTGGGGTCATTTCTACTCGCAAGCCTTTCTGGAACAGTATCTAGACCTTATCAGGGAGAGCGGTGTGAACTTGATGGCCATGGACAGCCAGCAGCAAACCCCGTTGCACACGGCGGCATTTCATGCCTCTTTCCACGTCGCTGACTACCTGTGCCGGCATTCGACTGTCGACGACATCAACAGAGGGACGCCAAAGGATTCCACCAACACGCCGCTCGCTTGCGCTGCGAGAGAGCTAGACATGCCCTCGTGCGCTTACAGAGCGCTTACTACCGTGCGTGTGCTGCTGCGCGGTGGGGCAGCGCCGTCCCTTACTCGCATGTCCACGGCTACCCACGAGCATCGCCGTCGCCAGCTGCTGGTGGTGGACGAGTACAAATCAGTGCTCAACGAGCTGCCCGATGTGGTCATAACGGCGATCAACGCCGCCCTCGCCCCCCATCGCGACCACTCGATGCTCCTTGCCCGCCTGCTGCCCCTCGCCCCGCATCATGACGGCGCCCACCCCCACCCCTCCCCATCCAACATGGCATTCGGACCACACGAGGCCGAGGGCATCGCATGGAAGGTCGGGGCCTTCCTGCACGAGCCATCGGCTGCTTCCGCGGCCATCGACGAATACCTCATCGGCGACTCGCAGCTGAGGCGCCGCGTCAAGGCGGCTGTCGGCCACTTCGTCAAGTCGGCGGCCACACGGACGAGCAGCAACAGAGAGGTGGTAGGCGGGACGAGATATGAGCAGCAGGGCGACAAGCGCGTCAAGGTGACCGTGCCGCCGCTGTAGTGCTTCGCCGTCAGAGGGCCCCGTGGTGGGCGGCCCCGCCTGGTGGGTGTGCGTGAGGCGGTGCATAGGGCTCGAATGGACGAGGTGGCAAAGTATCAGCTGACGGGCGTCCAGAAGGGCTTCAACGAGCACCTCGGCGGCGATGATTGCCTCTTTGGTGAGTGGCAGCAGCTGGGATACATCGATAGACAGACGAATCTGTTCGTCCCGCTGGGCATCGAGTAGAGTAGCGACCAGCAGCTGGATCTGTGGGGCAGCTTTCTGCCGCTGCACGGGTGTGTCGTGGATGTGTGGTATATGATTATGTGTGCCGTCTCAGCGCACTCATCCGTGGCGTTGCGGACGGAAGGCGATTGACACATGCAATCGAATCGTGTCCATACCGTATTCACATGGCCTGGCCAAACAACCAGCTCATATGCGTCACTCAAATCCCCCTTCACACAGCAAGAAACACGCCCGCTTTCCCTTTGCTCTCCAACACCGACACACGCACTCAATTCACCACGTCAGTCTTTTCCACACATCCCTCGTAGGCCTTCAGCAGCCGCCTCTCGAAGTCTTCGTCCCTGGTAAACACACGCCCATCGACCTCCACCACCGGCTGCAGCTCATGCAGCGAGTTGACCAAATACAGCTGACAGCGGCCGGGTGGGGGGAGATCGTCCGCCCGCCATCTCACTTGCTCCGTCTTGATGCCCAACACGCTCCTAGCCCCATGTATCATCACGTCAATCGTGGACCCATGCAGCAGAGGCAGCTCGAAGCACGGCGTATAGAGGGAGCCGTCACGGCGGATGAGAAGGTTGGCAAAGGCGGACTCGAGCAGCCATCCCTCAGGGCTGACAGAGATGATGTCGTCCACATTTCTGCTGACGGCCTCCTGCCGGTACATCAGTCGCTCCAGATAGGCCAGCGACTTCAGGGATGACAGGCGAGCAGATGACGCACGCCGCTCGGAAAGGGCCACACGTAAGCCACCAACACCCGTTTCCCCATTGCGGATTGGCTTGAGCATCATCAGCAGTGTCCCATGATCCCTCTCCGGCAGAGCAAGCGACGGCTGGCAGCCGCCGGTGACGATAATCTTGAGCCGCCAAGTCCCCCTCTCCGCTGCATTCGCCTGGACGAGAGCCTTCACAGCCGACAGGTTGATGTCAGGCGCCCTGATGCCCAGCGAGCAACATTGCTCCATCAGGTTCCGGACGTGAGCACCGAATTCTCGTACAGTGCCGTCAGAGATCTTCATGGTGGTGAAGATGCCGTCGCCGAATAGGAAGCCTCGGTCTGTGACGGGAATGGCGGCGACAGACCCGTCCAGCAACTCGCCGTTCAGCCACACCTCCGGCATGGCATTTGAAGCGGCCTTGTTGCACGGTGGTTGTCGTTCCTCTAACTCAAATTGATGGTAGGAATTCCTACTCTGCTGGAGCCGTGTTGTCGCAGCCCAGTTTCTTCGTGGGCTCACCTTCAAAAAGGTGGAGCCGTTTGTCTACGGTATCTGCGAGCTTTTGAAATCCCCCTGGCAAAAAACCTGCTTCTTTCGCTTCGATGATGGCCTTTAAAGTGCTTGTGGTTGTGTGTGTGATGTGCTTCAGGTGGAATGTGTGAAGATCTGCGTGATTTTCAAGTTCTCGGGATGGAGTCCTTCGCTGAGGACCCAGCTGAGAAGACCGGTGAACTCCTGCCCTTTGACGCACCGCAGTCGACGCACTGCGTTCCGGTCACTTTGTTCAAGGCATCATTTCAGCCATCTCGCGGTTTTCGGCAATTCGCTGGACCTCTTATTTTATCGTTCGCGTGTGAGTGATTGGTGGATGTGGTGCGTCTGGTGACGCACCGAGGAGCCCTCTGCCCTCATGTCGGTCGAGACGAAGACACGCCAGACGCACCGTCGGCGGCTGAAGAGAAACCAGCGCCTTGCAACCCTCCGCCCGGCTCCCTTGTCGATACCCTTGTCAATTCCCATGGTGCCGCACCTTAGCTCAGTCGTGCGAGTGATGGACCCCTTCGACGGCCCCCTCATTGTGCTCTTCAACGCCCACCAGGCGCCCGCACGCACAGTCGCTTTGGCCCTCTTGCTGACGAAGGGCGGAAAGGTCTTCTGTGTGGTGCCGTCAATGCAGCTTTCCGGCCTTCATGAGACGATGGCTGCCATCGACGCCAACGGCGGACGCGCAGCTGCCCACGAAGCTGACGTGTCGAGACGATCGGCGGTGCTGTGTGGGATGGACGAGGCGAGAAGGTGGGGCGGCAGACAGGTGGATTATGTTGTGGTGGCAGACAGAGGCGACCGTGCTCGCGAGGAGGTGGACGACGACGTGATGGCTTTGGATGTGGCTGAGATGGAGAGGGAGATGGATTGGGGGCTGCTGCCGCATGTGTGGGCCACACAGGCGGCGGCCAGGGAATGTGTGCACGCGCCGAGGCAAACGGTGAGGACCAGAAAGAAAGAAAAGACACGCACGGATCACTCATGGACGGAATGAAATGAATCCAATGTGCGTCTGTGTATCTTTGTCTGTCTGCCTGGTGCAGCCACTGTTCTTCTTTCACGCCATGACGGCCCCAGGCCTAGGCCGCATCGGCCCCCTTGTGGACAGCACCCACAGCGCCATTCACGAGCTCACTCAAGCGAGGAGGACGTACAACCACCTGCCAGTGTCCCCCGGCCGCCCCCTGTTCGCCTTCTCCCTCACCCTCCCCGCCCCCGAGCCCCCGCCACACTCGCTCACCCCTCTTCTGGATGCACTCATGAGCACATCCACACCGCCGCCATTCCCTCCCGGCAGCAACCTGGAGGTCGATCCGTCTGGGAGGCCGAACGAGCTGCCCAGATTCCGGGAAGTCACTAGTGGAGCTATGCACCCCAGGAGTCCGCCCCGAGAAAGGGTCGTCCAGTCGCGAACAATGGCGTCGCTTCCATCGTTGCCTGGGCTGGTGTGTGTGGTCAGCGACGCCAGCAGCGATGTCGGGCAGGCGATCGCTGTCGCTCTGGCGAAGAAGCGGGTGCAGGTACGGTGCTGACAAACACATGAGACGCTTGCAAGCATCCTGTGTCGTTTGTTGTGTGTGCAGATGGTGGTGTGTGGCGGCCGCGAGAGTGCTGAGATTGTGCGGGGCATCGAGGATGAGGGCGGCTCGGCGGCACCATACGAGGGCACAATTGACGGCGCTTTCACATTCGCTGGTCGGTCAAACAAATCACAAAGACACGCCCTATCGTAAACACGAACTATGTATGTATCGTTGATCTCTCTTCATCAGAGACGCACTACGGCCACTGTGTTGACGTCTACATCAACACCAATGGCGGTAGACGGGATCAACGAGCCGACGGGCTGGACGACGCGCGAGAGGTGTGGCGCGCCGAGGTCATCGGGGCGGTGAGGGGATGTCAGATGGCCATACGGCACTTCCAGGCAGCGAAACCGCCAAAGGTGAGTGACCAGGGAGAAACGAGATGAGCAAACACAATGCATATTGGTGGTTGGATTGATGGATGGATGGATGTGCGCAGACGAGTGCCTGCTGGGTGCTGAATTTGACGTCGCGGCGATGTGTCGCCTCCCACCTCACGACCGCGGCGCTGCACACACTCACCAGGTGGCTGGCGCACTCGACCGGCGCGTGTGCGGTGAGGCGGCATCACCCCCTGCTTGATGTACGCGTGGTGGCCATCGACACGTCCGGTGCTCATCCGAAGGTGCGACAAGGAACGATCAGAGATACACTAGCGCAAGCGTTGATGAGCGAACATGTGTGACTTTTGTCTTTTCTGTCTGTCAGGGTGTTGGGGATTTTGTGGTGTCGCTGCTGAGTGGGCAGGGGTCCGCATGGGAGAGCGGCTCGGTGATCAGACTCGACTGCAACGGCAGTCCGCAGAATGTGGCCCCTGACTGACTGATGGATACCTGGATGGATGGATGGATGGATGGATGGATGGGGAAGGTGTGCCTACATAACCTAACGGTACGGTCGGTTGTGTATTTTTCTCCCTCTGTCTGCCTGCCTGCCTGCCTATCTGCTGTCGACTGATGACGGCAGCTCTCGTGTGGGCCTGTGTGCCAGGGGAGAGGGGGATCCGTTGATGCATGAGTTTATATGGGGGGCCCTCGTCTCGTCTCGCTGTCCGAAAGGAAGTGGAGGGGAGGGAGGTGGGACCACACTCATTCGGTGAGTGAGTGCATACGTGGGATGGATGAATGTCTATGCAATGCATACGGCCGGGCGGGGAACAGACAGGGGTAATGCACTGCGCATGTTTTCATGCCTTCATTCCATTGCATTCCATACCGCTCTTTTTTCGTCGATCTGATCGACGGAGACGTTTTTCTGCTGCTTGAACTTCCTTGCTTCATACCGGGGGATGAGCATACAAACATATCACGTGTGTGCGTGTGCGTGTGCGTGTGGGTGTTGGTGTGGGTATGGCTGCATGTGTGCGTGTGCGCTGCGGTAGGGTGGCATCTGACCAGACGCCAGCCTACCGCAGTGTGGGCGAGAGAGAGGAGACAGGGTGAGAGGGGGGCGGGGGGGAGAAAAATGGCTATTTGTCTCACTCAGTCACTCACTCACTCGTGATTCCGGGGCAAAACTGTTTTCATGACATTTGCGTGCGTATGGGTTGGGTGGTACACATGTCTGCCTGCCTGCCTGCCAGCATCCTAACCACAAGAACGACTTTGCCCGTCTGCGTGTCTCTCCGTGCGTGATTGTCTGTGATTGCCTATGGGGGGATGCGATACATGCGGTGTGCAGGACCATCCTGACTTCATATATGCCTTTACTTACATGGCACTTTGGACTCGCAGTGCGTCGATGGATGTGTGAGAGGAAGTGCATTATGAGGGGACACATGCGTTAAAACGTTAGTCGTTCATATGCCTTCTGTCTGTCTGTCTGTCTGTCTGTCTCTTGATCGATCGATATGGGTCGCGAGGGAGGGGGGAGGGAGGGAGGGAGGGAGGGCGGGTGGGCAGGACCGAACGACTGTCCGAGTATGGGTGTGTCCGACTGTATGCAGTGAATGACCCACTTGAACAGAAATGAATGGACCGTCATTGAGCTATCCAACCAAAGTCAATCACTGCAGCAGGCAGGCTGATTAAGCACCTGACCTGACACCCATCGATAGGCAGCCAGCAGACGCGCCTCGGGACAGAGATGAAATGGACGGATGCTGCCGCAAGAATGGTACAGAGAGGGAAGATCCTATGGCTGACAAGACGGCCTATGGACTCAGAATAACCAAGCGACGCTCTGGTGACCTTCAGGGGCCTCTTATTCCACCTCAATCGCCTCAAGGTGGTGGTCCACATGCCGTCGATCGAGTCGATCGGCGATCTGCAACGGGCGTTCTCCCCGCAGAGGCGACGCTGGAGGCTGAAATTTGGTGTGCGGAGAGAGCTTGGCGTGACCTCCATTTTGACTCGTTGCATGCCCGCCTCCGTGAGCTGGGCAAAGCGCTAAGTGCCAGTTAGAGGGACGCAGACTGAACATAACAGCTCGCACCTTCGTTTGCGAAAAGCGACCAGCCATTCGACAAAGTGACCAGGCATCACGCACATCAGGCCGCCTTCTCCCACAGCACCACCACCCAGGGGTTTTGCCGAGTCGGAATTCCACCGCAGTTTCCAGGAAAACTGACGGGGGAGGAAAATGTGGTGGAGCCGTGCTGTCTCCCTCCTCTTTTCTTTTACGCGGGTCTGGAGCCGTGGTTGTCGCGGTTCCCGCGATCTTTTTTGCGAGCTTCCTTGGTTGGAAGGAAGCACCGTGAACCATGGCGCATATGCAGTCGAATCAAGGTGACACCACTGAGACGAACGCCGGAGAAAATCCGAAGAAATGTCACCTGATTGCTGTGTGTATGTTCCTCTCCCCGGCAGGCCTCCCTCCCGGCATGCTGCCGGGCATGATCCCAGGCTTCAGTCGACCCCCAGCGGCTCCCATGGCGCCTCAGAGCCAGCCGCCCCCTCCTCCCAACCCTCCCCCTGCTGCACCAGCACCCGCACCGGCCTACTTCCCCACTCCCACGCCCATCCGGCCCATGCAGTATCCCGCCGTCCCCCAGGCGTTCAACCCTGCCGTCATGGCCACCGCTCCATCGGCATTCAGCCAGCCGAGGCCACCGCCGAACGCCCCAGTGGTGTCATCTCAGGGGCAGGGGCGGTTCCCACAGCCGAGGCCGCCTAGCAAGGAGCAGCAGCTCGAGGATCTCCAGAACACCCTGTGCGTGAGCAGAGAGGGAGGGGTGGGTGTAGGAGCGATGAAGGATTTTCACTGTCGATTGGTGGTTTGGTGTGCAGGAAGGATGCGCGAGGTTGGCTGCGTCAGGTGACCAAGGTGCGGTGCTGCAAGTTGCGGGGGCTGTGCTACGAGTGCATGAAGGCCAAATCCATGCCTGTCGACGACCGGCAGTAAGCAGACACACAGGCAGACGGACAGACAGACAGGGAGGGAGGGAGAGATCCATAGAGGCACAGTCGTACGTGCATTGTGTGTGTGTGTGGTCTGTGCGTGTGTGTGTGTATGTGTGTCAGTTACGAGGCCATTGTGTGGGCCGGGTCAGCGCAGCTGTGCTCTGGTAAGGAAGGGCGAGACCAAGGCTGCCTGACACAAACCCACTGCTCACCGGTGGCATCATCCAATCCATGTGTTTGCGTGTGAGCGTGTGTGTGCAGGGTGTTACAGCAAGATGAAGAAGCAGCTGAAGCACCGCCCACTGTGTCAGTTCTGCAGGAGGTCGTTCATCCCACTCTCGTGCTACCAAGCGGTCAGTAGCCGGCCGGGGTGGGTCGGTGGTTCGGTGGTCATCTCATCCCATTCAATTCACGTACGTGTGTGTTGCCCTTCCCTCCCTCCCTCCCTTCCTCCCTCCCTCCCCACAGGAGTCTGTTCGCGGCACGTATCAGGCCACCTGCAACGAGTGCTTCGCTGCATACCGGGAGAACGCGTCAGAAGTCTCCAAGTCAGTCACCATACCACAGCAGAGCACAATATAGTCCCTGGATGGACGGATGGATGGATGGATACCCACACACATGAGATGGCCGTTCGCTCCTGTGCCGTCCGTGGTCAGGTGTGCGTTTTGCGAGTTGGAGGCCGCCTTCGGCGAGAGGATGTACTGTGCCGAGTGCGATCGACAGAAGAGCCAGTGAGTGAGCCACACAGGGAGGGAGGGAGGGAGCATCCATTTATCCACACCCACACATGGCTGGACATCCTGCGTCGTGTGTGCGTGTGTGCGTCAGGTATGGCCCGCCTCGTGAGTGTCAGTGGTGTCGCAAGACCTGCGCCTTCGACAAGGGCGAGCCCAAACGAGCACAGGTACACCCCACCCACTCGCACACACCCACCCCCCACACACGCCCACAGATATGATGGATTCAAAATGCTGCCTGCCTGCCTGCCTGCCTGGCTCTCTCTCTCCCTCTCTCTCTCTCTCTGTGTGTGTGTGTGTGTGTGTCCGATCGGTCAGTTTGGCGGCCGTCTGTTGTGTTACCACTGTTCCCTGCAGTACAACAAAATCGTCAAGGAGATCGCAGCCACCGAACCTGACCGCATCAAACGACACGAGGCCACCTTAAGCAGTGCACGCCCTCCCCCCCATCCACACCTCACCCACACACACACACCCTGCCCTGCCCATTGTGCTCACAGGAGCGTGAGATAGCCCGTCTGGAGCAGCGGTACGAGGACCACAACCGCCGCAAGCGCGAGGCGCGTGAACGTGACGAGGCCGACCGCGCCCGTGCGCAGGAGCAGCGGCGGCAGAAGGAGGAGGAGGAGAGGCGCCGGGTGCTCAGCCAGACCAACATCAGCCTCCCTGAGGAGCAGTATCTCGACGCCAGGAACAGGGGCGTCTATGAGGAGATCAATCCTGACAACAGGACCGAGGCCGAACAAGTCATGGAACTGTGAGTGAGGCCGATTGTTGCAATGCACTGCATTCTCTTGACAGAGAGGTGAAAGACATAGATCATGGTGCGGCCCTTTGTGTGTGCAGGGGTGCTGTCCTGCGTGGCGAGGTGGCTGTGATCGAGGCCCAGGTCGATACCATCGACAAGGCGTACCAACACAAGGTGGGGAAATAAAAGACACAGGCCGCCAGCACACCACACTACTACACCATGTCTGTCTGTCTGCTGGTGTGTGTGTGATCGGTGCAGAAGAGTGAGGGCGAGAAGATCCTCAAGGAGCAGGAGAAGATCACCGAGGGACTGGTAAGTGAGTCGCACCCCCAATCCACCCATCCATCCGTCCACTATGTATGTCTGTCTGTATGGCTCTCTCTCCTCATCCCTTCAGTCGATGGCCGCCGACCGTGCCGAGCAGCGGGCCCGCGACGAGACGGCGGATCGCAAGGCGCAGCTCAAAGAAGCCAAACAGGAGAAAGCGGTCAGCCAGCCAGCCAGCCAGCCAGCCAGCGAGCCACCTACAACAACACACAGAGACCCTTATGGTCATCCGCCATCGGTCCCCTCTCTCCCTGTGTGTGTGTGTGTGTGTGCAGAATAAGGAGAGTGAGTGGGAGGGCATCACCAAGGACCTCCGGGCCGAGCAGCAGCAGGCCGACCGGGAGACCAAATCACTCAACCAAAAGGCGCAAAAGTAAGTGACCGACGCCACAACCACAGACACCCACAGACCCCCCCTCCCCCCTCCCTCCTTTCACACACACACGCAAATCTGTTCTGTCCGTGGCGCATGCAGGTGTGCGAAGGACCGTGTCGCGCGCGAGTCGGAGCTGCCGGACCTGTTTGTCCGCGTGAAGCGTCTGTTCATGAAGGAGCGCGAGATCCACAAGCAGCTAGAGGCCGGGGAGACGCCCATATCTGAGGAGGGCGAGGAGGAGGAGGACGACGACGAGACCGCCGACGGCATCACACTCAAACTCGCAGAGGAATTCCTCCAGGAATATGCCGTGAGCGAGATAAGGGAGCACGACACGGCACGAGCCTGGCCGTCACGCTGTGTGTGTGTGTGTGTGTGTCAGGATGAGATCTCCAAGCTGTTTGAGCGCGAGCAGGAGGAGCAGAAGGCGGCTCTCGTGCAGATCAAGCCCCTCGGCCCCTCCCCCTCCCCCTCCCACCCCCCATCAGCCAAACACCGCCAGAGAGGCCCCCGCGTCATCACCACCACCACCACAGCACAGCAGCCGAGCGGCAGCGAAGTCCAGCCACCACCACAGAAGGGCAGGAAGCGCGCCGCACCACCACCACCGGCACCCCCAGGACCACACAAGCCACCCCCCGAAGACGAGCCTTCCCACCCATCCAAGAAGCATCGATCGCAGGACAGCCGCGAGGAGGCGCAGGAGGAGGAGGACGGTGGCGGCAAGATGGATGTGGACGAAGAGGCAGAGGAGGCAGAGGAGGAGGGCGAGGACGCGGATGCGGCTAATAGTGGTGAGGAGAAGGTGTCCAAGAAGGAGCGCAAGAAGCGTCGCAAGGAGGAGAAGAAGGCCCGCAAGAAGGCCAAGAAGGAGGAGAAGAAACGACGCAAGACCAAGAAGCGGTCGTCCCGGGGCAAGAAGGCATCCGACGAGGCAGACGAGGACGAGCAGGGCGACGAGAGCAAGGCTGCTGAGGAGGGGGAGGGGGAGGGCGCGAGCAGTGCCGCTGCCGGCGGTAGCGGTGCTGGGGACGGCGATGGAGGAGGCAGGAGCAAGGGCAGCAACGAGGGGCCGGGTGAGGAGAGTGAGGACAGCGACGCGCCGCTGAAACCCATCAAGAAGAAGGTCAGCAATACATAAAGATGATCACACACACGCGGCACCCCTGTGTGTGATTGGTATGTGGGGTGTGTGCAGGGCCGTCTCAAGAAGCGCCCAGAGGAGGCCGCCTGACTGGAGGACAGGACTACTGATATACTCTAGTGGCTGTGTAACCTCACACACACCGTACGTGGCCTCATGTGTGGGTGGGTCGGTGGGTGTGGGACGGTCATGCGATTGATTGCGATGGACGATGAGTGGATGGTGTTTGAATGAATGGGCTGTTTGATGCGATGAATGCTCAAGATGTGGAGCACGGCCTTCGCAGCACACGTCATCTTACATAAACGATGACATTAAACCGATACATGCAGAAAAAAGAACCACGCACTAATCACACACAGGTGGGTGCATCAGGTCTCATGATTCACAGCAAAACGGACGCACTTCTTGCAGTCTCTCTTCAGCCATCCATCCATCCATCATTCCACCCTATGTACCCTGTGAGGGAACAAATGGATGGGAATCAAAACGCATACAGAGAGACGAAAGCCACTACAGATCCATTCAATTCGCCACCACACACTGGCCACTCCCGCTCTCCCGGCACGCACGTGAATCGCTACCCAGCCCTTCGACCATTCACTCTGCATGCCTCACAAGTCGTCTCCATCCATCGCACCGCCATCGTCTTCTCCCTCGCCGTCGCCATCGTCGCCGTCCCGCTCGTCGGCCCCGTCATCACCGCCCCCCTCCGATGCGTCGCCGTCGTCCTCCTCAGGCTCCGTCAGCAACAGCTGGAACACGCCATCCTTGTCGATGTACCCGAGCTGCTGCCAATCGAACTGGCAATCCTGGTCGCCGAGATGCTCGTTGAAGCCCTTCTGCACGCCCGTCAGCTGATACTTGGCCACCTCGTCGAGCCGGGCCTTGTGCACCACCTCACGCAAACCGACCACCTGCCCTTCACTGCCGGCGGCACGGATGGCGAAGCACTGGAGAGGCGGCACGGTCACCTTGACGCGCTTGTCGCCCTGCTGTTCGTATCTCGTCCCGCCCACCACCTCCCTGTTGCTGCTCGTCTGTGTGGCCGCCGACTTGACGAAATGGCCGACGGCCGCCTTGACGCGACGTCTCAGCTGGGTGTCGCCGATGAGGTACTGGTCGATGGCCGCGGGGGCAGCCGATGGCTCGTGCAGGAAGGCGCCGATCTTCCATGCGATGGCCTCTGCCTCGTGTGGTCCGAATGCCATGTTGGATGGGGAGGGGTGGGGGTGGGCGCCGTCGTGATGGGGGGCGAGGGGCAGCAGACGGGAGAGAAGCAGTGGTCGCGCTGGGGGGCGAGGGCGCCGTTGATGGCCGACATGGTGGCATTGGGCAGCTCGTTGAGCACCGTGGTGTACTCGGCCAGCACGAGATTCCGCTGACGGCGGTCCTCCTCAGTGGCCGTGGGCAAGCAGGTGATGTCTGCCCCAGCCCGCAGCAGCACCATAGTGGTGCGCTTCTGCCATTCGGCTATCCTTGTTGGGGGTGTGGCGGGATCCGGGAGCCACGAGGCAGCGCTTTGGAAGGGAGGAGGGAGATGCCTTCTTGACCTGTTGATGTCCGCAGCTGAGAGGCGGCGACACAGGGACTCGGCCACACAGGGGGAGATGTGGGAGGCCGCCGCAGCGAGAGGGGTGTGTTGGTCAAAATCCTCCCCCCGGACGTCCGCCCCGTAGGCCACCACCTGAAACGTAGTCACAGACAACAGCAGCTGAAGATGGACGTCAGTGAGTCCGACTGTATCTGCGCTGACCAGATCCACATAGCTGTCCATGAAGTCCTGGGAGAAGATACGCCCCTATAGCCGGCATGGTGCAGCACGTTGCGACCGTCGTCGTCGGTTTCGTTGGCGAATATCCTGAGCCGCTCATAGATGGCGAGCAGCTTCTGCTCGTAGTCACGCGAGGGCCGTACAAAAGCGTGCTCAGTCACCATCACTGGCAGCATCAGCACCATTGCCCCGTCGATCTCCTCGCCGATCTCCTCGCCGCGCTCGAGCAGCAGGTCGACGGCAGCTTCGTTGCCGGCGGCAATGGCCACTCTGAGAGGCCTTCTTTTGTCCTGCATGTACCCCTCCGGGGCATTGATGTCTGCCCCACCATCGATGAGGGCGGTGATGATGTCGCTCTCCAGCTGAAGAGATGACCACAGCGGCAGGGCGACGGGGCACGTCTCATCGTCCGCCATCCAGATGGACGGCATTGTGTAGCCACTCGCATTGTCGATGGAATACGACAGCAAGGGATAGCCGCACCGGCCCGTCCCCTTTCGCAGTAGTGGTTCGACATCCGGGTCAGCACCCTGCTGCTCGATGAGATCCGTCACCTCCTGGGCGCTGGTGAAGGTGCGGTTGATGATGCCCCGCGACAGCCGTCTGCTGGCGCGCTGGTCCCTTGTCGGAATCGAATGCCAACATCGGTCTGCCCCAGCCAGCCATCAGGGAGGTCGCCATCGGATGATGATGATGCTGCAGCCGCCGCCGATGAGGATGCAGCCATCTTCTCTCACGCTACCCTACGCTACAGACGCACACGCACACAGGTGTGCGGACCAGCCTCTCTCATGCGGTGTCTGAAAACGTTGCCTACCTTCTGCATGCGCGTTGATGATGTCCATCAGTAGATGCCGAAACCGCCGCAACTTGCCTGATAAGGAGGAAACGACTTCCCTGAACTTGAAACCAATGCCAGTGTCGCGGGTTCGACCCCCCCCTGTGAGAGTGCTCATCTGGAGGCGGCCTCAAAACACGATGCCGTGCTGTCGCACTCCTGGTTGTTCATGCAGGTATTTAGGCTTGTTCGAAGAGCCGTTTGTCTCTGCGAGCTTTCTCTCTTTCTCCTGCGTTTCCCTTCTGATGGTCCCAAGGTTTCTGATGCTTGTGTGCTTGTGTGCTTCCTTCTGGTGCTTGTGTGCGATCTGATCGAGGGGAGAGACTTCCGCACCGGCCCGACCCTTGGTTAGCGCTTCTGCGCTTTGCCCAGCCCACGGAGGCGGGCATGCAACGAGTCAAAATGGAGGTCACGCCGAGCTCTCTCCGCACACCAAATTTCAGCCTCCAGCGTCGCCTCTGCGGCGAGAACGCCCGTTGCAGATCTCCGATCGACCACGATCGACGTCCGTTGTGTGGCCCACCACCTTGAGGAGCCTCCCATCGATTGAGATGAAGACCATGAAAGCCCAGAATCAATTCATGTCTGCCACCCCCGATGAGCCAGTGTGTATGCCTGTCGTCAAAAAGGGCCACTGCATGCCGTCCGCACCCTGAAGGCCCACTCGCACAGCCACACACTTACACACACCACACACGTGCACATGTATGCAAGTCGGTTGCGATCAACACGGCGACCAATATCCCTCCCCACACCCACACACCACACCCACACGCACGCAGACCCATCAGGAAGAAGGTACGCAATACAAATACGCCCCGCTCATTGTATTGCCCCACTGGCTCGCCTCTCTGAGTGCGCCATACATCCAATCCACACAAGACGGAGGTTCCCGTGTCCACTCTCATGGCATACCACAGGAGATCCACTCCAGGACCTCTTAGGTGGTATGCGACTGCAGTGGAAGCGGAAACATCCGCCTCGGCAGCATCAACGTCACATCGTGGCGGGTGGTGCGGTGCGGGCCACGTATGGTATGGATTGAATGAAAAAACTTGATTTGACAAACAAACAAAACGCCGGAAGACACATAGGCAGATAGATTCCACTCTTCCTTGCCTCGGGGAGCAGCTGCCAGCCACAGTCCCTCTGTCTGTCTGTCTGTCCGTTTCCACTCGTTCAAAACAGTAAGCACCTGTCTGTCTGTCTGTCTGTCATCATGCTGCTGCTGCTCGATCACGTGTCTTTCACCTCGCACCTGCAACCGCCACCATCTCATGGAAGACCATCCTTGAGACCGTAGCGGCTGACGGGGCGTGATCAAAGCCACGTGCCCAGCTGCATTGATTACAAGCACATCCTCTTGTTTGCTGTTCCTCCCTCTCTCCCTCTCTCTTTTGCAGGGCGCCAGCCAAAACAGCGCTGCCTGCCATCAACCGATAGACAGACAATCCACGCACCACGCACCACGATACAACGCACATCCACAGCGCCCAAAACCATCATGGAATGGATGCAATGCATACGCACATCGATCCATCCATCCATCCAGTGATTCGTTCATTCAATCACACACGTACACACGCGTACACACATACACATACATAGATCGATCGATGGATCGCCAGTAGGCCTGCAGGCAGGTGTGCATCAGATCGATGGATGGATCCCACCCTCCATCCATCGACACACCCACAGCCCTCCCGCCAGTCTCTGTCTGTATCACTGAGTCCGTCAGTGAGTCAGTCATTGAGTCAGTCATTGTTGCCCCTGGACACAAACCGCCAGATGGGGCCCACAACCAGCACGCACCCCTGCCAACACCAACACACACAGGAAGGATTCGTCCAAGGAAAGCGATAACGTGACGCCCGGCCACTCACTCACCATCACAGGCATTGCGATTGGCGTCAGCAGCAGCCCAACCAGCCAGACCACAGACAATGTCAGCAGATCTACACACACAAAACACACGCACACAGACACATGTACCAGTGAATGGATGGATTGGTATCTCTCTCTCGGTGTCTGTCTGTCTGTCAGTGTTGAATCGGTCACATCTGAGAGGGTCCATGCCGAGGAGGTGTCTGACGTAGCTGCTGCGCTCGATGACGGCGTGTGTGAAGAACACAGAGAACCCAAACACTATGGCCAACGGACTCAGCACCACAGCCATCAGCACCAAAGCCACCTGCATACACACACACACACACACACATTGCACCTCTCTGTCTGATGGATGGGTGGGTGTGCATCTCACTACTCACCTTGAACATGAGCAGTTTGGATGCGCTCCACGTCCTCAGTCTGTGTCGGCCCGACTGCAGACCCGGGCAGCCAAAGAGGTTCCACGGCTCATAGTGGTACGCCGTGTACCGACGCCTAACCACACACACACACACACACGCATTAGTCTCTCCCCGGTGTGTGCACACGTGTGCTCTCTCTTTCGCGCACCGGCAGAGCCAGCACCACTCGTGGCGACAGTTGGAGCAGGTGATGTGGTTGCAGCCGGCGACCTTCTCGGTGCGTATGCGGCACGCTGGGCAGGCCTGCACCTCGCGACCCTGCGCCCACACCAGGTAGGAGCGGCTGTCGTCGTCCATCTCGACACACGCATCAGAACCGTGCCACCTGCACCAACCAACCAACCAACCAACCGCCCATCCATCCATCCATCCATCCATCGTACGTATTGATGCATTGTGTGTGTGTGCGTGTGTGTGTGTGTGTACCGTTTTCCGCATTGCAGACAGACAGGTGTTTTGCAGGAGGGGCAGGTGCCTCTGCGGGTGAACAGCCTGGGACGGAAATAACCTGCACACGCAACACACACATACATACGAGTGTCAGACATCCAACATCCACACACACATGGAGGAAGGAATGTAAGCTCCCGTGTGCATTACCGTCGCAGTCAGGCTCGCAGCACCACCGCAGACGAGGATCCTGCACACACAAACACACGCCATCCACACACATACTTGCTCATTCTCCACAGCCCCTCTCCCACCGACCTTGCAGATGCGCAGCCTCTTCTTGAACTTGAGGTACCGGTCGAAGTCGTTGGGGTCGACGAGTGCCTTGACGTGCTTCTCAGACAGCGTCCGCACGCAGCCCTCCGCCGGGCACTTCATGTGCTCCACCTGGTGGCTGTCAATCAGCGTCTTGACGTACGTGCCCATGCACTCGCGACACACCATCCTCGACCCCTGGTGGCCATGACCCTGCTGTTGCTGTTGCTGCTGCCGCTGCTGAGAGCCGCTTGTGTGTCTGTTGCTGTGTCTGTGTGGGGCGCCGGGGCAGCCGCTGTAGTGGCAGAAGATCTGGTCCTCCCTCACCGACTCGAAACACACGCAGCACACGCAGTCTGCATCACCATCTGCACCTCCGTCGGCCCCGGCCGGCCTGCTGCTGTTGCTGATGTTGATGACAGCGGCCGTGGTCTCTCTCTCTCGTTGTCGTTCAGTCGACCCCGCCGCTTTTGAGGGATCGCCATCGGCACTATCGAACGCCACAGCCACGTCATACAGAGGGCCGGCCGGCTCGTACGCAACGGTCGATGCAACCTCGACAACATCATCTCGGTCGGTGTGGGAGTGGGTGCGGGGAACGATGTCATGGTGGTGGTCGCCGAAGGGCGAGAGATGGAAGGTGGGTAGGGGGTGGATGGGGGCGTGGGGGAGGGTGAAGGTGCCGGTGAGGGAAGGGGCAGGGGCGGGGGAGTTGGGGGGCGGTTGGTCCATGGCTAGTGGCGGGGCGGTGTCGTCCCACTCCTCCATCGACCGCATGAACAGCCCGCCGCACAGCCCATCCAGCTCCTCACGCACGCCCTCCAAACCCTCGGTCGTCATTGTCGACATCGAGTGGATCTGCCGCGTCACCCCGCCACACACCATGCCTCCACCCGACGACGACCAGCACCCCTCGCCGGCTTCCAGGTCCATGTCCATGTCCATCTCCGCATCCGCGTGGTCGAGGCAGAAGTGCGGGTGTGAGCAGCTGTCGGCCGCAACCACGGTGTGGAAGGAGGCACACGAGACGGACGTCTGGAAGTCGCTGCTGGTGGGGGAGAGGGCACAGCCGCTGGTCGATGGCTGTGGCTGCGGCGGTGACTGGGACTGCTGGGCCGACTTGCGTGCGGTTGGTGCATTGCTGGGCGGCTGCGGCTCTGAGAGGCCGGAGGTCCACGTGAAGGAACTCTTGCTCATCGCAGCAGCGCCGGCTTCACTGCGGAGCGTTGCAGTTATGCTGAAAGGGAGAGGGGAAGGGGATCTGCGGCGTGTAAGCTCATGCTGCTGCTCTTGTCGAGCCGAGCACTGCCTGCTTCACTACTGCTCCTTGGGCGGCTGCCTTGTGTGCAAGCTTGTGTGTGCTGTTGCTGCTCACGTTGCGGTGAAAAATAAGGGCAACGCGCAGCAAGCGGCCTTGTTGAGAAAGCGCTGAGAGTGTCGAAAAACGGCGGAAGAGCTGACGTCACGCAGTCGGTCTGCTGAGCTCACATCCAAGCTCGCAATGGCTCGACATTCTTGGGCTTTCTTTCGCAGTCTGGCCGGCTGGTAGTGGTAGTCCAGGCCTATGGATGGAGGCTCAGGATCAGCGGGCAGCTTGCCCGACAATCGGATGCCGCGAGTGCTACGGGACGCGTCGGTAGGGGAGGTCCTGCGAAGGTGCGGGAGCAGAGTGCCATGGCTGACGAGTTTTCTCTGTTCTCTGACGAGGTGTGGTGTGGTGTGGTGTGGCGTGGTGTGTGTCTTGTCAGAATGTCAGAACAGGCGCGGCTCCAGGCCGACACTGCTCCAGGCCGTCCCGCCGACCGTCATCAACCCCGAGATCAACCCCAACTCAATCGGTAGCCGGACACGTGTGCAGCAGCGCTGGATGGACAGATGAGTTGTACCTGTCGTTAAATTGTTCTGTTTGCTTTTGTTGGCTGTCATCGGATCTGATGCAGCGCTCCGTCTACTAGAGCTGGAGCTCTGGTCGCTCAGAGACTCATCGCTGCGGACGCTGCTGAATTCTTTGCTGCTAGGAATGACGGTGGCGGTCAACGGGTCGAGCGTCGACGTGATGGCGAACGTGCCTCTGAACAACACCAGATGGCGTGAGCCGCACACATACACTGTCGTCCACATCTGTCTTGGCTGACGAGTTTCTCTGTTCTCTGACGAGGTATGGTGTGGTGTGTTGTGTGTCTTGTCAGCATGGCGGCGCGGCACTTGAATGCCGGTCCCGCCGACCGTCATCAACCCCAACTTAATCGGTAGCCGGACACGTGTGCAGCAGCGCTGGATGGACGGTTGAGTTGTAACTCTCGTCAAACCGTTTTGTTTGCTTGTGTTGGCCGTCAGCTCTGGTCGCCCTGCTAGAGCTGCAGCTCTGGCCGCTCAGAGATGCATCGCTGCGGACGCTGAATATGCTGCTAGGAATGACGGTGGCGGTCAACGTGCCGAGCGTCGACGTGATGGCGAACGTGCCTCTGAGCAACACCAGATGACGTGAGCCGTGCCGTGCCGTGCGAAAGCCGCATACATACACTGTCGTCCACAATTGTTATTCTATCCGTCGGCCTGATCAGAGACGTGGGGGAGCGTCCAGCGGAGCCTGTCCGCCCCTCTCCTGCTCCAGCTGCTGCTGCAGCGGCCGCCGCTGCAGCACCATCTGCAGCAGAGAGACAGAGACAGGCCGAACTGCTCCGGGCGGCTTCTCTTTTCTTCTCTCCCCCCTCATCACCAAGCCCACCACCTCAGTCATCCCGACGACCACCACCATCACATCCTGCTGCTGCTGCTGCTGCCGGCGGTGGTGGTTATGTGGGCCGTCACGGTGTGAGGCGTGAGCATTTCGCAGAGGTGGACAAGAAGAGCCTCGATGTGTTGGAGGCAGGTGGGTTGTGGGTGAGGCATGAAACATAAGACAAATGTGACGTGATGTATTGCGTCGATTGTGTGTATGGTATGGAGCAGCTGACAGTGAGTTGGAGGATAAGGAGATGCTTTGCTGCCCCATTAGTATGGAGATCTTCCGCCAACCCGTGTCGATCCCATCGGTCAGACAGCGACCACACACCACACACTGCACACAACACATACACACCTGCACGCATCTCTCCCTCCCTCCCTCCCTCCCTCCCCCCTCTCTGTGCAGGGCAACACTTGTGAGTACACGGCCATCGTGAACTACATCCGCCAGTCGCGCCGCCGCCGCGAGGGCCCCCTTTCGCCCACCACACGGAAGTCCATAAGTGAGGGTGACCTGAGGTCGAACCGATTCGCCGTCAGCGCCATTGAGGCCATGGCCAGACAGGTAAGGTACCGTGGGGAGACAGAAGCCTAACCCACAACCTGACTTCTCTTCATCTGTGTGGGTAAGGTCGTGCGTGAGCAAGACCTGAGGGCGCAGCTCATTCGGCGAGATGCAGGGAAGTCGCGTCTACCACCTCCACCGCCAGCCGCTGCCGCGGCGGCCGCGGCGCCAGCAACAGTCGGAGGGGCTGCCTTTTCCGGGGCTGGGGAGCAGGAATCCTCATCTAGCTATGGTAGAGACAAAAGCGACGTAGGGCTTCGTTATCGCTGTGTATGTCGTTTGTCATGTGTGTATGTGTAGGTATGGGCAAGCGTAGCGGTTCTCCGCTGCCACGTGATGGGCAGAAAAGGCCCAGGAGAGAGGGGGAAGAAGAGAGAGAGGGAGAGGGAGACGGAGAGGGAGACAGATAAGGTGACTGAAGGAGGTGAATGGCTGTGCATCGAAAATGTGATGGGAGCAGTCTGTGTGGGTCGATGGATGGATGGATGGATGGGGACATACACACACAATTCAATGGAAATGATCGGCCTGCGGTGCGGTGGTTGGCTGGGCTTACATACACACATACACAGATGGATGTCTTCCTCACACGGACTGATCACGACACTGCTCATGTGTGTGTGAGTCGGTGGGATGAAGTCTTCTTTTCTGTCTGTGCACTGGAAATAGAGGCGCCCGACACACACACACACACACACACACGAATTCGACCGACAGACAGGCAGAGCACAGCAGCCTGTCTGTTCGTCATATCCGCGTGTGTGTCATGTATGTCTGTGTGTGCCTATGAACTGCCTCCCTTTCTCTACTCAACCAACCAACCAACCCATTGATCCACTTCGGCTGACTGACACTAATGCAGGCACCACGCCATGCGATGGATACACAGACCCAGAGAGAGGATAGATAGCTACACACTACGCACACACACCCATCCATCCATCCACCAGACGCCCCTCTCCCCACCCACACCCACACCCACACCACCCACACACACACCAACACCATGTCATGGTGCGTATGGCGGCGGATCAGGGAGTCTTGGATGGGCAGGTGCTGGGGGTGGTGGGGGCGGGGGCGGCGGTGGGGCTGGTGGGGGGATGTCATTGTGCGGCAGCCCCGCCGTCGACGAAGACGCCAGGTGCACCAATTCGCGGTAGTCAAGCGCCTGTGTCCACCATGCGACACGGCACACAAACACGTACATGATCACACGTGTGTTGGTGTGTGTGTGTGTGGGGGGGAGTCGATCGCACTTGAGGGTCAGCGAGGTTGAGGAATGGGTTGACGGGGTCTAGTATGAGTGGCTGCTGCCGCATGAGGGGCCACCAGATGTCGCTGTCGCTGTAGTGAGACGTCCAGATGATACGCAGGGAGGCGAAACGACTCATCAGACACAGCAGAGTGCTCAAGGCCTGCATCCACCCACCCACCCACCCACACAAGCCACGCCACGCCGATGCCGCCATGCGATGCGGTCAGTGTGTGGTGTGTGGTGTATGGATTAGCTACCGTCTGTTGGTCCTTGAGTTGCTTTGCCTGCTGGTGCACGTAGATGGCCAGCAGCTCAAGCAGGTAGTCGCTCGGGCGGCTGTACACATTGCTCCAAACCTGCCATTCTCAGCCCCCAGTCAGCACACAACACACACGACATCCATCCATCCATCCATGCATCCATCGTGACATCCGACCCACCTGTTGGTTCCTCCAATGCTTGATCAGCCGTATGGTCACGCGCACAGGCGCCGGCTGGCGGGACACATACTCACACTGACATACAGACACGCACACACACACAGACAGAGATGAACGAACGAACGCATGACGACGTGTGTCACGGTCTTGCTTACTCTGTAAGGCGTCACAGCCGCGTCGAGGTACTCCCTGACGCGGGGCGGCGACTCGCCCAGGCACTGCATGAGCTCGCCGTAGGTCTCAAACACGGGGGCGGCCTTCAGCGACACCGACAACATGCCCTTGTACTGACAACCAGGCACACACAACATGGCGGCGTGGCTGCTTTGTGTGTATGTGTGTGTGCGTGTTGGTGGGGGGTGGGTGGATTGCCTACGGTGAAGGTGACGGCGTTTGGGAGTATATAGAGGTCAGTGACGTGTTCGGGTGGCAGCAGCATCGTCACCATGCGACCCAACACGCGACACAGCGGGGGGTACCTGTACTCACACACACAGCAAGAGACTTGCAAGGTGGCGGTGTTATGCGATGGCCGACGGACTGACCGACCATGTGTCGAAGTTCTTGGTGGGCAGCCCCTCGGTGTTCAGGATGATGTCACACTCCACAGGCTGCCCGCTCACCGCAGTGCCCTGCGCCCATGCAGCCAGACAGACAGACAGACAGATGGTATGTGGCTCTTTCCTGAGTGCGTGAATGTGGTCCCTCCCTCCCTCAGTGACATGGCTGACATACGTTGTTAGCCGCCCCGCCTTTGCTGATGCTCTCCAAATTCAAACACGAATCGGACTCAAACACCTGCATCGCATCCCCCAAAAGCCGCACACATGAATACCATGCCATCTGGCTTCCCACACGCGTACCTCCACGAGGGCCTTGACGTCCTGCGCCACCCTCGAGTTGAACGCCCGCGATGATATCTTAAGATGCAGCTCGCTGTACACCCCCTCAGCCACCTTGACCTCACCCACCCGCCGCACACGGGACGCACCAGCCACTGGCACAGCAACCGGCTGCTGCTGTGGCTGCTGCACCGGTCGCCACCACGTGACCGTGACGTCACGTGGATACTGCTGGTGCTGGTGCTGGTGTGTGGGTGTGGATGTGGGTGTCGTCGATGTGTGGGTGTGGGGTCGGTGGGGCTGTTGGTCGAGAGAGGGGAACGGTGCTGGTTGGTCGGGGACGCCTTGTGTGTGTGTTGGCGTGGGGACGGCGAAGTCGTCGGCCTGTGACAGTGAGGGCTTCTGGGTATGCGGATGCGGCAGGACACTGATCGACGAGCTGGAGCTGGCCTCCGACAACGCTGCAACAAGAAGAAAGGAAGGCAAACAAACACCGAACATAGTCCTCCTGTGGCTGCATGCCTGTCCCGTGCAATCCACTACCTGGTGCCTGTCCGTCTCCATCACGTTGCTCCCCATCGGCCGCCATGGTCCTGACGGTCTCCTCCGCCCCGCCCGGCTGACCCGCACTCTGACACATCAACGCCTCATCCACCTCGCAATCGAAACACGAAGATCCATCCGTCGACCGCGAGTGACTCGACGGCGTGGGGTGGCTGGATGGGGGTGCGGCGTCTGCTCTTGAGGTGGTGGTCATGTGTGGCGATGGAAGTGACGGGGCTGTGGGAGTGGCCGACACTGTCGTCTGTGTCGGTGTGTGGGTGCGTGTGGAGGGCTCTGCAGGGGCGGGAGGTTCTTCGCTGACATCACATAGGTCGGCGTATTTCTTGAGCGCCACGCGGCCGTTCCTGTCCAGCACGAAGGTGTCGGCGGTCCGCGACAAGAACACGTCAGGCCTGCCACACATCCACAGATATCAATATGGGTGCTCTCTCTCTCTCTCTCTCTGTGGAGGTGGGTGTGTGGGTTGGTAGCTGACCTTCCTCCGATGAGCGTCGACACGGCAACGTGGTGCTCCTCGATGAATCGGCCGCACAGCGCCGTGAGGTCCATCCGATAGACACACTGGTCCTTAGCCATCTCGGCCAGGTACCGCTCCAGCTCCTTGCGCACAATCCGCTCCTCCTCGGGTGTCAGCTGGCACGACACATCACCATCCTCACCACCGCCACCATTGACATCCGACTCTGACTCACTCGCCAACCACACCTGCACACACACATACAAGAAGGATGTCACACCACAACCACGCACATGCACTGCATACCGTGTTGTTGACGAGCCTCAGCTCGTCCCGCGATCTGATGAACTCCCCAAACCCATACTCGCTCCCCACCAGCCGCAGCGCCTCCTCGACGGTCGAGCCATACCGATAGCAAAACAGCAACGACAGCTCGTCCATCTGCAGGCCGTCGCCGACACACGAAGTCGCCCGCTGATGGTGGTGCAAAAGGTCGCGGAGCATGTGCGCGACGGTCGTGTCGGTGGCCGTGACGACCATCTCCATGTGTGTGCCATCGGTGAGCTTGGCCGTGTCGGGGAGGGGCTGGGGATGAGGGTGGTCGGGCGATGAGGGGAGGGGGCACATGTCATACTGGTCGATGGGGAAGGGGTAGCGGAAGAGAAACAGCACACGCTCCTTCAGCGCATACACCTGAATGAAGCCAGACAGACAGACAGACAGACAAGCAGGCGAGCAACACACTCTGTGGGTGGGGTGGTCTGATTATTTTTCTGTTTGGGTGGATGAATGAATGCATCAGGCATCATTGGAGTGTGGTGCCCACTGACCGTTTCTGTGGAGCCGATGCGCACCTCCTGGTCCCTCACCACCGGCTTTGCACCCACACCCGGCCGCACACTCACAAACACGGTGATGAGGCTCATCCCACCCACCCGCTCCGCCGAATCCGCCCGCCCGCCGCTTCTTAATGCCTATGCTGTGTCACCGTCGTCACTTGTCATGGGGGATAAGCCGTCCGTGGTTGGCGAGAGGGAAGCCGAAACGGTAAGTGAGATACGATGGTCTGGAAGGAGAGAGAGGACCAGAGGTGGTAAGGTAAGAGGGAGTGAGATGCGACAGACACACACGGGCCCACGCAAGAAGCCGATGCACGCGAAATGAGCGATGAAACGGATGCACCCGATCGCCGGTGGTGTTTTCGGCGGGTGTAGGGAGTTGACGGCTGATCTGGCTACGAGAGGGGCGCCTGGGTCTGTTGCTGTCGATTGCAAGCACCATCACTCATCCCTTCTCTCACCGCAGCCTCTCTTCCCGCTGCCTCAGCCATGAAGGCCTCGTCATCCATCGGCGAGGGCACAACAGTCGCCGGTAGCAGGCCAGCATTAGACAAGATAAGCGGCTGGCCGCTGCTGCTCAACGTGGGCGGCACACTCATGGCGTTCCCCCGTGATGTGCTGCGTCGGGATGGCCTCGAGGACACCTGCCTGGCCTTATTGCTCCACCGTTTCGATAGCTGGATGATTAGAGATGCCGACGGCATTCACTTCATTGACGCAGATCCGTTCTACTTCACCTGGTCAGAATGGCAGCAAGGCGACACACACTGGCTGCCAGTGGTTGGAATGCTTGAACTCTCGTCTGTGTGTGTGGTGTCAGGTTGGCTGTGACGCTTCAGTACCCGAGGCACGACGGCATTGACACGACCGACATTTATGACGGCCTCCCGTCATCGTTGGCCTTCTACCACGACCGCTTCATGGCCCACACCGACCTGACCATCGACGCCCAGCCCGGCGATGAGAACAGTGAGGCCTTCCGCGACTTCATGGCCGTCATGGGCCCCTTCATCGACACATCGGCGGGCGGCACGGGCGGCAGGGAGGTCCTCAGCGTGACTGTGGATGACGGCCGCGTGGTGGCCACCACCGACGCCACGCTGGCCGACTACAACATACTCTACGACCGATTCACCAAGTGGGAAAGGACATGGGCATACATGAGAGCTCGGTGGCCATCATCGTGGCCTCCTTGGTGTGTGTGCAGGTACAGAGGGCCTGTCGTCGATGTGTCTGCCGCCAACCTCCACAAGTAATACGACCACAGCCAGACGGAAGACAACATCTGCACGTGTGTGGTGCTGTGGTCTGCAGGGTGGTGGACTACGTTCGCCGCATTCGATTGGCCCCCGATGCCGTCGCGCCGCTGCCGCCGAGCCGATCGGCTGGCGAGCTGCTGTATGCGTGTGAGATGTACGGCCTCATGGAGCGGGTGTACCTCTCGATGATCGGCAAACCCCACAGCCACATCAAATGCCTCTTCAAGTGAGCGAGGGAGACCACGCACAGCGGATGGGCGGCGGGAAGGTGATGGTCTCTTTTTTGTGTGTTTCTCTTGTCCGTCAGGGCTTCACACGACGGCGATCAGTTTGAGGCGATGATGGATGGTGTGGCGGGTGCGCAGGGCGGCCTGCTGTTCGTCATCGAGGACGACAAACACCACAACCGCTTCGCATGCCACTTGGAGGGGCCCCTCATCCCACCGACCGACCCCACATCAGAACTGACCACCGGCTGCCCCGTGACCTTCTACTCCATCAGCGGTGCGTTTGACGACGACGGTGTCACCAAGATCGCCGCGCCCCACAACAAGCAGTTGGTGATGGTCGCTGGCACTGAGGGAGCAGTGACGACCGACGACATGGTGCGTCACGGCAAGGTGGTCATTGGCAACGGCCGCCTGTGGGTGGGGGTCGGGCGGGATGGGCCCACCAGGGATCTTCGCCGCTGCCGCCAGTGGCTTCACAAGGGTGAGCTGCCGGCCGAGAAGACGTATGTGGGCAGCTTTGACGAGGGGGGACGGGCCACCCTGGCCGGCAGCCATTTCTTCACGGCACAGCGACTGGAAGTCTACCAGGTAACACAGACTTCGACGAACACATGACTGTGTTGGGGCTGTATGTGTGTGTGTTGCACCTCTGTGTGTGCGCAGGTGTGGAGCACTCTCCCGGCCGCCCCCATCCTCCCCGCCGATGAGCTGCAGGCCCTCGTCGACATGGCGACCGACACCCCTATGACCGCACAGCTTCTCTACAAGTGAGCCAGCTTCAAATACAGTGGGAGGGGGGCAGCAGTGCATTTGCCGTCTCCTCTCTCTCTCTCTCTCTGTGTGTGTGTGTGTGTGTGTGTGTCAGGGGTGAGCGTGACGGCTGGACGTATAAGGCCCTGCTCGCTAAGGTGGGCGAGGCGGCCAACCTGCTGTTCGTCATCAAGGACACCGGTAGCCACACCTTCGCCAGCCATGTGGAGGGACAGCTCAAGCAGCCAGCCGACGCCACTCGAGTGGAGAGGACCAATTGCCCCGTGACCTTCTACTCCATCAGCGGCGCATTCGACGACGGCCGCATCACCAACATCGCCGTGCCCCACATCTGGCAGAGCGTTGCGGTCGCCGGCACGGAAGGAGCGGTCGTGACCTCCAACGGTGTGGGCCATGGCAAGGTGGCAATGGCTGGCGGCCGCCTGTGTGTGGGGGTCGGGAGGGGTGGGACAGCTGGTGACCTTCGCCGCTGCTGCCAGTGGCTTCCCAAGGGTGAGCTGCCGGCCGACAAGACGTATGTGGGCAGCTTCGACGAGGGGGGACGGGCCACATTGGCGGCCAGTGATTGGTTCACGTGTGCCGACTTGGAGGTCTACACAATAGAAGAGGTCAGTCCGATACAGAGAGGCAGGTCGACATGCGTCAATGCCGGCCTCTTTCCTCTCTTGTCTGTGTGTGTGTGTGTGTGTGTGTGCTGACAGGTGCCGTACAGCTGGCTGTGGCTGAGCGCGGCGGCGTCGCTGATGGAGGGCAGACAGGAGGCCATGACCGCATCATAGATGAGAGCCAGAAACAGAGCCCAGTGCCTCAAGGATGTTTGAGAGAGTAGATATCCACCCACTCACTCACTCGTGTGTCGATATAGTCCTGATGGCCATTGTCCGATTGCGCACATGCCTTGTGTGGTCGGTGCCATTCTCTGGTTCATGCCCTTCGTGACGCCGGCTATCTCTGTGTACATGTGTGTGTGCTCTTTATACACCTCCCTCTCTCTCTGTGTGTGTGGTGCACGCAATGCTCGGCCGCATGGACTTGCTTCATGTGGCTGTGACACTCTGTGTGTGTATAGTTACCTCTCCGGTGCATCAATCCTGCTGCATGAATGGCTGGATGGCTGGATGGCAGACACGACGGAAGAAACGAAAGTCGCTTCACACTTTTGTTTGTGTCCATCGGGATGGTATGGTACACTTGTCCGGCCCGCCATCACACACACGAATGCACGAGCGTACGATGCGTAGAGAGAACAATAATCCCCCCCACCAACACGCCACCAGCTGACATCACATCATCCCGGGCAACCAATGCACGCAGACATTCGCAAACTGGCAGCAAACATCCCAGTGTTCATTCGTCGGCAGGTAGTATCTCTTTATGCCGACACCCGCTTTCTCTTGCAGTGCCGCTGTCGCTCCAGGCTCATGTCCTGCAGCGCCGCACCGCCCGTGCTGCTCCGTCTGGCGCGGACGCGCACACGTGTACGCTCCATGCGGCGACTGAGCGGCTCGGTCTCATCCTCATCCCTGACGGAAAACGACACGACGGAAGGAAACATGCCTTTCGGTGTTGTGTCTCCATGCATTCGTCCATTTCGTTGCCTTACGTCTCGTTGAGCCCACGATGAATGGCGGCAGCCCCCTCTCCCACACCCACACCCATCCCCCCCCCTCCCTCCCCGTCGGCACCGTCGACACACCCCCGCGGCAGAAGCGGCCGAGCCCGGTTCGCAGCCACAGCAGCAGGGCTTGCCGTCATCGCTGTCGTCAGTGCTGTCAGTCCGCTCATTGAAGGACATCTGATGGATGCCGTGAGCCACTGCGTTGAGGACCTCTTGCACCTCTTCCACACTCGGCTTGAGTGAGAGTGCTGCGATGCTCGTGAGGAGTGGGGCGATGGTATAGGAGTTGTCATCGTCCTCTGAGGCCAGGGTGAGGCCCTGCAGCTCCGTCAGAAGCGACTCGCACTCCTCGTCTATGTCGCGCACTGACAGCTTGGACATGGCGGCCGACAGCTCCTCACACGCTGATGCACATGCATCCCCAGGGACGGTACAATGTCATGTGTGTAATGCTATACGCCTGCCATATTTCTTCCTCACCTATTTCGTCCATCATCTTGCGTCGCTTTGCGCGGCGGATGAGCTCCGCGTCGAATATCTTTGTCCACATGCGGTAGTTCTTCAGCATGATACGGTCCTCGGCAGACAGGTCGGGACGGTCCACTGAGGAGAACACAATCCATGCATGCAATCATTGCAATTATCATTGCAATGACATGGCATGACAATCTGATGCATTCTGCATCCTTTTGCATCGTTTTGCATGCATCTGCTCACCTCTTTCCGGCCGCCCGCCTGTCAGCACACGCTTCACAAAGGCGATGGTCCGCCTCAAGAAGCCCCTCATCCCGTCGGAATGCACCGTGAGCGGATGAAAGAGGTGAAGATGTTTTCAGAACAGCTCTACAGAGCAGCCTTGCAGCTTCTACAGTTGTGGAGCAGATGTTCTTGATGGCGAAACCTTTCTATCTATCGCTGAGAAATTGAAAGGCGAATCGAGACAACTCGAGGGCGCGGTGGGGGCAGCCGTTTTTCCGTTTGGGGGATCTTTCCGCCGGCGCCGTCTTTCCTTGTCTTTGTTCCGGCCGGCCCGGCCCTGGCAGCTGCTGCGGGCATCTGCGTCATCCCTCTTCCCATCAGCAGCCGCCGTCTCCGATAGTGTCTGAGTTGCTGTCTTCCCGGCGCCCCCCCTCACTGACAGTCAGCCTTCTTGTGCGCACTGATTGATGTCGAATTTCACGGACGAGGCGTACAACAAGACAACCACCGGCGGCAGAGGGACGCTCGTGGGCAACTGGTGGGAAGAGGAGCAGCTGCGTGACGCCACTGGCACCGGAAGGACCACCCTCTCAAAGCCAATCAAGCCGGGGTAGGCAGACAGTCACAGGCAAGCACCACGCCCGACGTACGCTGTTTGTCGCCCATCTAGGCAGCAGAGGGGCGTGGACAACACATTTGACCGGATTGCAGGGTACCGCAAGATTGACGTCCACAACCGGTCTGTCAACAGCGACATCGGCAGCACGCTTGGCAACTGGCAGCACGGCAGGCCTGCTGGTGTGCCGCCGCCAAGACACGGACAGAGAGGGGCTCTACTGTTGCGACAAGTGAGCAAGGAGCGGGGGCCCGGGGCGCATGTGCCTGCCTGCAGTCTGCCATGATCTCTCTCTTTCTCTCTCTCTGTGTGTGTGTGTTGTGTCTCCCATTCCTTCCTGCAGATAGAGAGGGAGAGCATGCAGGAGCTGCGTTACGAGGAGGAGCTATATCAGCAGCGGCTGAAGGCCGCCACCGGGCCGCCCAACAGTGTGTATCTGTCGAGCTTTGTCGACAAGAGCATGCGCGCCAAGCTGCCCAGGAAGCCAGCCGAGGCAAAGGAGCCCGAGTTGCCGCCTGATGTGCCTGAGGTGAGTGAGGTTCGAGAACAGAGAGATTGGTGTCTCCTCCATGTGTTGACTGACTGACTGTGTCCTGCCTGCAGAGTTCGTATTGCGCGGCAGTGCCGACCACCCTGTACACACAGCTGGTGGAAAGCGGCAAGTACGCAGCCATGCATGCTCGCCATTGAGTGCCCTGCCCTGCACGGCTCTCTGTGTCTCTGCCGCATTTCAGTACTGGAGGTGTGTCGTTTTCGCCACCCACCGGCCCCTCCATATTCGGCAAGAACAGCTCTTTCTCCGTCCCCACCTCTGACTATCTGGGGGTGAGTGAGAGAGAAAAAGTATTAACACCACATCACACCCCTATCTGCAAGCAGGCCAAGTATAAGGACCAGGACGATGCGGACAGGCTGGAGAGGATGAGTGCCGCCCGCAGGAGTGCGGCCAAGGTGCTGGCCACCCAGACGGTTCGCCGCAGCGGCGCCCTCGTCCCCCCGCCCCCGCCACTGAAAGACCGCAGTGGCGTCAAGAACCCTTTGACAGGACACTTCAATGTCAGTGGGCACAGAGAGGTGACGCTGGATGTCTATGTGTGTGGGTGGATGGATGGGTGTGTTTGTGCAGGTGGGCAATCTGGTGGCTCTGAAGCGTGAGGTGCGAATCGCTCTCAAGAACTCCCCGAGTGGTGGGGAGTTCGGCCTGGTCAAGCTGCGGACCGCTCTCAAGTAGGCTGGGATGGGCGGTTCCATCTTGTTCCAGCTTGTTCCTCGATTGTTCCTTCAGGGCAGCGGCTGACCATGACGATCGTCTGAGCATTGAGGGTTTGCTGGATGTCCTCGTGCCTCTCCTCGGCCTCCCCACCACACCCCCGCCGCCCCCACAATACGACGAGGAGGGCAATCCTATCAGGACAGAGCCGGAACAGCAGCAAGTCGACCCGCAGGCGCTGAAGGTGAGAAGACGCCAATGTCACGCCATGGATGACACGCGAGACACAATCCGGTCTCCTCCATTGTGTTGACCCCGCCAGTACTACTCGTGCATGCTGGATGCGCTTGGTTTGGCTCTGCGGTGCTACATAGCGCCGAGCGCACCGGCAGGCGTTCTCCCCTCAAGCGTCAAGGTAGGTGGGTGCTCATAGGAAAGAGGACTCTTAGAGGAGACATGAGACAAAGGGGCGGGTGGCAGGCTGTTGGCAAATTTATCTTTCCATCTGCAGATGGACGTCCAGACAATTATGGGTTTCCTGAGGGTCTGCAGTGCACCTTCCAGCAAAGAAGGGGCGACGAAAAATTGTCGATCGTATATATTTGTATGTGTGCTTATGGTATATTGGTCGTGTAGCCGGGGTTTGATGACGAGAGGAGGGAAGCCATGGTCAGTGCACTCGACAAGCTGTGCGGCCCGCCGACAGAAGACACTGGGGTGGGCGTGGCGTGTCAGATGCTGTGTGCGGCTTGCACATGGACACGCACTCTCTCTCCAATGGGGTGCAGTTGTCAGTTGAGAGGCTGCGTGAGCTGCTTCCGAGCCCTGCCGGCACTGAAGTGCTCAAACAAGGTGAGTCCTCGTACGGACGATGGAACAAAGCTTTGTACGATCATTGATGCGGGGCGTCCTCTCTGGATCGATGCAGCTGTTGGCGACGCGCCCAAAGTCAGCCGGCAATTTATGAGGGACTTCCTCAAGGTCAGCACGGCCCCACCCATTCCCCCACACCCCCTCCCCATCATGTCTCTCTCTGTCCGCTGTGTGTGTCTCCATGCCATGTGTGTCTGTGTCTCAGGACTGGTGCGGGATGGTTGACGGCAGCTGTGCCAGCGACGATGAGCCATACGACGAGGCGTTTGCACTCAACCTCAACTACTTCCTTGATCGAGTCGTGGCCTCTGAGCAGTAAACATCTGGATTTTGATAGGCATACACACATCCATATGGAGATCGAGTTGTCTGTCTGAGCGACACATGCACACACACACACACACACAAACACACACACGGCCATGAAGGAGCTTACGCAGAACAGCGATACACGCATGGACGTCTCGTCTTTCGACAATCCCCTTCAGAAATGCATGCAGAAGACAAATCACCAACGCTCTTGCATTGCTATCCACCCACGCAGACGCGTGCAGTCTACTCTTCGCCGACAGCAGCAGCAGCAGCAGCAGCAACATTCGGCGGCGTCTTCTCCCCTCCCCTGGAGCTCGTGTGGGAGCTGGAGCTGGAGCTGGGCGGCCGCTGCAGCCTCTCAATCATCAACAGCCGATACCCCGCCCAACCTATCATGATCCTGCGCATCTCTTCGAACGATATCCACTCTGTCGGCCGCTGGCCTTTCCGAGCGGTGAGCACTTCTCGCTTCACAGCGCGTGTCACCTTAGGGGCGGCAGGGGCGGTTGCTGTGCTTGTGTTGGCGTTGGTCTCGGGGCTGTTGCTTTGGGGGCTTCGGGGGCGCTCTGCTGCTGCTGCTGCTGCTGATTGAGGGGTCTCGCCTTCTGCTGCGTCGTCTCCATTTGTTGGTGCCATGTCCGGGTTATCGTTGCTGCTGCTGCTGGCCGTCACAACCTCCTCTGTCTCCCATTCCCTCCAGGCGTAAATCAGCGCATAGTGGTTGGTCAGGTGGAACAGCAGCACCGCATTTGGCCGGGCAAACATCTCCTTCAGACAGCACCACTGATACGCGACCTTCATCTCGTTGTCGCGCGAGCTCAGTGACACGAATGTCACCTCTTCTTTGGGACCCCCGGCAGCCGGGCTGTCCATGTCGCTCACGCGCGTCCGCACGCCCATCACCACACGGCATTTCAGAGCCTCACCTGGCCCGGCGAGAGAATCTGACAGCAGACGGATGCCTCCAATGACGCCCCAATTGCCGATATCCGACGTGGCTGGCTGCGGCGGTGTCAGCCTCACGAGCGTCTGCCGCTTCTTGACCAAATCAATGATGAGGTTCTCGATGTCGCTATCCCGCAAGACCTTCCCCTTCGGCCACGCACGGCTGGGCCCCTTGACGCCTCCCCCGCCCCCCCTTCTGCCCCCTTTCTGTGCTTTCGTCTTGGCTTTCGCTGCGCGGGGGTCCATCGAGAAGGGCAGCAGACGAGGGGTGGTGGTGTTGTTGACATTTGGCGTCTCCACTTCTTCGACCATGTCGAATGTGAAGCCTTTCGGGTCTTCCGGGAGCAGCGGGGAGGGGTCCATAGGTGAAGAGTCGGGGGGATATGTGGGCCCGGGAGGATCGGGCAGGCCCGGCAGATTGGCTGCCTCTCCTTCCCCCCCTTCCCCATCTGCTGCATTGTTCTCTCTGGCCGCCACCACCACATCCGCCTCGCCGTTCTCGTCATCTTGTTGGTCGTTCTTCCCCTCCGTCCGCAGCATTTGGCTGAGGCGCATAGAGACTGACAGGCGGGGCCCTGGGCGCGCGGGCTGCCCCTCTGGCGTCGTCCCTTCGGCATACACGGCTGAGAGCGGCCGTGGGGGTGCCGATAGGGGCTCAGGAAGAGACGGGCTGGTCTCTATCGTAGGAGACACAGGAGCAGCTGACACAGGGGAGGGCTCCAGGCTGTGAGGCTCCCTTGGCATGACATCTGAGACCGAGCAAGCAACAGAAGATGAGAGAAATGACTGCCTGGAGACGACGAATAAACAACGTTCAGCTGACTCTGTTCGATTTGTGTGGTGAGGACCTCCTTGAGGCTGGCGAGGATATCGGCGTTCTTGACGCTGTGGGGGTCTTTCTTTGGCGCGCCAAGGACCTTCTGCTGCGCCTTGAGGCCCTGAAGGATCATCGTCTCGATGTCGAGGATCTCGCTGAGGTCGCCTTCGAGCAGCCGAGCCAGCTTCTGGCGCAGTCCATCGAGCTGCTCGGTTACCAGCGCCTGCATGACGCAAATTGCCTGCAGTGAGGAGATGTCACAGATGTAATAAGGAGGCTCGTAGCGTGTGTCTCTCTCTCAGTGCGTGGGGTGTGTGTGTTTGCTTACGTCATACACGTCGAGTGCCTTGTCGTCAGTGCGTCTGAGGTGCATGGCGGCGTTCCATGCACTCGCGACGGACGCAGCTGCACAGCAGGGGCTGCAGGCAGACAGACAAACACGCAGACAGTCACAGACATTATCGCACATTCGGCGTGTCTCTTCAACGTTCGTGTCTTGTCGACCTTGGCTGCTTCACCCAGCCTTCGAACGCTGCAGCACAGAAGCGCACAGTGAGATACACAGACACCCCCGTCAGCTCTTTCCCCTCTTTACCTCCCTCCTCACCTCTTCGAGAGAACCCCATCGCAAACTTGTCCAAGGGAGCAAACGCCGCCCCGCCAGACTGCTCGCCGTCTCCCGCCTTGTCACGCTCCCCCTGTTTTGGCATGAGGAAGGATAACATGTCCTGGAAGGACATCTCTTCGGTCTCTGCCGTGTCCATCTCATAGTCAGGAACAGGCGACGCCATCGTGGGGGTTGTCGGACGGCTGGCGGGCCGCGAGCGGTTGCTCGGCGTGCCGGCAGGTTTGGAAGGCGTCTTCAACATGGCGCTTGGAGGGAGTTGCGGATAAGCTCGCAGGCCGATCGCGCATTGGCGCGCCGCCCCGCCCATCCCCGACGCCATCACGCAGCAGGCTGAAGGTAAGTGAGATAGATCTGGCGATGGGGTGAACGCATCTGTCACATGATTATGATGTTTGGTGGTTGCTTTGCTCGGTTCTCAGGTGCGTGTGTGCTGCGATATCTCTGAGCCAGCTCAGCTGCTGGCGATGGGCTCCTCCCCTCCCGTGATGACACTGGAGGAGGCGGGGGATCGGCTTATACAAGCCGAGAAGGCCGACAAGGACCACATGGCAGTGGTCAATAAATCGCTCGCAGCCCTTGAAAACTCCCAGACGACGGCGAACACACTGCTGCTTCTGCTGGTTGTGGAGTTGAGCGGTGCCGCATTGGCTCACTTCATCATTGGCAGCGTCAACAACGCGCAGCTGGTGGCTCACGAGGGGACCATCAAGGCCCTGCAAGAGCAGCACCTGCTGGACAAGGACGCACTGATTGGCAAACACGAGGTGGCCATCGCTGAGAAGGAGGCGGCAAACATGCTTCTCCAGGATCAGTTGGCAACGGCCACCGCGGATCTGGAGAACAAGACTGCCGCAATTAAGGCCCTCCACAAGGAGGTCGCACAGCTCACGGAGGGTCTTCGGAACACCACACAGGCCCTGCAGCAGAGAGACAAGGCCATCGTGGCTCTCAAGGACCGATTCCAGGCCAGTGAGGGAGCCCTCGCCCGAGCGAATGAGCGTCTGAAGAAGTGGTCCCAAGTCGGTGGGGGCTTCGTGACTGCGGCCATGGTCCCCGTCTGCATCCTCAGCGCCCTGGGTACCTTCTGCAGCTTTTGCGCCACCATTGCGCTGGTGCTAGGACCCTTGTTCAGCTGGATGGAAGGATCCATGAAGAAGGTCGATTGGCGCGAGGCAATCAAGCACGTCTTCTTCATCATAGGTGCGGCCGCTGCGCTCGCCTTCTGCATCTGGGCACTGCGCCTGAGTTCCACCTTGGTGTGTGAAGCCATCTCTGCGCCCGCCTGAGGCACACACATGTGAGAGAGAGGAGGAAGGCCACTGGACTCGACTTGGCTACCTATGGTGTCTGTGCGAGGGTGGGTGGGTGGCTGATGTATCCTGAGGGATGGGGGAGCGGTCATGTGTCCGTGGTAAGTAATGGCGGTTGTCTGTCAACCAACGGCCAAAGCGACTGTGGGTGTGACGGAATTGATTGACTGACTGACTGACTGGCTGACCGGCCGATCGGTTGCTCTTCCCTGAGTGGCTGCCAGTGTGCCTTAATTCGTTAGCCTGGCCTGTGATGTTCGCCTGTCCTGCTTTGTGACTGACAGAGGGGAGGGGGGATGTTTCTGTAGGATTCATGGTGCTGTGGGGGTCGGCTGTTTCGTTGGTTGGACACTTTGGGTGTGGGGTGGGGGGTAAGTTGGCTGAGACAGACAGACATGAGTCATCCGTCCGACTGTCGTTTCAAGTCAATTCTGTCCATTTCTGACGCATACCCTCACGGAAGTGCATCTTCCTTGTCCCCTGTCAGATCCACACCATCTCAGAGATCTCAAAGAAATCTCAAATCTCAAAGAAGGGCGTGAGAGACACGCAGACACTGTGAGGCGTCCATCCATCCATCCACCCGCCCACCCACCCATCACAAACGGGACGTACACGCACATATGATGACAAGAGAGGGACTCACAACGAGACGTCGAGATATAAAATGCAGGCAGCAATCTGCACAGATACGGCACTCAAACACAAACACAGCCAGGAAAAACTCACGTCTCCAACCAAGGGAAAAAGAATGTTCTCAGCCCCGTGTCCACCCTCGGCTTGGCATCCCTCACCGCCCCTCCCGCCCACTTCCCCGCCATGTCCGCTCCTCCTGCCGCCTGAGCTCCTCGTAGCTTGGCAGGCCCGCCGCCCTGGCTGGGGAAAGTCAGAAACAGTCAGCCCCCCTGGCCTCTGCCGCTGGTGAGGTGATGCGATAGGCCATATCGCCAAGGACGTTGATGGTGTGGGGCAGCCAGGTGCTGAGGGCTGGCTCATGCTGGCGGTCCTGCAGGAGGCTGCCCACCCGCTGTCTGATGTTGTCGGTGAGCACTGGGCCGGCCTTAATGAAGTACCTCTCGTGGTGGCGGCTCCAGCTGAGGGTGCACAGCATGTCGAAGCTGCGCCACTTCTGCTTGAGCTGCTCCTTGCCCATGTCGTCGAGGTGCCCCAGCTGAGCAGCTTGTCTTGCAGGCCCTCCTCGCACACCACCGTCTTGATGAAGTCCTCGCCCCTCATCACGTCGCCCATATCCATGCCCAGCCCCCACAGTACCGCGGGCCTCGTCGATGTAGATGCCCTGCTGCTTGCCCTCCGCGTCTGGCACCATCACCCCCTTGAGCTTGAGGGTCTCCTCCAGCTCGTTGGCGGCACTGATGGTAGCGAGGTAGCGTGAGTGCCACTCTCCGGCGGCCTCCCGTTGACGGCTGTTGTCAGGACGCACCGGAAGAGGTCGACCGCTGCATCGGGGTCTTTGGCTGTTGGGCTGCCCCATGGAAGTTCAACCTTTGCATCGAGGGGCTCCTTAGTGCGACGCCAATCACAAATTAACCCAGGGGACCTACCGGCCCAGCAAATCTCCCCCGGCTTCGCGCGAAGGAGGCTCCGCATGCGGCCGAGGTCTTGTTCGTCGATAACAGGGAGCTGCGGTTGGAGCACTGGCCTGTTGCTGTCAGAGGCGAGGAAGTGGTTGAGGCTGCTCGAAGTGGCGGCGACGTGGGTGGTAAAGAGGAAGTATCGGTTTTTTCTGAGCAAGAAGGTGCTCTTCAGGTACTTGCCGAGTTCTTGGTACTCACTGCTGTCTCTGTCAGGACGCACGAACTCTAGAAAGAAACAAAAAGACACATGCATGAGCCGTGCGTTGCAAACATACAGTGCACCGCCCTGCCATCCTTACGATTTAGCTCGTCGATGAGCAGCACACACGGTTGAGACGACAGCCAGGCATCGATGGTCTCTTGATCGACCCTCGCGTGGCTGATGAAGCCTTCGAAGCCGAGACGAGCCACGTCCCTACCGGCTGCCTCGGCCACCTTCTCTTTCAACCCATCTTTTGCAGCAACCCATGCAAGCCGCATGAACAGCGGCCGTGTAGTGGTGCCTACCCTCTGCTCAAGGTGGGACCGGCCTGTGCGAGAAGCATGGGATCGAGTCAAAGGGAGGGATTGTATGGCGGGACTTTGAGCGAATCGACTCAATCCGTGTACCTCCTTGAGCATGCGTGTCTTGCCTCCTCGGGAGAAGCGAGTGAGCGACATTGGCGCCACGCGGCGGTTGGTGAAGTCTGCACGTCATACCCAACTCCAGTAGCTGCAGCGCCAACACACAGCCTGCACACATCACATACATCGGTGAGACATCCATCAAACACGCCTTCTGTCTCAACGAGATACACCGCATATCACCCCCCAACGAGACACACTTCTTGTCGCTCCAGTCGTCCTTGTCACTCTTGAAGTGGCACACGAGGGGGTGCCAGCCCGACATGTACAACTGAGAACAGCCAGCACACCACACAAACACACACAGCAGCACATTCACATGCCTCAGCCAATCTCCTGATTTCCATCCATGCGCTTCCTTACGAGATGGATCCCGGGGCTCTGGAGTCGAACAGGCCACCTCAGCGGCGCCAGACGTCGTCTGGCACGAGGGACCCCAGCTGGGCCAGTTTGCGAGCCGTGGAACTGCCCAGGAGCTCCAGGACCCTCTTCTCTCATGCAGGCTGTCTCCCCTCTCCCCCTTCCCCCCCTGAGGCTCCCCAGGTCAGCCGCTTACTCTGCGACAGGTCGTCTTGCACACGGGCTGCTGATTGCCGGCGGCGGCACAGAGGGTCGCCCACTCTTTCGTCTTGACCAATTCGGTGGTCTTCTGATTTCCTGGACCTCTTCTCCCAGCCGCCTCTCGAACCGCTGCCGCACTCTCGCGTCAGTTGCCGTCGCGGGAAGCCCCGTCACCAGGGTCCCGCCGCGAGCTACATCAACGGGGAAGTCGTCGAGCTGACACCACACACACACGCACTCGATCACAGATTCTTGTGTGTCTCTGCACGGTGTGACACTCGTCGCAGATGACCCGTGTGGGCTACCGTCGACCGACCAGAGCATTTTGCTACCGTCGAGTCCGCGGAGACGGGGAGCGATGTTGACCAGGATAAGCTGCAGGCCCCCGTAGGCGGCCATCATGACCTTGATCAACGACAAACGCCCTGCATAGCGCATACCACAGACAAGAGGCAAACCTCATCATCACATTTGACCACTTTGTGTCTCTCCATACCTGCTGGGAAGGCAGTAAGTCTGGGTGCTCTGACCTTTGCAGAAAGGCGATGGCTGCAGTAGAAATGCCGGTCGGAATATGAAATGCAGGCAGCGATCTGTACGCGATCGGCGGTCCGTGTCGCCGTCAGCTGACCCCCTGCCGGCCCTCAGGGCTCCTGACATACACCTTTTTCCCGCCCACAACAACACCTGCTAGCCGCGGGTATGCTGATTGAGTGAGATATCAGACAGAACAGAGAAACATAGACAAGGTTATGGCACCATCAACCGGACGCTCGTGTCGCCGTTCCTCCCCCACCACCCCCTCCGCCCCCGCCTGGCCGCCTGGGTCCTGGCTCCTGTGTTGTGTTGGCGACAGCTGAGCCTCGCTACACACACACACACACACACACACGTGTGACGCACACACACACATCTACGCGAAATTGCTCTCGTATGTGTAGTCGCTTACGCGTTGTCGTTGTCATTGTCGTTCATGAGACTCGTCAACATATCGAGGAATTCCACCGGGCAGCGTGTCGCCTCACATTGATTGTACCACCACTTCCGAACTTCATCATCATTCTCCACCACCTGATTCAGTTGCCATTGGTCGGTCCTGGCAACCAGCTTTAATCTCAAGCGTCGTTGCGGCATTCTTTCGCCGGCGAACCAAGGAAGCCACAGATAGCTCCCACGGTCAGAAACCGAGAGACTCACTGGGTGTGCCTTCCTACCTCCCCGAGGCCTGCATGCACAGAGACGCACGTACAGAGGGAGAGGGATGGATGGAGATGAGTGCTTCTCATGGCATCCATGCATACCTGACGGCTGTGCAACGACTTCGAGTGGCCCCGTTGCTGGGATTCCGGGCACATGAGCCACTTGCAGCTGCGAGTTGGACCCGCTGCTGTAGCTAGCCGCAGCACCGATGAAGTCGACGTCCTCAAGCCTGAACCGGCTGCCGAAGCGGCTTGAGGTGATATGTATCCAGCAATCATCCCACCCTGTCGCCTTGAGTCCTCCATGGACAATGCTGCATTCGCATTCCTCGCTGGTTGGCTGCTTGTGTCGTGTATGTCTCACTCGACTTACCGTGGCTGTCAATGTCCAGGACCCCGCAACAGATGCAAAAGAAAAGAGTCGTCGCGAATATAAAATGCAGGCAGCAATTGACAGGTCACTGACAAGGAGGAGACGCAATGATGAGGATGTGACCCGAGCTTTCAGCTCGTCCCAACCAGCCCCACCCGACACACCCACCTCGACTCACCTCGTTGCGTCGTGCTGTTCGATTTGACCTCAGCACGACGGGTCTCCAGTGCTCGGGGTGGCCGGCGCTGGCTGTCCCGTTGCAGTGTCTTTCTTTCGATGGACGAAAACCTGAAGCCGCGGGTATGGGGCCGTCCCCAGTAGAGGTGTCAGCTGGTCGAGTGACATTTCCAGCTGAGCCTCGCTACACACACACACGTGTGACGCACAGAGAGAGAGAGAGAGCAAGGCTGCTTTTGTATTCTGCCATGGGTGCGTGTGTGTTATCGGCTTGGCGCGCTTGTAATTTACCTCGTTAGTATCTGACATTGCCGCTTCCCATCCCACGCCCCTGCTGTATCCCCCTCCTCCCCCGCCACGGCTAAACCCTCCTCGGCCGCCGCCCCGGTCGCCCGGCATGCCCTGCAAATGCGCGGAATCAAGAAAGACAAAGGAGACAACGAGTGGGTGAGTCTGGTTGCGTCCTTGTGTGTGTGGCTGGCTGGGTGTTTGGTGGTGCACCATCTTTGCATCCGTACGAAATTGTTCTCCACGGGAGCCTGGGCGCGGCGTATGATGACCTGAGCAGCGGCGGACACAGACACGCGCACACACATACACATACACACACATCCGTCCGTCTGTGGAGTGGACGCGTGTGTGTGTCTCTCTACTTGTCTCTCCCTCTCTCTCCCTCATCGTACCTACCTCGAGGATGTCGAGGGAGCCGCGGAGGGCGCGGACGGCCACCTTCTCCTGGGCACTCAGCCGCTCCTGCTCCTTCTCCTGCACTATGCCCTTCAAGTGGTCCTTGGCCTGAGTCATCACCACCTGGAGTTGACCCAACTTATCCTGGTGCGCCTGGTAGGGCGACGCTTTCAGGGGCTCGACCCGCCCTCCCTCATCTACAACCGACGCGTGGATGGCGCCCCGTCTGTCGCTGGCCTCCTCAAACGTGTCGGGTACTTGACACACACACACAGACACACACACAGACACACAGACACACACACACACACACACACGGACGGGCCGGCCATGTGCGTGTGTTCCGGAGTGTCTGTCCTCCTCTCTCTCTCTCTCTCTGTCTCTCCTCTGTGTGCCCTCCCTCTGATGCGCTTCCGTGCCCACCGGGGTTGGATTCGTGGTCTTCAAATCCTGGTAGAACCGGCAAATGCGAGGGCTGCATGGTTGCGATCCCGAGGCTCAGTCACTCAGTCGGGTACAACACCGCTGCAAAGCACACAGACAGACAGACAGACAGACCTGTAATATGGCGGTTTGTGCCCTCGCTGACTCGCTGCTGCAAGCAGCGCAACCGTGCGCACAGGCGCTCACCTATCCGCCGCAGTTATGCTATCCTCGATAAGACTGGCACGAAGACTGCTAGCCACTCGCGCGTCAGCACGTGCTTGCGGTATGGCGTCGGGCTCGCAATTGCGCACCCGCCCTGACGCCAGACACGGTGCGCGAAATCATACAAAGGCAGAGCATCCTCGGCAGCGCGTGGGATGGCCTGAGCAACGGCCAACACAGACACGCGCACACAAATACACACACATCCGTCCGTGCAGTGGACACGTGTGTGTGTCTCTACTTCTCTCTCCCTCCTCTCTCTCCCTCTCTCTCTCCCTCTCTCTCTCCCTCATCGTACCTACCTTGAGGACCATGAGCGAGCGGCCGAGCGCAGCTTTGGTATTCTGACCTTTGTAGAGGCGATGGATGTAACATAAGTGCCCGTCAGGATACAAAATGCAGACAGCGGTCTGTACGGTCGTAACAGCTGAAACAAAAGAAGAAAAGCATGTCTCAAGGACAGAATTCACTTACGTGCTGCCCTCACCATCCTCCCACCATCCTCCCCGCCGGCAATACACACCTCCCCGTCAGCCTCGGTCACAGCACCCCCACACACCACCCCCACCACCACCGTCACGTCGTCCTTCTTGCCCCCCCGACCCAGACTCCGGCTGTAGGCTGCTCGGCCAATGGCCTGTGCTATGGCTTCGGCGTCATTCTTGTCTTGCTGTCCGATGATATCCAGCATGCCGTCCATTTTGATGTTATCGAACACGCCGTCCGTTGCGGCTATCACAATGTCCCCCTCCTGCACAGCAGCTGTGCAGCACTGCACCCCCAGTGGGCTCCGCTCTTCTGTCGCCTCGTCAATGAAGAAGGATGGCGCACAGGGAGGGCGGGCCACCAGGTCCTCTGGGGTGGGGTCGACGTTGATCTCTCGTCGGCACCCACAGAGGCAGGCAGGAAATAACTCAAACAACTGCATCCACACACACACACACACACAGTGATACCAAGACACGTCCCTCGCCCACTCGCTGACCATTTGGTGGTGGTGGCGGTGGCTATGGTGCATGACTTGCCGCCGGCCGTGGCGCTCACCACCTCCCATCGATCCAGCTGGTGTTTTTGATGTGCGCAGATCTCGAGTGCCGACATCAGGTACTGTAGGCACCCACATACACATACACATACACCCACATCCACACGCACCCCAAGGGCGCTGTGTGTCTGGTCATGTGCAGACTCACTCTGTAAGGTGTGAAGGCCGTATGGATGTACTCCCTCACGCGTGGCGGCGACTCGCCCAGGCACGCTGGCCATCCCCATGCCGTGACGGAGACAAAAAAGCCGAAGCCGATACGTCGTCCTTGGCAGCCGCCCAGCCGATGCGCAAAAGCAGCGACTGCAGCCACGGCCTCGCGCTCGATTGCAGCATCATACTTGGTGAGGTCGTTGAATGTGATGAAGAGGGAGAAGATGTCCTGCTGGCGAAGCCCTTCTCGGCTGCAGCCCCGGCTGGGCCCTACTCGGCCGCCCTGAGTAATGTCTCGGTCGAATATAAAATGTAGGCAGGGATATTGCCTACAAAGATATCACACAAGCCCCAGATATCACGCTGTCTGATGGCTGCATCATAGTCATCTCTCGTGCTTACGTTGCCGGAGGCGGGAAAAACAGGTCGACGTCTCGCGAATGCTGCGTTGCCATGGTGCTGTGTGCTGCCCTCTTTCTGCTTTCTATCTCTTCTGACTGCTCTTTTTCTGTCTTTTTTCTCTGAGGCAGCCGACGTTGATGGTGACGAGAGGGCTCCCATTTTCCCAGCTCCTCACTGTCCCATCTGGTGACACACCGCACAGACACACACACACACACACACGCGGAGAGAGAGAGAGAGAGAGAGAGAGACATGGAGGGTTCCCTGGTGATCACGATGGGGTCATATTCAACTATCTCCCAACTCACCGCAGTGCCCTGCACCCATGCAGCCAGCCAGCCAGACAGGCAAATGGTATGTGGCTCGTTCCTGTGTGCGTGTGGTCCATTCCCTCCCTTACTGGCGTGGGGACGGTGACGTCGTCGGCCTGTGACGGTGAGGGCTTCTGGATATGCGGCTGCGGCAGGACACTGATCGACGAGCTGGAGCTGGCCTCCGACAACGTTGCGACAAGGAGGAAGGCAAACAAACACCGAACATAGCCCTCCTGTGGCTGCACGCCTCTCCCGTGCAATCCATTACCTGGTGCCTGCCTGTTCTTGTGGCGGGAGAAGCGCCGCCACGTCATCATTGCCTCAGCCATGCGACGCGAGCGGCACCTCTTCATCTGACAGAGGGGACACTGCGCGACGTCAACAAGTGAGTGGAGAGAAGTGCGTTGATATTGACCAACCAGGGCCACTTGTCGCCTCCGCCAAATCACTCTCCTCTGAAACGCCTTCACCCACCCTACAAAAGCACACATGAGGAATCCATTCATTAGAAGCACACACGACCCATTCATCTGGGAAAATGTCATACCCTTTATCTCACACATGAGGCCTCCACCCATGCTACAAAAGCCTGCAGACAGATACATCACATCGATCCATTGACCATGTGGTAGCGGTTGGCTCTCCCCAGAGGCTCTTTCCTGCTGCGGTCACACGTGCCTTGCAGCTCGACGGCCTCCGTGGTTTCTACCAGCTGCTCTGAGGGTGGGGCGGTAATACACATGCAAGAAGTGACACGACACTGAGACACGCATTTGAGAATGGACATGACCGAGAGGGATGTGTCCATTTTCTCTCTCTCTCACCGGGCAGTTTGTCTGCACTTTGTCTCAGGGGGAGGTAGGCCGCGGAAGGTGCCCACACGAGCGAGTTGGCACTCTTGGCGAGCTGGCAGACCTTGTCTTGGACAAACGGGGATGACAGGGCGCGGGGAGTGAATGGCCACACGTGCAGCATGGAGAGGTGGAAAGGGTCCTCTTCCAAGTGCCGGTCGCCTCGGAAGTCCTTGGAGAAGCGCACGTTGATGTCTGCTGCAGTGGGTGCTGCCGAGGTGCTGAATTCGTCGATGGCGTTGCATTCGTCAGGACGAAAGCCGCCACTTGTACTTGTTGAACATGTCGCAGTACTTTTCGCGGAGACCGCTGAGGGAGGTCAGGGAGTGCACGGCCGGGGAGGGGGAGAGGGGGCTGGAACGGATACACGCTTCCCGTGGCTCTGGTACGCGGTTCTCGCGGACGAAGCTGTTGGGCGGCTGCAGAAGTTGCGCACGCTTGGCCATCCCCACACGTCACTGTAGAAGTTGCAGCCGCTCAGCCGATGCGCAAAAGCAGCGACTCTGGCCCTCGCGCTCGATTGCAGCATCATACTTGGTGAGCTCGTTGAATGTGATGAGGAGGGAGAAGATGTCCTGCTGGCGAAGCGCAAGGGCAATCTTCTTAAGCGCAGGTGATGTTGTTGATGCGGGATATGGGAATTCCTCGGATGGAAACGAAGAAGTCGGCTCAAAAGTTTCTTCCTGAGGGCCCGTCTCGCCCGCCGTCTCGCCGCGAACTTTTCTCGCCGCGATGATGCAGTTGTGGTTCGTTCTTCCGAAGGCCCATATATATATTCCTTCTTCACCTTCTTCACTCCCTTCTTCGCTGGCGACATCCGGCTGCCCGCAGGGTTGCGTGAACCGCTCCCCTAGGGTAAGTGACCCAAACCCATTGTCCCACATTCGCAACAAACCTGCATCCGTACCAGCAGCAGTAGCAACAACAGCAAGCAAGAACGCATCCTTCCATTCCCCTGATCAGCAAGCAGCACCATCACTGACCAGATCACATCACGATGCCGCTGCCGGCCTCGACGCATGCCAAGGGCGGCGAGAACCCCGTGTGGGTGTATTCCTTCGGCCCGGGGTGCCCGACGCCCCCGCTGGACCGCAACCTGCTGGGCGGCAAGGGCAAGGGCGAGGCTGAGATGACCGCCATGGGACTTCCCGTACCGCCAGGCTTCATCGTCACCACAGGCATGCGCAGAGACAGGCTTCAGACAGGCAGAGGGCCACGGGAGGGCGTGGCGTGCATGTGTGGATGTCCATGGCATGTGATGTGTGTGCAGAGGCGTGTGTGCACTACAAGTACAACCGTCTGTCGTTCCCCAAGGGTTTGGTGGAGCAGGTCGAGGCCTGCCTGGTGACCCTCGAGAAGCAGATGGGCTGCAACTTCGGAGACGTCGAAAACCCGCTACTCATCTCCGTCCGATCCGGCGCAAGGTACCATGTCGCACACACCTCACACCCACCCCCTCTCTCTATCTGCCACACATCCATCCATCCACGCGGCTCTCTCTGTGTGTGGGGTGTGTGCTGTGTGTCAGGGTGTCGATGCCCGGGATGATGGAGACAGTGTTGGACGTGGGTTTGAACGACAAGTCGGTGCTGGGCCTGGCCAAGAAGCTGTCCAACGAGCGGGCGGCCTACGACTCGTACCGCCGGTTCATCGCCATGTACAGCAACGTCGTGTCGGGCGTCAACTCGGCCGCCTATGAGGACGCACTCAAGGCCTGCCGAAAGAGAGAGGGTCAGCGAGCGCGGGAGGGAAGAGGGACTGCGACACGCGAAGGAGTGCACACATATATCGATGGGTGTGTGTGGGGGGGTCAGGTGTTCAGTTCGACATCGGACTGTCGACCAACGCCCTGAAGGAGCTGTGCCAGGAGTTCAAGCACATCCACAACCAGCAGACAGGTACACACACACACACACACACACACGGCCACCCCAACCCTCACCCCCTCAACCACCCACAACATGTCTGTCATGCAGGTCAGGAGTTCCCCCAGGAGCCGCGTGACCAGTTGTTCCGTGCCATCAAGGGCGTGTTCCACAGCTGGGACTGCGACAAGGCCCGCGCCTACCGCCGCTTCCACGGCTTCCCCGACGACTGGGGCACTGCGGTGGTTGTCATGGCCATGGTCTTCGGCAACAGAGTAAGCAACCAGGGAGGGAGGGAGGGAGGGAGGGGCGGCACACCACACACACAACACAATCAATGTGCACACGTGTGTGTGTGTGTGTGTGTGTGTAGGGTGACGACTCCGGCACTGGTGTGGGGTTCACCCGTGACCCCGCCACCGGCGAGCACCACTTCTACGGCGAATGTGAGCACATCTGGCATGACATGACACACACATTCAGATGGGCCAATGTGTGTATCTTGTGTGTTGTGTGTGTGCGCGTGTGTGTGTGGCTTGACCAGATTTGGTGAATGCGCAGGGCGAGGACGTGGTTGCCGGCATCCGCACGCCGCACCCCATCAACAAGATGCAGGCCCTCATCACGGGCTCCAACCTGCCCTCGCTCGAGGAAACCATGCCCGAGATCTACCAGCAACTCGAGGAGGTACCCCAGCCCCCCCCCCCTCCCCACACACAGGGGGAGTCAGGGAGGGAGGGAGAGAGATTGCCTGCATCCAATGATGCGCGTGTGTGTGTTGTGTGTGGTTGCGTGTGGCGTCGTGTGCAGGTCGGGAGGATACTGGAGCAGCACTACCACGACATGCAGGACGTGGAGTTCACCATCGACAACGGCAAGCTCTACATGCTTCAGACCCGAACCGGCAAGCGCACCGGGTTTGCCGCCGTCAAAATCGCCTTCGACATGCTCAGAGAGGGACTCATCGACGAGCGGGAGGCCGTCAAGGTGCGTCAGAGGCAGACAGACATAGGGAGACAGAGAAAGCGGCATTGGATGTGTGTGATTGGTGTGTTTGGTGTGTTTGGTCTGGCTGTGTGTTTGCAGCACGTGGATGCGCACCAGGTGACCCAGCTGCTGACGCCCATCTTCGACATGCGCGACAAGGTGATGGCCTCGGGCAAACTCGCCACAAGAGGACTCAACGCAGGTACTCCCTCCTCAACCCACACCCACACCCACACCCACACACCCGTCCATCCACCATCCATCCATGAGAGACGCATCCGATCTGCACCTGTGGGTGTGTGGTGTGGATGTCGTTATCAGGTCCCGGTGCTGCGTCTGGGGCAGCGGTGTTTTCGAGCGAGAAGGCCGTCGAGTACCAGAAGCAGGGCAAGCCATGCGTCCTCATGAGGGAGGAAACCTCGCCCGAAGACTTTGCCGGTCAGCCGAACCCCACGCCCTCTCCCTCCCTCCCTCCCTCCCTCCCTCCCTCATCCCTCCTGTACTTAACTCTCCTTCTCCCTCTGTGTGTCGACAGGCATGGTCGCGGCCAGGGGCATCCTCACAGCCCGCGGCGGCGCCACGAGCCATGCGGCCGTGGTTGCCCGCGGTTTGGGTCGTCCGTGTGTGTGCGGCTGCGGCGACCTGGTGTTCGACCACGCCAAGCACGAGGTGCGCATCGGCAGCAATGGGATGGTTCTCAAGGAGGGCGAGCCGGTCAGCATCGACGGCACCACGGGGCAGGTCTTCTTCTGCTCGCTGCAGACCAAGCCGTCCGAGATCATCCAGGTGGGTGGGGGGACGAGGGAATGGAGGGACTGGGTGACTCTGGTGTGTGTTCGTGGTGTGGTGTGTGTGCAGGTGTTGATAGACAAGACGAAGCGTCCTGAGGAGAGCGAGCTGTTCCAGCAGTTCAAGACCATCATGGACATCGCTGACAAGTACCGCAGGCTCGAAGTCCGCGCCAATGCCGACACACCGCAGGACGCCGCCATCGCCAGGTCCCTCGGCGCACAGGTGGGCGCCGTCATGGTGGCCGTGGTTGCATTTTTCCGGCCACGTGTGGTGTGCGGTGGTGTGGTGTGTGGTGTTAGGGTATCGGCTTGGTTCGCACGGAGCACATGTTTATGGACAAGAAGCGTCTCATGGACGTCAGGGCCATGTTCTTCAGCGACTCGGAGGACGTAGGCGCGCAGGACACGCACATACATAGACACACATACACACACACAATCACACATCTCCACTCGTCTGCATCCTTTGTCTGTCTGTCTGGCTCTGTGTGTGTGGTGTCGTGTGGATCAATCAGGACCGGAAGGCAGCAGCGAATCGTCTGATGCCCTACCAGAAGGAGGACTTCCTTGGCATCTTCAGAGCCATGCACGGACTCACCGTCACGGTAAGCATCTCCACCCTCACCCTCACCTCCACCCCTCCATCTGTCTGTCGGTGTTTCTTGCCCATGTCGCCCGCGTCAGATTCGCCTGTTGGACCCGCCGCGCCACGAGTTCCTCCCGCACACCGAGGACGAGCAGAAGGCTCTGGCGGCCCACATGGGGACCACCCTGGAGCGCGTCAAGCAGATCGGCGAGTCCATCACCGAGGCCAACCCTATGCTCGGACACCGCGGATGCCGACTCGGCATTGCGCTCCCGTACGTCACAGAGATGCAGGTGCGAAGGCGACACAGAGAGGCCGGAAACCTTCGCAATGGGCGTTTTCGTGTGGTGTGGTGTGGTGTGGTGGTGGGGGTGCTTGTCAGACGCGCGCGATCATCGAGGCGGCCGTTGAGGTGTCCAAGGAGGGGTCTGAGGTGCTGCCCGAGATCATGGTGCCGTTGGTGGCGACCAAGAAGGAGCTGGAGCACCAGAAGGGCCTCATCGACAAGACCGCACAGGACGTCTTCAAGAAGATGGGCAAGGAGGTCCCCTACAAGGTCAGCCACCCACCGACACACTAAGCTTCACATCAGATGGCCATAGACAGACACATCTGTGGTGTCGGTGTGGGTGTGTGCAGGTTGGCACGATGATCGAGTTGCCGCGTGCGGCCCTGCAGGCCGGCCAGATCGCCGAGTTCGCGGACTTCTTCTCGTTCGGCACCAATGACCTCACCCAGTGCACATACGGCATTTCGCGCGACGATGCTGGTCAGTCAGTCAGTCAGTCAGCAGACGAGCTCCACTCCACACACAGCGACGGACGCACCTCATGTGTATGTCTCTGTGTGTGCAGGCCAGTTCCTGCCGCTGTACGTTGAGGGCGTCTTCTTCGAGTCGACGCACAGCAACATGCAGGTCTTCGACTTTGAGCCCTTCCAAACACTCGACCAGGTACACCCCTCCCTCCCTCCCTCCCTCCCTCTTTCCCTCCCCCAACAGACACAACACACACACACACACACTCCTCTCTCTCTCTCTGTCTGCAATGCCGCAGGACGGTGTGGGTGAGCTGATGAAGATCGCCCGGGAGCGCGGCCGCCGCACCAACCCCCACCTGCACCTCGGCATCTGTGGCGAGCACGGCGGCGAGGGCCGATCCGTCAAGTTCTGCCACGAAATCGGGCTCGACTACTGCAGCTGCTCGCCCTTCAGAGTCCCCGTGGCGCGACTCGCTGCTGCACAGGCTGCCGTCGAGGGGCAGAGCAAGAAGTAGACAGACAAGTAGACAAGTAGACTGGCAGAGAGACGAGTAGACAGGCAGAGAAGTGAGGGAGGGGACATAGTAGAGTTTTGAGAGGGAGGGAGGGATGCCTGACATGTGCGTGCGTGTGCGTGTGTGTGCGTGCGTACTGATGAGGTAGTTGCGTGGGGGTCCGGGGCGTGTCTACTGACTCCCGGACGAACAGACAGGAACTATCTCTGAGGGGGCGGGAGAGAGAGGGGAGGGACCATCGTCCATCGGTTGACAAAGAGATCGATGGCGCATGGGGGAAGGTGGGGAGGGGAGGGGGCATGTAGGCCAATTCGCTGCATGGACAGACAGACAGAGAGACAGAGACACCACCACCGCCAGCAGCAGCAGCAGTAGTAGCCGCCCACTCGCTCGAGATTGATCGGTACGGTAGATGCGTGTTGTCACCCACCCATACGGTAGCTGGCTTTCTCCGCCCTTGCGTTGATGCTGCCTCGATGCGGTGCCCTTGAGTGGCCTTTTTCTGTTGATACCGTCTGCTTGTTGCTGCAATTCTCTGCGTGTGGTTGCTGGCTTCAGAGGGTCTGCTCGGGCCCCCTGACGCCTTCACGTCGATATGCGACCCATATCGATGTGGTGACGTCGGGGGCGCCTGGCTCGGAGAACCTCTGGAACGCACCAAACCCACGCGGCGAGAGATGACACGACCTACACGAGCCGCTCATCATTTTTCCTGCCTAGTACTTATCTTCCTGACTTAATGATTTGCCTTCATTCATTCTCCGCCTTTGACAGACACTGACACACAAACAAACGTTTGTTGCGTTGTGATTTTTCCACCCCCATATGTATGTGTGTTTGTGAACGAATCGCCAAGAGGGGGCACTTTTTCTTGGATGGACGGATGGATGCACTCTCTGTCTGGAGGGAAGCGCGGATTCACTTGCGTCATTTATACTTGCAACACACCCACACCCTTCCACTCACTGTTCTCGCAACCAACCACACGTGTGGATGGTTCTCTTTTTCGGCTGGGTGGCGTGGGACGGCGTCGCGGCTTGCCAGACAGACATGCGCGGCTCGCCCGCCCCTCCGCCCCGATCACACAAGCGACGGACGGACGATGAGCGGCGATCGAACAAACGATACCGTTTTCTTCTTTTTCCTCCATGAATGTGCTCGTGCGTGTGTTGTGTTTTGTGCTGTGAGGGTGGTAAGACAGACAAGGCGGCGGTAGGTCTTTCGTCTTTGCAGTGATGGATAGATTGATCGATGCGGTGGGGGGGTGGGTGGCTTAGCGAAGTTGCTGACGGGGGAAGAGAGTTTATGAGTTGGTCGGGTGCATGTGTGCTCACCTGTGTGTGTCTCTCCCCGGCTATGTTGATGCGCCGGTGATGATGTGTGAGCACCTGGCAGAAGAGCCCTCGCCCTCTTTCCGAGGTGTATAGTCTCGGTTGTTTCTACGTCCATGGCTGTCGACTCAACACTCGCACATCCCACACGATGCTGCGAGCGTTTCGTCACCAGCCTGCGGCAGAGAAACAGCCGAGACGTCCAACCAAAGGCAGGGAAGAGAGTGAGATGGCCCCGACAGCGCAGTGCGGAACATTCAGCTAGCTCGTCGCGGCTCAGTTGGTGTAGGTACGTTGCTCTTGGCACGTTTTTCCGCGAGAGCCGAAAATTTAAGAGGGGAGAGCCGGTGGACGACGGAGGCACACTTGTAGACAAACGCGGTGGCACGAAATGGACCGAGTGAAGTGACGTGATGTGTGACATGTTCGCGTGTGGAAGCTGGCTTGAACCACCATCGCGATCAACAACACATTGATGAACGGAGCACATTTCAGATAAAGCAACACGAATGGTTGCATTCGGTCCTGCAACACACGTGTGAGCTCTGTTCGATCGGTCGGGCACAGGCGAGATAGTTCTCATTCCGCGTCTGCCTGGTACGCCGAGAGGCCACTCTGTCACGATGGTCTCCCAGAAAACCGAACCGCCACGCAACGGGAACCACCCCAGTCGGCCACCGCTGCTACAGACCCAAGCCGCACCAAACACGGGTCGGTTGGCACCTCCTCTCCCCACCATGCATGATAGAATGACTGAAAAACCTCATCTAGGTCTACACACCACTAACTGCACCCCTCCCCCATCTCTCTGTGTCTATCACCGCCCTACGGCCGCCCCCCTCCCCCCACCAGCACCACTGCCGGCAGATGACGGCCTGGATGGCGGCAGCATGAAGAAGAAGGCCACCAAAGCCCCAATCAGGCCCTTCAGCTGGAACAGCATCACTGCAATCGCCACCAGAATCAGAAACACCCACGGCACCAACACGGAAGGGAAGCCCGCGAAAGCTGGCGTCACCAGGCCGCCCTGTCATCGAATCAATCGCAACACACAGCCGAGAGTGGAGTGGCTGGTATGGCCATGCATGCCGCAACATGCATATTGCGTCGTGTCTGATGGCTGACCTGCAGTTGGGTGAGTCCGGTGTTTTCTCGTATCCAGTCTTGGAGCTTGACGAGCGGCCCGGTCTCGCCGCCAAGGACGGGCGCGCTCATCGATGATGGCCTCGATGAGGCGTTTCGCGCTGCCGAGGGCTGTGAGGATGATGCCGCCCTTGACGAGCCGAACAAGCCGCCGCCCTGCTCAGCACCGCTGCCTGCGCCACGCAAACGGCAGTTTGTGCTGGGCATATCATGTGGTCTGACAGACCGACTGACCTGTGTGGAAGTCGCTTGACGAGCGGAACTGCCCCGGGCCGCTCGACGAGCCCCTCTCGCCACCTGCAGCAACAATAAAGCACCAAACACATGACCGATGGACGCAAACCAGGCGTGTCCTCCTGTGGCCGACCTCTGGCTTTCGCCTTCTTCGCCCGCGGGTCGTTGTCAGGCACTATCTCGCCATCGATAATGACCACCATCGAACACAGCGCCCGCTTGCAGCGAAAGTCTGAGTGCTTTCCGACAATGTGGGAGGATGCAGACTTCAGCGGGCCACAACGGTCTGTCTACTTCTTCCGGGGAGATCTGTGGCTTTGAGCGCGCGAAACTTGGCGATCGCTGGCGAAGCGAGGAACTGAGCTGTTCACGCAAAACTTGGTCAATGACGTCATCCGCTGAGGTTGTCTGTGCTGCAATATGTATGCTGCTGCTGCCGCTGTGCTCGCCCGCCACAACCATCCCCTCCTTCCTGACTCAGCATACTCATCCCTACCGCAGGCGGCCGCAGCGGCTCCGATCTTCCTCTCTGCACATGAAGTATGGCGAGCCGTGGCAATGGAGCTCGCCAACGCCGACCGCAGCATCAGCAGGTGTCGTGGCTCAGCTCAAGACCGCCTTGGAGTCGTCAGTGGACAGTGCGCGGGGTGCCCTTTCCTCTCTCGGTGACAGCTGGAACGCTCTGGTGTCGTCAGCAGTACCCAAGATGACAGGTGCGTCGGGCGGTGGAGCGGTCGACCTTATCAAAGCGGAGGAGGCTCTGAAGCAGAAGATAGCCGCTTCGATGGATCTTGACCCCTCCACCGTCCAGATCGACCCCTCGTCGCCGTTCATCACTGTGCGAGAGCAGCTGGTGGACCTTCTATCCAACATCCCGCCCGAGCTCAACATCGACACGAGCGGCTTTCGGGAGACGACGCTGGCAACGCTGGACTTCTACAACTGGCTGTGGTCGGTCTACCCCATCCCCAACAAGGCCGAGATCAAGAACGCCCTCGTCTTCCTCGCGCAAGCCGACGCGGCAGCCGTGGCGCTCGATCTCGTCTTGGGCGGCATCTTTGTCTACAGCCTGACCAAGGGCTTCGGCAAAGGCAAGTTGTCGGCCGACGACGGCCCGCCGCCCAGATACAACATAACCGACTACGAGCGCTTCTTTGCGCAGAGGCGCGATGTGGTGACCGACAGAGTGACGGAACTTCTGTGGCGGGGTGGTGGCTTGGCTTGGAAGATCTGGCGGGACACCAAGGGCAGGGACTACGAGACGAACGAGCCCAAGCGGGCGCAGGAGCTCCGTGAGCTCATCACCGACCTCGGCCCTGCCTTCATCAAGATCGGGCAGGGTGTGTCGGTCAGGCCCGACCTACTGTCCGAGACCTATCTAAGAGAGCTGCAGAAGCTACAAGACCGCGTGCCTCCATTTGGTGCCGATGAGGCCAAGCAGGTCCTCTTGAAGGAGCTGCAGGCAGCCGGCGGCAGCCCTGATCAGACACTGGAGGACTACTTCGAGGACGTTTCGGTGTTCGATGAGCCGGTTGCGGCGGCGTCGCTCGGTCAGGTGTACAAGGCCAAGTGGAAGCGGACGGGCAAGACCGTGGCTGTCAAGATCCAGCGGCCTGACCTGCTGGCCAAGTGCTCACTCGACTTGTTCGTTATACGGAAGGCACTGAGTCTTGGGGCGGCGGCGAGCTTCCTGCCCAAGCGGACACGCGACAGCTGCCGATCCTTTGGAAAGGTCATCGACAACGCTGGCGCGAGATTCATCGGTAGGTACTCCACACAGACGGTCACACACACACAGACGGGTTGCAGGGCGATGATGACATGGCCTCTGTCTCTCTGTCTGTGGTTGGTTCATTCATTCAGAGGAGCTGGATTACATGAAGGAGGCGGCGAACCAGCGTCGTTTCAAGGAGGAGGTGGAGGCCAACGCCCTGCTGGACGGGTCCATCGTGGTGCCGGGTGTGGTCAAGGCCTCCCAGTTCGTGCTGGTGACCGAGTGGATCGACGGCCAGAAGCTGACGGACCTCTCCATCAAGGAAGACGACACACCGGCCACCAAGGCTGACAAGGAGGTGGTGCTCGAGAAGGTTGTCAAGAGCCTGCTCAACTGCTACTTGGTCCAGCTGCTAGAGACGGGATGGCTTCACGCTGACCCGGTGAGCGCAGGGAGTGGAGGGGAAGAGAGGGAGGGGGAGGGAGAGACGGAAATATGGATGGATGGATGGATGGTGCTTCCCCTGTGTCGTTGTCAGCATCCGGGGAATTTTCTAAGAACTGCGGATGGTCGATTGTGCGTTCTGGACTTCGGCCTCATGACGGAGATAAAGCCTGACCAAAGGGTAATGACCCACCGACACACTCAGACATATCCCGGCATTTGTGTCGACAGCATCTCACAGAGCATACCATGCATCCTCGGCTATCTCTCGTCATGTCTGTCCTGACAGGTGGCTTTGGTCGAGTACGTGGCGCATCTGTCCGCCAGGGACTACGACAAGGCGCTGAACGACCTGATCACTCTGGGCTTCATCCCGCCAGAGATCGGCGCCGACCCCGAGAAGCGCGCCATCGTCGTGCCCCTCCTGTGAGTAACCAGCACACAGGCCACACAACCGGACACATGTTCTGTCTTGATCATGTGGCGTGCCTGCTGTCAGGTCGAATGTGCTTGGCCAGCTGGCCAATGGCGGTGGCGCTTCGGGCATCAATGTGGAGTCTGTGGGGCGAGACGTGGAGGAGCTGTCCAAGCAATACCCCATCTCCATCCCTTCCTACTTCGGCCTGATTGTCCGTGCATTCGGCACACTCGAGGGGCTCGGGCTGGGCCTCGACAAGCAGTTCTCCATCCTTTCGGTAAGTCGGTCTGTGGGTGGTCGGAGGGCCTGAGCGTGATTATGTGACCTGTGTGTGTGTGTGTGTGTGAATCCACCACAGGAGTGTCTGCCATATTTGGCCAAGCGCTTGCTCACCGACGACTCGCCACGAGTACGGGAGGCTCTCAGGTCCTTCCTATACGGCAAACAGAACTACCTCGACCCGGAGCGCGTCAACCAAATCCTCCAGGTACACACACACACACACACACGCACACACGCACACACACACACACACGCACACACACCGACCCCCCCACCCTCAAAACCCAATGCTTGTGTCCGTCCATCGATCCATCAGGGGTACACGTCATTCACGCTCGACGTCACCGATCCGTCGACCTTCCTGGGTGCGGGTCTGAGCGAGGAGCAGCAGGAGCAGGTCCTCACCGCCACCGGACAGCGCGCCAGGCCTCCCCCAGGCAGCCCGCAAGCACGGGCATCCGAGACACTCGCCAACAGACTCGCCGCATTCCAGGTCAGTGAGTGAATGGCTGGGCCTGTGAGTGATGAGGGAGGCACATTCATGTCACTGTCTCGTGGCTCAGGTCGATGAGACGACGAAGGAGCTTTTGGAGATCCTTCTGGCGCCCGAGGGGAACTTTGTGCAGGATTTGGTGCTCGACGAGGCCGTGAGGCTGACAGACGCCGTCACACGGACCACCGCTGGCGGGGCGGCCAGGGCTGTCCGGTCGGCCACTGACTCCATCCAGCAGCAGTTCACAAGTGAGTGAACGAGACAGGGGTCGCCTCAGTCAATACGCAAGCAACACTCATGCTGTGCCTTGCTTGTGTGTTGATGCGTTCGTTCATTGCATCAGACCTGAGCCCCGCAGCGCTCTTCCTGCTGCCCATCCTGCCGCAGGCCACCGTGGCCAACGCCATCTCACGCTCTGTGGAGGAGCTCAACCAGCCCACAGAAGAAGACGCCAAAACCATCCAAACCGCACAGCAAGTCCTGCGGGCCATCGCACCCAACGCCCTCACCACCTCCCTGAGACGGCAGCTGGCGCCAACGGCACTGAGGAACTTCCAGCCAGCAGAAGACGACGACCGACGGCGGGCAGACGGCAGGAATCGGCGGCCGACGTTCGTGCAGACGCTCGAGAGGGCGCGCGAGAGAAGGAGGGAGAGGCGGCGGTTGGCTTTGGCGCAGCTGAATGCGCTGCAGGAGGTGTCGAGGGTGCTGAATGACCTCTCGCCGGGCATCACGACCGTTGTTGACAAGTTTGCGCGGAAGCTGACACGGAGGGTGCTGCAGCGGCTCGCCAACGATCTGCTGGCGGGGAAGGAGGAGGGCAAGAGGTGACGATGGATGGATGTAGAGTGGATCCGCGTGGTTGCGTCGATGACTTTGTCGGTGTGTATAGAACAGAGACAGCGGGATCCACCCCGCTGATGGATGGATGGAGCGGCCTCATTGAGTTTCTGTCAGTCAATGTAGCGCTAACCCCCCTCGCCCCCCTCGCCAGTGTACAGCCCCCTGATGCATGGCATCCAGTTTTGACGGATCTTTCTCTCTGTGCATGTGTATGTGTGTGTGTGTTGTGTCTGCCACCCGACGTTTTGTCTTTTTTGTCCCGTCGTCCATGTGGACGGATGGCTGCCTCAGTGCCCGTCCGTGTGTGCATACGATGCGACTTTCGACGACCGATTTTTCCTTCATATGTGTGCGGCGTGCGTGATGTGTGCGTTCTGCAAAGCAGTGTTGTGTGTGTGTTGTGTGCGTTGTGTATGTGTGTCTGACTCGCTCGTCTTTGAATGCAGCGAGCGGACCAAGTCAGTCAGTGTCTGCGTGCGTTGACACGTACGTCAATGTGTGTGTGTCTACCAACCAACCGCTCATACGCAGCCAAGCGTGAAAAACTCAGCCCGTCCTCAGACACACACAGACACAGACTCCTACACTCCTACTCATCCCTCTTGTTCGATAAAGCCCCTTATATCACTCACACACACGCATCCAGGTGTCCTGATTGATGACCTATCCATCCGTCCATCCGTCCACCCGTCCGTGCCCTTTCGCCCCTTTCACACACGATCACTACGATCAATCTCTAACTTCACTACTTCATAGTGGGCAGGTAGGAGGCCACGCCCTCGCTCGTCGGCTTCATGCCCTTGGCGCCCTTGGTCCAGTTGGCGGGACACACCTCGCCCACACTCTCGTGGTGCTGCAATGCATCCACCATGCGCAACGCCTCGTCCACCTGCACACACACATACGGAGGCAGGAAGTGTGTCTGTCTTTGTTGCTTGAGCCGGCCCTCCCTCACCGATCTGCCCAGTGGGAGGTCGTTGATGACTGCGTGTCGGACGACGCCCTGCTTGTCGATGAGGAAGAGGCCACGCAGTGCCACGCCCTCAGACGGCAGCAGCACCTGGTACTTGTCGGCGAGCTCCTTCTTGACGTCGGCCAGCAGCGTGTACTTGATGGGACTGCACACACACACACACACACACACACACACGCAGACACACAGACACATGTGGCAGCATCAGATCTGGTGCTTCGCCGTGGTCGCCGTGGCCGCCTCCCTCCCTCCCTCACCCGATGCCTCCCTTGTTGAGTGGCGTGTCCCGCCATGCGTGGTGGACGAACTTGCTGTCGATGCTGCACCCTATCACCTCAACATTGCGGCTCTGCACAGTGACAACAGCCAGACAGCCAGACACACAGACAGACAGTCGCATGTGGTGACTGACAGATCCATCGCATCGATGCGCACCGCACCCACCTGAAATTCGGCTATCTTTTGGTCAAAGGCGACGATCTCAGACGGGCAGACGAAAGTGAAATCCAGAGGGTAGAAGAATAGCACCACGTATTTCTTGCCCTTGAACGAGGACAAAGACACTTGGTCGAAGGAGCCGTCGGGCAGGACGGCATCCGCGACGAAGTCCGGAGCTGCACGGGAGACCAATGACGCCATAGAGAATGGAATCTGATTCGACTTTGTGGACAGGCGAGCCGAGGGTATGAAACCCTGCACACCGAACCCTGGCATGGGGGCGTCTCGGGGTTGCGGATGTTGTAGCGCGGTCCACGTTTGACGATGTTTTCGTGGACAGACGCATGGAAGGCGACTCTGGAGGAGGTGACTTGGGCCAGGACAAGAAGCAAGAGAACCGTCGAATCGGCGTCGATGCGTTCTGTGAACTGTGTTTGTTTTCGAAATCGGCCTGCAGCTGGAGAAAGAATCGGAGAACAGGAAGGCGGACAAAGGAGAGTCGAGGGCCCTCCCCAAAGATCTCACCAAATGGATCAAGGTACTGTATAAGGCAGCATTTCTTGCCTCCGCGCTTCCAAGGGCGCTTCATTCGTCGCCGCGTGTCGCGACATTCAATTTGCCACGTGAATGCTGCAGGCTCGTGTGGATGCCCCAGCGGAGCACCTTTCGACGAAGCCAACCATGGCAGGGCCCGCACACGGCGCAGAGCAGGTACCTACGTACCATGCGCGTTCATGATGAGAATCTGGGTCGAGGTCCGGCGGCAGGTGTTCCGTCCTCCCTCTCTGTCTATTGCGCAGATCCCTGGCGCTCTACGTGCTGAATGCAAACTCCCGACCATCGAAAAACTCCCAGTAAGCGAATTCCAAGTCTTGCAAGTAACACTCTATCTCCATCCCTGCTGCAGGCCTCGCTCCGTTTGTCCCGCGAGTTGTTGGCGCGCATCTTTGGCTTCCAGCCGATCGAAGAGCTCGCTCGGCTGCGGCAAGGGCTTGGAGTGCGTCTGTACGTCCAGGCGACAGCTGGATACACCCACCTGACGATCACCGCCGACCGATGGGCAGCTTCCTGCACATTCCTGGGGAAGGGGGCGACTGTGTGGGAGAAGATGTCGGTGGCCGCGGCCTTTGCCCTCGGGCAGCGTGCGACTCGTCTGAAGGAGCTGACAGTGCTGTATCCTGCTTTCAAGTACCGGTATTGGTGTTGTGGCGTCAAGGACGAGGACCTCACGTGGTGCATGGACAAGTGGGTCTCGATCGTGGAGGGCAACGCAACGCCTCGGAAGCCAGGGAAGGCCCCGGGCCAGAAGGGGACCGTCTCGTCGGCGGCCAGTCTGGAGGTGCTCCGCTTTCAAGAGCGGAAAAGTGTTGTGAGGCGTCGAAGCGAGGCGGAGTCCCTTCCCCCCCTTCGGTCGTCTCCCCTCCACCTCCCCGCCCTCAAGAGCATCGTCGGCATACACGCCTGCGTCGCGAGGACTCTTGCAGATCGCCGATGGCTGGCCCCTGCCCTGTCCACACTCACCTTTCAGGGTAGCAACCTGGTCTATGAGCGCAGTGGGGTGGAGTACTTCATCTCCAAGAGCGATGGCAGCCTGGCGGTGCTCGATTATAACGATTACGACGATAGATGGACGGAGGCGAAGCAGAGCATCTCCGACATGCTCCGGGCTGTCCACAGGTCGGTCCACGGCAGTTTCTCGCTTGCGCAGACCGCCAGCCTTCTTAGTGTCCTGCCGAAGGGCCGCGTGCTGGCGCAACTCCGGCGCCTGTGGCCGATCGACGTGCACCGTGTTCACGATGCTGCGGACGCATGGGAGCTTAGGAAGGTGCTCTATGAGCGAGGGTGCCGCAAGGCGCTTGCTGGGCTCGAGCTGAGGTTTCAAGTGAAACAGCTGAGCAAGAGCGATATCCCCCTTGTCGAGTCGATCGCAGCCCTCGTGTAAGGGCACAAAGACAGCGACGCATTGCCATGCGTGATACATGGATGATTGGCTGGCTGCATTGAGTCGTGTCTGGTTGCCGATGAGTTGTCGAAGCCGCAACTGAAGGGCATTTGCGTCCTGAATTACCACGATATCTACTGGAATCATCTGCAGGTGATTCAACTACACCTTTCGGTGGGCTCGTCTACTATGCATTGCCTGTGCAGATGGATGCCGAGCTGGCCTTGTGGGGCCTCACCCAACCACCGATCGTCAAACAAGTCGTCAACAGTATGCGAAAATCAACAGAGACACAGAGCGCTGCACGACAAAGACACAGACATCTGAATGTGTGCGTGTGCAGCGTTTGCGAGCATCGCCAAGCGCGTCGTGTACGTCCAGTCACCGGCTGCTGTCCCCTCCTCCCATACTCCAGCCGATATTGCCGCTCTCAATTTCAAGGAGGGGCTGAGCTTCCACCTGGACAGCGATGGAGACATGCCCAAAGATGAGATTACCGTGGCGACTGGCATCGCATGCAGACTCTCAAAGTAAGGGCGAGGAGACACAAGATGGCTAGCACCCCTTGCTGAGATGCCTGTGTGTCTTGTCTCGTGTGCTGTCATTCACACAGGCTGCACATGGTCGTTTTCCGTGGCGCTGATGGGAGTTCAGGCGCCTCTCCGATCGTGGCGAGACGATTTCTGTCTGCGCTCGAGTTGGCTTCTCCCCCTGGCAGCGCGCCATCCTCATCGAGAGACTCCTCCCCCAACCGAGTGGTGGGGACGGTGGATATCAAGGCGGCGGCATCCTCCCTCGGCGAGCTCAACTGGGGAGAGCATGACAAGCGCGACGAAGGCCTACCCACCATCAAAAGGATCAACATCGAGGTTGTAGGTACGGCCAAGTCAGGGAATCCTCCAATCATATAGGTGACGTCGCATGTCTCTTTCAGGCGACCTGCCGGAGGGGATGTCTGTCGAGGCCTTCGAATGTGCGCTGGTTGAGACGATGCTGTCTCTCAAGTCGCTCAACGGCTGCAAGACCGTGGAGGCCAACGTGAAAGACCAAACTGCTGCATTCTACGAGGATCTCAAGGCGCAGTGCGATGACGAACAATCGTGCCTCTCGCGGGCCGACCTGCCGTCGAGTGTAAAGGCGATATACCTCCCGCAGTCTTGGAGGAACTATTTCACACTGAGAGGTACGCGCGGAAGGGAATGAACGTGGGAATGAGTGGCGGCCATAATGTCATTCGTTTTCCTACGTTTCCAGTTGGAGAAAGCTATTACTTTGAGTCCGACTGGCGGTGACACGATGCTGGTGAATGGATACGGCAGACAGATGACATGGTCTTGACTAAGCGTGACGCAGACGAGAAAGGACGAAGAAAGCGAATTCCAATCTAAAATTGATAAGCCTGACTGTTTCGTATTTGACCGCGAATGTGGATGTGTGTTGAGCATGGTGCACGCGTCGATGGTGAGGTGAACATAGCACGTCAGCACACGGCATTCAGCATCGATTGAAGGCCACACGAAACAAATACAGGTCAACTCACATCCACAACGAAAAACAGTAGTCCAGTCCTCTCCTCTGTCACAACATCCGACCATCCGCACACTCCTCTCCCCCCCTGCCCCCTCCGTCCCTCATACAATCCCCAGTGGGACGAACAGCCCCGTCCTCGACAGGCGCCCGAGCTGCGGCCACGCAAACTGGCAATCCTAGTCGCCGAGGTGCTCGTTGAAACCCTTCATGACGCCCGTCAGCTGATACTTGGCCACCTCGTCGAGCCGGGCCCTGTGCACTACTTCACGCACACCCGTAATGCCTACCACGTGCCCCCCACTGCCACGGAGGGCGAAGCACTGCAACGGCGGCACAGACACCTTGACGCGCTTGCTGCCCTGCTGCTCGTATCTCGTTCCCCCCACCACCTCCCTGTTGCTGATCGCCTCTGTGGCCGCCGACTTGACGAAGTGGCCGACGGCCGCCTTGACGCGACGTCTGAGCTGCGAGTCGCCGATGAGGTACTGGTCGATGGCCGCTCCAGCAGCCGATGGCTCGTGCAGAAAGGCCCCGATCTTCCAAGCGATGGCCTCGGCCTCGTTCTCGCCGAATGACATGTTGGATGGGGAGGGGTGGGGGTGGCCGCCGTCATGGTGGGGTGCGAGGGGCAGCAGACGGGCGAGAAGCATCGAGTGGTCGCGCTGGGGGGCGAGGGCGGCGTTGATGGCCGACATGGTCACATCGGGCAGCTCATTCAGCACCGTGGTGTACTCCGTCAGCACACACTGGCGTCTCCCGCCGTCCTCGTCGGGGGCTGTGGGCATGCGGGCGATTGAGGGGGCGGCCCCAGCTCTCAGCAGCACGCGGACGGTGAGCTGTCTGCCGGGGATGACTCTGTCCTGTGGCTCTGGCGGTTCCTCCAACACGTCGAGGCCGTCCATCTCTTCATACACGTGAATGTCGGCAGCGTCGCTGAGGATGGTGCACTCGTGGTGGCCTGTGTTGTCTCTGCTGATCTCGTTAACTGCGAGGGGCTGGCGGCAGAGGTAGTGCGCCACACAGGAAGAGGCCCATATCGCCGCTTCGCGCAGTGGCGTCCCGCTATTCTCCTCCTCTGCGATGATGTCCACACCGTTGGCCACCAAGAGGTTCATGTAGTCGTCGATGAAGGCCTGAGAGTAGCACCCTCCCTCGCAATACGCTGCTCGATGCGCCATGTTCGCACCATCCAGTTGTTCGGTCGCGAGAGTGCTGTCGAGTCGGATAAGTCTCCGGTAGATTGACATGAGGGACGTCTCGACGTCGGCTGAAACGGGACTGCCATAGTCGTCTGTGAAGGGCAGCTCCATCACCATCATGCCCCGTAGGCTGACATTGTGCTGGATCAGGATGTCGACAGCTGCCTCGTTGGCTCCTGAGATGGCCGCACAGATGGGCTGCCTCCCGCCGGCCATACCGTCTTCCCCGTTGATGTCCGCCCCCCCTTGGATCAGTGCATTGATAATGCCGCGCTCCAGGTCGCGAGACGACCACCTCGGGAGGACAACGGGGATGTTCTCCTCTCCTTCGTCACCGGCTGCCCAGATGGAAGGAATGGCGTTGCCCGTGAAGTTGTCGATGGCGAGGGTGACGAGAGGGTACGGCAGGCCGAAGATACACCACTCACCACATTCATTCATAAACCACTCACCACCCCCCTCGAGCTCCCCTCGACGCAGTCGCGGCCTGACTCGAGCGTCTGCCGCTTGCCGCTGGATCAGATCCGCCACTTGGTCTGGGCTGTTGAACGTCCGGCGGATGATGCCATGGGCGAGTTGTTTCGTGGCATCACTGGTGGCATCGTCCTCGAAGACGATGCCCGTGTCGGAGAGCCGCAGCCATCCGCACGGGAACGTCGTCAGTTCTTCGTGTGATTGCCTGGATCAACCACACAAGCCAGACCAGATGTTGTCTCGTGCGTATCTTTCGTCCCTTCGCCTGCGTACCTGCCGGACGAGGTCATCACTTGGAAACTCAGAACTCGCTCAACGATGAATCAAAAAGAGGCCGACGCTTGAGCCCAATGTTTGCGAGACACACACGGGAGGGGCTTTGTTGCGAATTCACCACCTCTTCACCGCGAAGCTAAGCTCGCAGCCCTGATCGGCGATTCTCTGTTTTAAGCCCGTGTTAGCCATTTTTCTGGCGGATCCAGCTGTGTCTGAGCCCGCCGTTCACGTGGTTGATCCGGCGCCCCAGCGGATCTCTCTTCCCGGCGCCGTTAGCTTCTGACTCGGATCTCTCCCTGAGTTGAGAGGGTGGCTGTAGCCGCATCTTCCATACGTGCAGCGGTGGAGCTGACAGGGCGCAACAGCCGCCAGGATGGGCAATGAGTTGTCGGCCGAAGCTGAGGCGCAGAGAGGTGAGTGAGTGGCGCATTCATTTCAGCCGGCACGACCAAAGATGGTATGCGGATGCACTCGTGTGTTGCCGTCTGTGGGTGGGTGTCAGGCATCGTGCGCCTTCAGCGGAACGGCTATGCATCTGGCGAGTGGCAGCATCTGTTCAGGTAGGTTGGGCAGAACATGTCTGTATGTGTGGTCCAGGGGCTCATGAGGTGTGCTGTGTCCTTTGTCCGGGTGTGCAGGAAGTTCATCGAGATCTTCCCACCCGATCGGCCATGCACATGGTGAGTGACCGCTACTCGACAAAACACCGCAATGCTGCCTCTCTCACACACACACATCCATGATGTCTGTCTGTCTGTCTGTCTGCTGCAGGCGCAGCAAGAAGGTGGTGGAGGTGTTCTTCCACCTCTTTGCAGAGACTATCCAGCACGCAGAAAGGGACAACCACCGGAGGCACTCGTCTTCCTCCCCAGACGACTCCCCCCACACCCACACCCACGGCACCCACTCTGACGAGGGCAGCCCCTCACCGGACCACCACCACCACAACCATCGGTATCCCCCCAGTGCCGACAGGAGTCCTCACGCCCACGCCACGAGCAGCGAGGAGGACACACACGGGGAGGAGAGCGGCGAGGAGCATGAGGGCGATGAGCATGAAGGTGATGATGAGGAAAGCGATGAGGACCACATGTTGAGCGACTGGCGGGAGGATCTCCGGCTGCTGCTGGAGTCGGCGGCGAGACTCTTCACATCGGAGCCACTGTATAGGGTAGGCGGAGGAAGGGGAATGACGGCTGGGTGGTGTGTGTGTGTGTGAGAGAGTGGTTGTGCGTTTGTGTGATTGTGTGTGGCTGATGCAGTTGTTGACGAATGTGAAGGTGGACGTGACTTTGTTTGTGAGTGTGCTGGCCCTCGACGCGCCCCCCGACATCATCCTCAGGGCCGTCCGACTCATCACACAGCTCAACAGAAACATGTGAGTATGAGACCGACCATACTCACACCAGACCACACATACCCACACAACTCCTTCCTTTCTGCCCTTCCTTCATGTCATGCAGCTGGCAGGACCCCGCCATGGACCGCCCAGTGACCCTCCTCAAGAAGCGGCTCCTGACCGAGGCCACCCTGCCCACACATCTGGCCTGCCTCAAGCGATGGACCGGCCCCCCACCGGCACTCTCCATCTCCTTCTTGGAGCCAGACCACAACGGCTCGCCACTTGAGGCGGGCGTCGAAGCGTGGCCGGCCGTGCTGTCGCCCCCGAGGCTGCAGACGCCCCCCCGGCGAGGGAGGGGTGTGTCGGCTGATGAAGACGGCGATCTGGATCAGATCTACGGGATAACGAGCGAGCTGCTGAGCTACTTTGTGGATGCGGTTCACCGGCACCGTGCGACGACGCCGCTGTCGAGTGTGATGGAGTGTGTCAAGGTGTGGACGGCCGACTGCCGGTTTCTGCTCGACCTGGCCACGCAGCACCCGCAGCTGCTCACACGCGCACAGGTGGGGGAGGGGGGCACCAAGACAGACAGACAAACAGGGGTGGGGGATGCACAGGAAATCGGCAGGTTCTGCGTGTGTGTGTGTGTGTGTTTGTGTGGGTGGTGGGTGGTTCAGGCGTGTCTGTTGCTGCGGTCGGTGGTGCTGGACAGCTTCGAGGGGCCGTGTGTCTACACACAGGTAGGGTAGGGCAGGGTAGGTGTGTAAGAAGTAGACGCAGACAACCACATAGATGGACCCTCCCTGTCCAGGAAGCAGCCAGGACATCAGGAGCGCTCCTCTACTTCATCGGAGACACTCTCCAACCGACCGTAGACACACACGCGTGCACGCCAACACACGATAGACACACACACTTTTCCCTGGCCGCATCCATTCAGTCTGGCGATGGCCCGACCCACTTCGGTTTGACGAGTCTGGACGGCTTTGCCGCCCCCCATCCCATCACCGACACCATCAAGCGCCAGGACAGCAGCAAGGCGCGCAAGGGCAAGGCCGCAGCCGCCAGTCGGCTCGCCCCACCGCCACCCCCACTGAGGCTGCAGCAGCAGCTACCTACCACGACTGCTGACGGAGCCACAAGTGAGGCTTGGATGGGTGTGTGCAGGGGTGAAGGACATTATGTCTGTGTGGTTCTTTCATTCAGAGGGCCGTTCGTCTTATCTGGTTCGCGCAATGGTACCCCCGCCGGGCCCCGCTGACGTGCAACTCCTCAGCTCACACCTCGTGAGGGTGGTGGAACACACACAGACAGACACAGAGGACCGTGCAAGTCTGTGTGTCTTCATGTGTGTGTGTGTGTAGGTGGCGGTGTTGTGTGAGAACAACCGTGAGTCGATGGCGCTGCTGTCGAAGCTCTTCCCGCCGTACTTCTTGAAGCTGCTGCAGGCCTCTAGTGTGGCCTTCTCGTGGTTTCCCTCCACCAGCGACTACCCCGCCTCAAGCACAGGGGCCGCCAGACTGTCACGGTATGATCGCATGATTGCTGCACGGCGTGATATGGGATCTTCACGTGAATGTGTGTGTCTGTGTGTGTGTGTGTGCGTAGGGCTGAGCTGCAGTGCATAGCGTCGACGATGCGGACGCTCAGCCCCCCGAGGCTGGCCTGGAAACTGGTAAGGGGAACCCGTAAGTCAGCTGACTTACCAAGTGGTGCAAGTGGTGTTTGGTGTGCGTGTGTGTGTCCGTGTCAGTTCTTCGAGTCGCTTCGCTCCACGATGGAGGAGGTGGACCTCATCTGGAATGAAGCCGTCAGAACCGGTACTTAAGGGACAAACAAAACCGAAACCACCACATAAGATGCCATGCGTGTGTGTATGTGTATGTTTGTTGTCTCGTCGGTGCAGAGCTGCGCGAGCTGCTCGTCACAGAGACCAAAGCAATTGTAGGCTCACAGACACTCCACAGGGAGCAAAGACAGCGTTTCCCACGTTGCCTACGTTGCCTTGTCACAGGCGTTTGAGCGTGCCCTGAGGGGCGGCCAGCAAGTGGAGTGGGACGTCGCAGGTACCCCCTACACACAACACACAGACGGGGAACTGCCCCTGCCTACGGTGTCCGTGTGTCTGTGTCTGTTCTGTGTGTGTGTGTCAGCGTGTGACATCAAGATTCCCTCACTGCACAGCGAGGGGCGCGTCAACGGCTACTTTGTCCGACTCCTCACACCAGCACTCAGACACCTGGCCACCAAACAAGTACCACCAATGCAATGCACCCATCTCCTCTGCACACAAATCGACCAGTCGATTTGTGTGTGTATCGGCAGGGTCTGCTGACGTGCGGCGATGGCGGTGTGGGTGTGGGTGTGGGTGGTGCTGACAGCACCAGTGCCAGCGACACCGTCAGTCGGCAGAGCTCATCATCCCACCTCGACAGCTGGACACTCGTCGACCTACTCCCAGAGGTGCGCCCCTCCCCCGCCACGTTCGTCGACCTGGGTGTCACTACCGGCCTCCCAGAGGAGTCCCCTACACGCCAGCCACAGACCACAACGCCGTGGAAGCCCCTCACGGCGGCTTTGCAGGCCATGGTGGCCGATGAAATGACCGCTGGGGCGGGTGTGGGTGATGCCGAGAGGAAGGCGATGCGGTTCATTTCTGCGAGTGTGTCGCCGACGGAGAACCCACAGGCGTTGAATTGGGCGTTTCTTGAGGCGGTGGCCGTGGAGGACAATGTCAGCAGGAAGGCACAGGTGAGGATTGGGGGAGCGAGTGATGGGCAGAGGGGGCTAACTAGATGGTGTGTATGTCGTGTGTGTGTCATGTGCATCAGATGCTCTATGCGTGGAGTCTTCTTTACGCGGCCTTCTTCGGTAAGTCAGTCACAGGACAGACAGACTGTCCAGCCAGCCAGACAGACAGACAGACAGACAAGGACCGATGTCTCTCTATTTGTGCACTCACTGGTGGTCTAGGTGAGTTGCAGGACAAGCTGTCGGTGCACCACATTCTGTGGTACGGCAGCCCCGACCACGTCCACCCGCAGTACCGACGAGTCGTCTTCTACTTCCTACTGCTCGCCACGCAGTACACGCCAAACATCGACCAACTCATCGATGCCAACGGTGAGCTCAGGCGCCTCCTGTATCTGGCCGCACATGTCTGTGTGTGGGATGGATGGTAGGTGTGAGCCTGCTGCTCCATTACTTCTGCGACTACCACCTGTCCATCAACCACCACCAGCTGCTGCAGGTGTCACAGCCAGAGAAGCCCTCCGCCCCGCCGTCGCCCCCTCGCAAGACCCGCCCCTCCGCCTCACCTGACGCTCTCGGCCGCCCCATCCCCTTCATGATGGACGAGTCCTCCCCCCCTCTACCCATCTCACTCTCCATCGGGGGGCGCAGCATCTCGGCGCCACCCAAGGCCCTCCCCCCTCCACACACACCGCTGCCACCTGCTGCTGCTGCGGCGGCGGCGGCTGCTGCTGGTATGGGCAGCATCGACGCGCTGCATATGCATGCCGACATCGGGCCGAGAGAGTACGAGTACATCAACTTCTTCGCGATCCATTCACTTGTCGTGTGTGTGGAGGGAGAGGGGGTCAATGGCACTGGTGGCGGTGGTGGCCGGCCGTCGCTGCCTGCTTTTGACTCGCCGGACCTGAAGGCGCTGCTGCACTCGATTGAGACGGACGGGCTGTCTGAGGGGGTGTGTGGTGGTGGGGGTGCTGGTGGGGGGAGGGGGAAGCCGCCC